TGTGGGGCCCGGTAGAAGAATCCTTTGACTATGAAAACCTATGCACTATTTGCAGGACAAGGGGTTGCATCAAGCAGCACCATCATCCCAATCAACGTGATAATTGACTGCAGTGACACAAACACTATTTTTTTTTTTTAACAATTTGTGGATTGGAATGGCTCCTTAATGAGAAAAAAACAAGAAACAATAATGAAGAACATATGTATGGACATTATGCTATATTAATGATTTTAAGTTTGAATTCATTTGTTTAGAAGGGGACATATTGCAATAAGAATTATCATGTGATTCAATGAATAAGAATATACTCTGAATTTGTAAGTACTTATAATTTGCAATGATTAATAACTATTGTCAATACAATGAATCAACAAACTATTCAACAAACCATAGTAGATATTGCTGAGACGATTAATTTGCAAATTCTTACATTGTGATTCGTGATCAACCTATCATAATTATGAAAATTTTAACAAAAAAAAAATCACTCTCTATCATATCTTCTTTGAGTTTCTAGATTGCCATTTGCTTAATTTTTTAGGTTTTTATTTTTGGCCTAATTTTTCTGTAATCAAATTCTTCCACGTTGTGCGTATATATTCATTCTCCTTATCCTTTTTTTTTCCGGCTTCACATTTTCTCTTCTATTTTAATTATTGGGAGAGATATGATGGGTTTATATAAGACCAACAACGTAGAAATATAAATTTCATGCATGGTACAAAGTATCGCTAACGAAGACAACTGTAGTATGTAACCAGGTGTTTCGCTGCCTTTGAAGGTCCTTTTAATTCTCGGTGACATATAAGAGCTGGCATGAAATAAAGAATTATAACATGCATATATGAGGAAAGTATATAACCAGGTGTTTCGCTGCCTTTGAAGGTCCTTTTAAGTGACATATAAGAGCTGGCATGAAATAAAGAATTATAACATGCATATATGAGGAAAGTAGGGAGGGAGGGAGATACGTATAGCAATCAGAAATGGGACGGAAACAAAAACTTGAAATTGGGGAGGTCCAATAACAAAATGACACTTGTATAGTTGTATACTAAAAGATTTTTATAAAAAATAAAAATTTTAAGTTACGCCCTCAAGCACATAAATGGTAAATGTGGTCCATTTTTTTGTAAAATTGAGTAACATATAAAGGTTGCTCTTTTGATTCTGTGCTACTTGCTGCATCGAAAATAGTTTTTTCTTTTGAATCTTTGTCATTCTTTGAAGAGAGAATTGTTGATGATTTCAGCCGACTCGACAAGAGCCCTCCCTCACGCACTCAACCGAACCACTTCTTTTGTAGAATTTGTTAAGTACCTACAATTGGACGAAGCAACAAATTGGTTCACTTATACAAAATTGAGGATGAATTTTTCATGTAAAACAATTAATACAACACCAAAAAAATTGTCCGATAAGTTGTTACTACATTGTTCTTTTTTTTAATTGTATCAAGGGTGCAATATAAATTTTTTTTCAAGGTTCAAATTAAAAATTTAATTGTTTTTTCCCAAAGTACAAAGTGTCATTCATTCAAATACTATTGTAAATATTGAAGTTCCAAGGAGATCAAATAAAAAATTAGCATAAGATCAATGGCAAAAGCTTTAATTTTTGAGATAGCGGTCGTCATGGGATTGAAGTCTTATTTCCAATCCCCTCCAATCCCATGGACATGGAAGACATAATTTAATATCTTTTTCAATCTTATACAATGTTTGGCTTGTAATTTTTGTAATGCATGTAGGTCTCACATAAAAATAGGGTGTTTACCATATCTTACGGATAGGAAATATATGAGTCAATATATGAGTCATGTTTAGTTTGTGATCCAGAAACAGTTTTTATTCTCAAAATTTCAAAAACACCTAAAACTTGTTTGTTTAGTATTTTTGTTCTCAAAAATTTGAAAAAAAAAATGAGATTTGAGTCAAAGAAACAGAAAACATGGAAAACAATTTTGGGGCTAACGAGGTCTGTCTGCCCTTCGACAAAAGTCTTCATTCCTTCTTTTTTTTCCCCCTCTCTCTCCATCGTCTTCTTCTCCAGCGTCCAGCTCCTCTCTCTCTCTCTATCTCTCTCTTTCTCTGTGCAACGAAACACAAACGATCTGGGTTCTCTCTCCACTTCGACAAATCCAGAGGAAACATACACGATCTGGGTGCTCTCTCCACTTCGGCAAATCCAGGCGTCTTCTCCTTCCTTTTCCAGTGTCTTTTTTTTTTTTTTCTACATTTAGGGTTCAAGACCCAGATCTGTGCCAAAGTGCTCAAGACATAGATATGTACCAAAGTGGTCAGATATGTGTATATACTTAGGTTCAAGACATAGGTCTGTGTGTGTGTATGCGTGTGTGTATGTGTTTATGTTTGTGTGTGCCTCTATGTGTGGGTTTTGTGAAGAGAGAGAGAGAGAGAGAGAAAAAAAGGATAGAGATAGGAATTGAGGGGAATTTATATTATTGTCCAAACAGATTTTATAATTTTTTGTTCTTTAAAACTATTTTTAAAAATATATAACTAAATAAGTTTTGCAATCTAAAAATTTTAAAAACACTTTCTTAAAATTTTTTTCAAAAATTATTTTTTGATACAATTTTTTGAGATGTAAACCAAACACATCCCATGATTTTTCGTTTTCTTATTCGATACTTTGTGAAAGAATTTTTTCTTGGCGTATCATATCCGATCAAGTGTAGTATTTATATCCGACTTCTGCCCAATTTAATCGGACATGATAGAGTAGGATAGGAATACGAAAATTAATGGTTATTCCGCGTTCCTACTTGATTTAATCTAAAGACCAAAAAATTTTTTGCATTCCTACCTGATTATTTTGGATAGTCATTCAATAAATTCAATAAGTTCAGGTAAGGTAGAAAATTGTGACTAATCGAAAATTTGAACACCCCTACATAAAAATTATGATTGTATTTGATAATTTACTTAAATACCCTCCATTTGGTTTAAATTATTATACAGTTGAAACTAATATTGTAATTTATTTTTCATGCGGTTCCCACACATTTTATTTTATATCAATTCATTTTAATGTCATTGTCTTGATGTTGAACATTAGGCATTAAAAAGTCATTATAATAATTTACTAATTTAGTAGCATGCATTAATTTTATACCTCATTTTAGTATCACCTCCTATTAAAAGAATAATGTTATTTGAACCATAAAATATATACCGAAGAGGTTGACCATGACTCGAGCAAGGCAGTTTCATCTCCCACGAATTTTGTGGTCATTTGACCCTTTTTAAATTCCGATTGTAATTAATAGAGTGGTTGAGGTTCACTTGTTAATCGAATCGAATTTTGTGAGTTTGAGTCTAAGTTTAGCAAGTTTATTTTTTAAAATTAATCTAAAAAATTATTTAAGTTCGATTCGTTTAGAACTCAAGCCGAGGCCAAGCCCGAGTAACTCAAGTCTTGATTATTTTACATATAAACGAGCCGAACTTTACAACCTTGAACCAAACTTTTTAGCCTCGTTTTTTTAAAAGAGTCTAAAAAATTATTCAAACACATCTTGTTTAGAACACAAGTAAAACTCGAACCAAGTTTTTTCTGAACGGAGTCCGAGTAACTTGTTTTGATTAACACTCCTAATCTCCATTTTTTGTGATTTGCTCTGTTATTAGGGAATCCTATAAATAGCAAATATAGTGTTCTGAGTGAGTAAATATTGAATACAACGGTGATATCATGTCACTATTGATGATATGATATCATCATCCAATAATAAAAGTCTAAATAGAAAAAGTGAACCTCACTTAAACTTACGTGGCAGAAGAGTGTGAAGTTATTTGCTTACATGACAAGTTAGTTATTAATTTTGTAGGGTCCATCTGTTTATTTATTTTATTATTATTGACTGGTAATATTACATCACCTTATTACGTGGTATCACCGTTGTAACGAATATTCTCGCTAAAATCATTCAAATCAGTCTTTGCTCTCTCTATTTAAATTTATTTATCTTCCACGTCCTACGTGGTATTGAATAATGTCTCCCACGTGAGTTTATTTACAGTGTAATATCTGAGCTGATATTAATTTCAAACGGTATAACTTGACAGATAACGACAAAACAAACAGGGTGTATAAAATATTCTGAATTACTTATTCCGTGTCCTTATACTACTCTGAAATCGGAAACAAACATGCCCTATGTTTACGTGCACCTGAAGGGAAAAAACAAGCGAATGAGAATACACGAAAGCTTGCCGCAGGCAACCAGACTTTATTTATAAGGATATAAAAATGGCAACAAGTATATATATTTGAGGTCTGCACATAAGTTTTCACTAAATTCTAGTTTTACACATTTTTGATTTTACATAACAATGAAGAGTCTTAAAAAAAGTGAGATTAAATAAGAATTACGAATGCTAATGGCCGTTGGAAATTTATTTAGAGAATCGATCTAAACTCTTAGTATTTGTATTGGGCTTGTCAATCCTCTCTTACACTAGAGCTTGCCGATTCCCTCTAGACAGTCTCAATAGAAAAAATTTTTTTACATCTATTGAACCGGATCCTTCCTTCGATTCATACAGTATTGCCCCCTTTTGACATTTGTTGGTTTATTTTCATTCATTTTGTCAGTTTGGTGATTGAATTGATGATAAAATATAATTATGGATCACAAACAATGATTGGGTTAATGATAAAAAAATATAATTTTTAGTTCAGATTTAAAAAAAAAAATTAATCAAATTCTATTGAGCCTGATTTATAATAATTATTTATTAAAGAATAACTTTAATTATCAAATAATTAAATAACTGGGAGCAATTTACTTAGCATAGTTTGATCGACGTAACAAGAGCTTATATCAATAGGCTCTCACTTTCAAAGGTTTGCGAAACTAACCGCTAGCAAGAATTTTCACTGCACCGGACCCCACTGTTATGTACGTTCCGTAAGTGGTTGTTCGTCCTCAAGCCAAGAACATCTTCGTCATGTGCTATAGGGCCATATGACAGACCCTCCCATAATCAGACCAAAACATCCACCTCTCTCTCTCTCCCCTCCCAATTCCCCACTTATCGCATCGCCATAGACGTATGGCATATCCTATACATGACTGATCATATTTCCTTCTTATTCTAGAACTCTCACACACACCTTCTCGCTTTGGATTCAGCTGCAAATATATATACAATCACTTACAAAAATTACATGCATCGGAACCTTTTTTTATTACAACACCTAGAAGGCAATACCAAAATCTTCTGAGAGATTATTCGTGTTATTTCTCGCTTCTACTTCTGGTTTTATCCCATGGTTTCTGGCTTCCAAACATGCCCTCTAGTCCAGACTTCCAGTTTTCATTCTCAAGGTCACCTACAACTTCAACAATCTGTATCATATATGTATTTCTTCTGAATTTTTGTTGGGTCGTGTTTTAATCATATTTTTCTTCGAAATTTGAAGTGATTAACCGTGTTTCTTGTCATTTGTATAATGAATTTCACCACAGGTGGTTTGGATCCGGAATATTCCGGCGACGGACAGTTCCACAGGAAAATAGCGACTCCATTGACGACTCTCCAACTTTGAACACCGTTGAGTGTTACGCATGTACAGAAGCTGGAGCACCTGTTTTTCACTCCACTTGTTGCGACAGAGCAAACCAGCCCGAATGGGAAGCCTCAGCCGGTTCATCGCTAATTCCGATTCAATACCGGTCCGGTCCAACAACCGACGAGAACCGGTCTACCTGCAATCGGCGACCTTCGGGACCATTTGGCCGGGTTTTGGACCCTCGGACCAAGAAGGTGCAGAGATGGAACAGAACTCTGTTACTGGCACGTGGCATGGCCTTGGCCGTTGATCCTCTGTTCTTCTATTCCCTATCCATCGGTCGCAGTGGCTCGCCTTGTTTGTACATGGACGGTGGATTGGCGGCGATCGTGACGGTGCTTCGCACGTGTCTAGACGGAGTTCACCTCTGCCACTTGTGGCTTCAGTTCCGGTTGGCGTACGTGTCGAGAGAGTCGTTGGTGGTTGGGTGTGGGAAGCTCGTGTGGGACCCACGTGCCATTGCTTCTCACTACGGCCGGTCACTTAAGGGGTTCTGGTTCGACGCTTTCGTGATACTCCCGGTCCCCCAGGTTAGTCATTTGGCTACTAATGAACTACTTTTACCATGGACTCAATGATTATTGTGTAGTACAGTATGATCACTAGTTATAATTTGTGTCGAAAGAGATGATATATTATAAAATTCGAATACTAAAAAAAATTATTCTCACCATACGAAATAGCAATGTTCTTTTGTACTATCCATTAATTTTTAAAAAATTGATTCTATATTTAATTATATAGTTTAAAATTAATTTCTATTCATTATTTAAAAAAAAAACTAATTGATAATTTTTTAAAAAAATACATGACCTTAACAAATTATTAGGATGTGTACAATATTATATATGAATAATATTTGAAACAAAAATTATATTGAATCAAAAATTAAATGATTTAACTTATTATAGAAATGGGTGATGTGATAGAAATGAGCTGAAAAATATATGAGGATAAGAATGAATAGGGGTGGCAATTTTTGATACGACACGATAACTCGATACGAAACACGATACGAATAAATGAGTTTGAGTTGACTAATTTTTTGACACGACCCACCAACACGAAGTGTTAATGGGTTGTGTTCGGGTTCAAACCGTTTAACACGAAATTTTTAATTCGAAAGAGATTGACTTGACCTTTTCGTTGCATGTGTGAGTTTTTATGTTTTGATGACTTGTTTTTTCCATTACTTCTGATGTTTAATTTGGTTGTATGATGTACAATTAACATATTTAATTAGTATTATATAAAAAAATATTAATTATTTGTAACTGGTTATCAAGTATCGACATAATTATTGTATAAAAAAGATACTATTACTCATTATTGTTGTTATTATTATTATTAAGTTAATTTTTAGTTTGTAGAAAAAGTATGAGGAGAGATTCAATTAAGTGAAAATAAAATCTTAGCGTTAAATTTTTTATTCAAAGTTTATGTACGTCAACACGAATATGAACATGAACACGACACGAAAATAAACAGGTCAACTCGACACGACACGACACGAATAGTTAAATGGGTTGGGTATGAGTTGACTAATGTTCGACACGACACGAATCTGACACAACACGACTCGATTGCCACCTCTACGATTGAAACTTGTAACTCAGTCGCACCTTCTAGTACGGTTACCTTATTACGACTTCACTCCAGTCACTAGTCCTGCCTTCAGCATCCCCTTTGTTACTGTTAAGTTAACGACTTCGGGTATGACCAACTCCCATAGTGTGACGGGCAGTGTGTACAAGGTCCAAGAACGAATTCACCGCCGCATGACTGACCAGCGATTACTAGCAATTCCAGTTTCATGCAGGCGAGTTGCAGCCTGCAATCCGAATAAAGATTTTGTAAGTACATAAAAAACTAGGATCAACAAAATAAAATGACAAAACATTTGGACTTAAAAAAACTCTATATACAAAAACTTTAATCCGATGAGAAATATTCAAGACTAGATCTGTTAAACAAGTGGCGGTGATGATACTATGTTAAACAATCGTCTACTTCAAATGTATAAATTATTAAAGAGGGTATAATTTAAGTATTTATACTTCAACAAAAGAGTCCTTCTGTTTGATTTGAATAAGGATAAGGTGTACTGTGCCTTCTTCTATTCTGTTTTGATTTGAATGTTGCAATCATTATTTTCGTTTTTCTTCTTTGTTCAGGCTGTATTTTGGTTAGTGGTACCAAGATTGATCAGACAAGAAGAGATAAAGCTCATTATGACCATACTTCTGCTAATCTTCTTGTTCCAGTTCCTCCCCAAGGTCTACCATTGCATATCCCTAATGAGAAGAATGCAGAAGGTTACAGGTTACATATTCGGCACCATTTGGTGGGGTTTTAGCCTTAATCTCATTGCCTACTTCATTGCCTCTCACGTAAGCTTACCTTACTCCCACTGCCTAAAGCTTTATTAACAACCACTGACATCTTCCTCTGCCTTTTTGGTTCATCCTGTTTTCAGGTTGCTGGGGGATGCTGGTATGTCCTTGCGATACAACGTGTAGCCTCATGCCTCAGGGAGCGCTGCGACAGAAAAAACACATGTAGTTTGTCTTTGGCGTGCTCGGAAGAGGTTTGTTACCAGTTTCTGTTACCAGCAGACACTATAGGGAATCCATGTGGTGGGAACTCAACAATTACTGTCAGAAAGCCATTGTGCTTAGATATGAATGGAACATTTCGTTATGGGATCTACAAATGGGCTCTCCCAGTCATAACTAGCAACTTGATCAGGGTTAAGATCCTTTATCCCATATTCTGGGGTTTATTTACTCTCAGGTAACAATGAAAGTTGGGTTTCTACATGAACTTGAAGCCAGTTTTCCCTTTTTGAGATTTGAAACAAGTGTCATGCACGTACTTACTGGCTGTCGTCACTTTGAATATTAGTTCTGGATAGTATTGCTTCAGTTTTGAATTTTGAAAACAAAAAGAATGATAGAATAGGTTTTCTGAGCCCACACAGTGATCTTTTTGTCGCTATGTCCTGCAAAACCAATGGATTTTGGAGGGTGTTTCTGAATTTTGTATGTTTGGTTCTTGATTTTGATTTTTGAAATTCTCTGTATACACATGCAATTGACTTTGCATGTTGAAGCTGCATTTCTGCCTTATTGAAATAAGATTCTCCTCAAATTTATTGATTAGACGGTATCAAACTATCTGAACGTGTGTCCTTAGGGAAGGGTTTGTCATAGAAACTTCATTATGTAACTAGCAGCGCACTCATATTAGGTGAGACCTTGAAGTAATAGAACTTTGATGAAACAATATCGAACTTGGAGTCACTGCTGACTAATCTGTCTGAATTTTTTGAGTATATTTAGTGTTGGGTATACTGGCTTCTAATTCGACTCTTTATGATATTCTCGGAAACATGATTGATTTTTTGCATTTTTGTTACAGCACTTTTGGCAATGACCTGGAACCAACAAGTAACTGGTTAGAGGTGATCTTCAGTATATGCATTGTGCTTAGTGGCTTGATGCTCTTTACTCTGTTGATTGGGAACATTCAGGTACCTTAAAACTCTTCTTCTTGCTTAAATTTTCTATGCTAAGGTCCTATTTCCAGAAAAGCAATCTTGGACATGAGACTAGGCACTATGACCATTATTGCTAAAATTCTGCTATAAAGGTATTTTTGCATGCTGTTATGGCGAAGAAGAGAAAAATGCAACTAAGGTGTCGAGATATGGAATGGTGGATGAGGCGGAGACAATTGCCATCTCAACTGAGACAAAGAGTTCGCCATTTTGAACGCCAAAGATGGGCAGCCATGGGAGGAGAAGATGAAATGGAAATGATTAAAGACTTGCCACAAGGGCTTCGACGAGAAATTAAGCGCTTTCTTTGCCTAGACCTCATAAAAAAGGTAAACGAAAGAGCCAAATACCAATATGAAAGTGCAGGGCTATCCTTCCTGAATGCTGAGAGGGATATCTTTTTCTTTTTCCAAATATAGAAACGATGAACATGTTATCACAGCTACTATGAGTCATTATCACAGATCATTTTTACGACTTTCTTGAGAACATTTCTACAAAGTTAGCAAAGCCCTCATATGTTTTATATATTGTGATTTTAATTTTACTTTTCAGGTACCTCTGTTTCACAGTCTGGATGATCTTATCCTTGACAACATCTGTGACCGTGTTAAGCCACTGGTCTTCTCCCGAGATGAGAAGGTATAATGCCAGACAATTACCAATCAATTCATGATTATCTACACATAACCACAACTATGTATTATATTTTGATGTCAACATGAAACAGATCGTTAGAGAAGGAGACCCTGTTCAGAGGATTGTGTTCATCGTTCGTGGGTGTGTAATAAGTAGTCAAAAATTAAGCAAAGGCATGGTAGCCACAAACATTTTAAAACCCGGAGGCTTTTTGGGTGATGAACTTCTTTCATGGGGCCTTCGCCGCCCATTCATAGACAGACTTCCAGCCTCATCTGCAACATTTACTTGTGTTGAATCAACAGAAGCATATGGCCTCGATGTTGAACATGTTCGATACATCACTGATCACTTCCGCTACAAATTTGCTAACGAGAAGCTTAAGCGAACAGCGCGATATTATTCATCCAACTGGAGAACATGGGCAGCCGTGAATATACAGTTGGCTTGGCGACGGTACATTCGGAGGACTAAGCTTCTGGTGGATCATGAGATGGAGAATGGTGGCAGTACTGAGCATCGGCTTCGGCAGTATGCTGCAATGTTCCTGTCTCTCAGGCCACATGACCACCTTGAATAAGAACCTACTGGGACCTTAATGTGGCAAAAATGGGAACTGATTTTGATATGATTTTTCAGCTTTTGATTTGAAGGTGGACACAGACAGGTATTTCTATTAAATGAGCTCAATGGCACACGATTTGTATCATTGTATGAAGAACAACTTATCCGTTGTGTTGTATATGATTTTGTGATGGTATTTCTTTAGCCAACACTATGAACTATGAAGAATGATTTATCCACCAACGAGCTATTAGTCTAGCGGGTAAAAATTAGAATTTCATCGCCCAATGTTTAGCTTCGAGTCTCCATAATTACAACAACTCGTTGGGGCTAAACATATTCTTCAGTCCCCGAAACATGTGGTGGGACCTTAACTTTGGCTCCGACGTAGGTGCGGTAGGATCTCCTGCAGATAGCTGTGTGGTGCTAGTGGACAATATTCTCTGGTGGATATCGACGACTTATTTTAGAACTTATGTTTTGATTTTTTAATCACAAAAAACATTTCAACCATAATAAATGTTTTTGAGGGCGGTATGCATTTTAACCATAGTGAAAATAATCGAGGTTTGCAAGGAACACCTTAGCTGAGACAGGATTGGATCTGAATTCTTTAATTATTGTCATTTTACTTTAATCACACATTTATATTACTCTATGATCCCGTATATGTATAATCCTTTTGCAAATGAATTCGAGTTCTTCTTCATCTTTATCCTCTTTCTCTTTGATAAATCTCCCATTTTAGAGTATGTGTGGCTCATATTTGCTGTGTACATAATGGCAAAGAGACAGATTTTTTTTTTTTAAAAAAAAAAGAGAGAATAATAATTGCTAGGTTTTTTTATTTTTTATTCAAAAAGTCCAATGCATGGTATCTAATTTCATGCAAGCCAGTTATGCTTACTCTTAAATCTACCGCTATTTCGTCTTCTACTTCTTCAAGACTTTCAATCAGAAGAGCCTTGCAAACACAAGCATATTCATCTTATGGGAAAAAAAATCGGTGAAATTCCACTACTGCAAATCGCTAATATAGATAGTTGATGGCATGCAAGAAGATTCGAATATGCATTGTGTCACATGTAAAAATTTAATTCCTATTTAGACTTAGGCTTCACGTAGTTTTTTTTTTTCTTTTATCAATTATTAATTTTTTAGATTGCATTTGTCATAAAAATTAATGCTCACCATTATTTAAATTTAATTTATTAACCTTATTTGTTGATTTAATTCCTCTTTATCGTTAGAACAGTAGTGAATCCCGCAATTAGTTGAAAACACGATCCAAAGATATATTATCGTAACAAATATAAGATCAACAAAATAAATTTAAATAATATGTTGAAGGGTTAATTATATTAGGATAATGTTGGATAAGAATTATATTTGGAATTGGGATAATCGATTTCGAAAATTGTAATCATAGTCTTGGGTAATGATTAGAGTCCTAGCTATATATTTTCGAGGGTTAATTATAATTTGGCCCCCTCCAATTATGTATTTTATTACAATCAGTTTTGTATAATTTTAAATATTATAATTTGTCCATCTAAGTTTCATGCATACTAAATTGACCAACAACAATAGTTGGAACATGAAAGTATTATTATACCTTTCATCTTGCATATTATTTTTCATTTTTTTTTGAGATATTAATTTTATTACTACAAAAAAAAAAAATCAAACAAAAAAAGTACATATGTTCAGCCCAATATTAACACGCTACACAACGCCATATTCGCCTCCACCTCCACCTCCACCTCCACCCAACATTAACACATGCACGCCCGCACACGCGCACACTATTTTGCACGAGAAATTGTGTCTTTTTGACAAAAAAATAGAGATTTATGAATTTCTCAGGTCTAATTTATGTGATTTTTTTATAGTCTAAAATTAATTACTGAAATTAATTGCAAAATATTCAAACTTAAAATAGACTATTTGTTGAAATTAAATTTTGAAGGGGTGAATAGCAAACTACCCAAAATTGAATGGAATATTTTGTAATTAACTCTATTTTCAATTCCACCCATGTAATTCTCCAACCTAAAGTTTTTCGTCTTCCATCTTTCTTTGGTCACTAGAGATCTGTGTATAGTCTTCGACAATTCTCACCACTATTCTCTGACAACTGATCGGCTCTGTAAGATCGATTTTCCGTTGAGTATTTATATATATATTTCTTTGATTGTGAGCTATGGCGACCTCAAAACCTCGAAGATCAAGGGAGGAAATCGAGGACATAATCCTCCGGAAAATCTTTCTTGTTTCACTCGTTGATTCGATGGAAAACGATGGTCGTATTGTTTATTTGGAGATGACGGCAGCTGAAATTCTCAGCGAGGGAATGGAATTGAGACTTTCGAGGGATTTGATGGAAAGAATTTTGATCGATAGGCTTTCAGGTGATTTTCCGTCGGCGGAACCGCCGTTTCAGTATTTGGTTAACTGTTATCGTCGAGCATATGACGAGGGAAAGAAAATTGCTTCCATGAAAGATACGAATGTGAAGTCTGCGATGGAAGTGGTGGTTAAACAGGCCCAAAAATTGTCGGTTTCGTATTGTAGAATTCATCTAGGGAATCCTGATATGTTTCCGAATTGGGATACGAATAAAAGCAATGTTTCTCCTTTGTTGCCATTGATTTATTCGGAGGTTGCGGGTTTAGTTGATGGGTTTGGAGGGGGGAGTAGTAGTGGGGGGGTTTCATGTCCACCTGGGTTTCTGGAGGAGTTTTTTAGGGATGAAGATTTTGATACTATGAACCCGATATTGAAGCAGTTGTATGAGGATTTGAGAGGGAGTGTGCTTTCGGTTTCGGCTCTTGGGAATTTTCACCAGCCTTTGAGGGCTCTGTTGTTGTTGATCAATTACCCCATTGGTGCAAAGTGTTTGGTAAATCACCCTTGGTGGATTCCGAAGGGAGCGTATTTGAATGGACGGGTTATGGAGATGACTAGCACTTTAGGTCCTTTCTTTCATGTTAGTGCTTTGTGCGATCATGCCCTATTCAAAGGTCACCCTGATGTCGGGTGAGTTCGGTTTTTCTTTCCCTGTTTCTAGGTTGTCCTTTAACTCTGCTTGGCATGTACTTTTGTAGGTTGCAATTCGATTTATCTCATTCCATTTTCTGTGCTTGGGAAGATAGTATCCCTGTTCTGTAAACTTGGTTGAACTTATGTTTTACTACTGTTTTGTTTTAACTTATAATGATACTTGATTTTAGTTGGTAGAGTGGATTTGAAGTTTTTGTGTTCCTGCTCTTTTAAAGTTCTATTGTTAGTTGAGCTTGAAGTTCTGCATTGTACAATGAGTTAAATACATTAATGTTGAGTGATAGTGCAAGAGAATTGCATAGTTTACCAAAGAGGCAAAGATTTTGGATTGCAGATGTCTTCTCTAGTCGCATTCCTTACTTTAGCTTTCCGTACTGAAAATCTAAAGGGATTATTCAGAGGTTTTGATGATTGGACCTTGGTAACCTAATAGCCCTAAGCTCAGCAGCAAGGTGTTTGGAAAATATGGCATGACATCAGCTAGTTTTGCTTGATGGATATTCTATCCCCCACCCCCAAACCTTGCTTTTTTTTTTTTGTTTTAAACTTGTGCGCAATTTTATTGGCCTATTCTATGAAAATATCTTTGTAAATAAAATACATTGAAAGATATTTCCAGTAAGGAATATATATCTTTGCTTTTTTGGACATATCCCCCTTCCCCATCCCATTTTAACAGCGAAAGAAGAAAAAACAGAAACGGGGAAGTCCCTGTGAAGTCCTGATCCAGACTTTCATGTTATTCAAATTTGAATCTATCGCGTAGGCGTGTTTATAAACAAGATAGCAAGATAGGTACTGCTTAATATGGTTAGTATACTGAAAGATTGTTATCTCTTTATACAACAGCCAACAATGCTTCTCAACTCGTCGTCGCACTGATCTGTTATCTTCATTCACAACAATCAAAAACGTCATGAACAATTTATATGATGGCCTGACAGAAGTTCTTAGGTGTCTCCTTAAAAATACAAATACCCGTGAGAATGTTCTTGAGTATCTTGCGGAGGTAATCAACAAAAACTCGTCAAGGGCTCATATACAGGTAATTTTGTTTTTTTTTGAGCTTGGCATTATTTGAATTACGGTATAGTGATTGGCATGCTTGTACTTGGTCCCTGGAGTTTTATGTGTAATATTGGTTTTAAGGAAAAATAAACACCACGTTTCATCACCGCATGTTCTCTGCTTCATCCTGCCTAAGTAGATGACCAATATGATGGTCAACACATATGTTTCTGGTTTAACCTTGAATTATATCTGATTTGATTGCAGGTTGATCCAATGTCTTGTGCAAGTTCAGGCATGTTTGTGAATCTCAGTGCTGTCATGCTTCGTCTCTGCGAGCCATTCTTAGATGTGAATCTATCTAAAAGGGATAAAATTGATCCTAAATACGTATTTAACACTACCCACTTAAATTTAAGGTGGGAGACTTCAGTTAATTGGGCGTCTATTATGTAATATTTTCTGCTATGCTTTTCATTGTATCTTCCTGTTGTTATTCCTAATGTTGGTTATGAATCTGTACCAGGGAATTGACTGCACTGCGTGCATCATCTGATGAGGTTGCTGAATGGTTAAACAAGAAAAATCCTACAAAAATTGATGTCTCAACACAAGGTAGTGATGGAGAAAATCGGTTGCTGCAATCTCAAGAAGCAACCAGTTCTGGCAGTATTGCTGGTGGACCTTCTTCCCTCCACAGTAACAAGCCAATGTCAAGTTGTAGCGAGAAAGCTAAATTCCCCTTTATTTGTGAGTGCTTTTTTATGACCACAAGGGTGCTCAATCTGGGCCTGTTAAAAGCATTTTCTGATTTCAAGCATCTTGTTCAGGTAATCAACCATAAATAATGAGTGCAGATAATCTTTGTTATGACTTGTTTCTTGTATTAATGCTGCATCTCTATGTCATGTGATTTATTGCTTGAATCTATGTTATTTCTTGGAAAAATAACCAGTAAGTCCTACTTCACTCACCAAGAAACCACGTAGTTCAGTGAGACCAATAAGTCCCTACTTTTTTAAAAAACCGATTCTAACAAGTTCTCTATATACTTGAATTTTTTTTTTAAGTTGTTCCACAACGAGAGGCTAAGTTCTGATCTCAAACCTACAACGTGCCACTTGGGCGGAGGAGTACTTGTGATGATCCCTCAAGGGCTGGTCTGTAATCAATTAGTCGTCAATACAGTGGCGATTAAAGATATTATGAGCTTATTGAAAATAGGTGTTTTTATATTTGTTTAATAAAGAAAAGATATATTTAGAGCTAAAAAAATTGGTTTTCCAGTTATGAGGGCAAAAAATAAAATAAAATAGATAGTGTGCTTGTTTGAAGAAAACAAGACTTATTGGTCCAACTGGAAATTTTGTAGGCCTTAATGGTTTATTGGTTTGTAAAGTAGGACTTAATGATTCTGAACATAGTTGTCAAATCGTATATCGGAAGGCGTATCGTATCGTGTATCGTAAGATACGCACAATTTTAATTTTTAAATAATTATTAATAAAATATATGTATATACCTTTGTAAAAAAGTCATAGATGCATAAATTCATAATAACATAGTATTTCATTAATATTACACGAACTATTTAAGTTCCCAACATAGTTTAGTAATATCAAAATGCGAAGACCTCTAATTCAAACTTCTAACATCAACTGTTTGAACAATCTTAATATTAATCAGAAATTTTGAATTCAATTGAACAATATTAATAACAGATTTTATTTATTTATTTTTAAACCATAACCACTGAAACAACGTTGTTTCACTAGTTAATGATTTAAAAATAAGTTTTAGGGTAAAACGATGTCATTTCAACCCAAAAAATCAAAAAAAAAAAAAAAAGATAAAAAAAAGAACTGTGACGTATCGTGTATTGTATGATATGGTACTAAAATGATACAGAGACACAATACGTATCGTTTTCCAGGTGTATCGTGACGTATCGTATGATACTAATAACTATGATTCTGAAGTACATGTTTTTTGATTGATAAATGGTATTTATGTTTTTGAGTAAAATTTTATGCAGGACATTTCAAGATGTGAAGATACCCTCTCAACTTTCAAAGCCCGGCAGGAGCAAACACCTTCTCAACAACTGGAGCGAGATATAGCTCGCCTTGAAAAGGAAATTGAGATATATTCACAGGAAAAGCTATGTTATGAAGCGCAGATACTTATGGTATATCAGCCTGAATCCTCTGTCTGTTTGGGAGTGTGCATGCTTGCAAGTGTGTTGCACTGTCTTCACTGATTAAGTCATCCTTTTGTGGGCTGTTTATATACCTCATAATGATAAGTCAAACCAATGAAGTGAAACTTTTATTAGTTACTAATGAGGTTATACTTACCTGCCAAAAAATATATTGTTATACTTATATAGTAACACGACATAGAGGATAAAATTTAGACCTACCAGATGCCACCAATAAGTAATCAAGGCTTAAAAAAACAATATAGAAATTTATTAACCCATTGTCATTTTAACTGCCAATATTATTTTTAACCTTTCTTTTCTGCGCAAGTGTTGTTATAATTAATTTGTAATTCTTAGGATGGAGGCCTTGTTCAGCATGCCTTGTCTTTCTACCGGTTGATGGTGGTTTGGTTAGTGGGTCTGGTAGGGGGTTTTAAAATGCCTCTGCCGTCAACATGCCCCATGGAATTTGCATCTATGCCAGAGCATTTCGTGGAAGATGCCTTGGAATTGCTTATTTTTGCCTCTCAGATTCCAAAAGCTTTGAATGGGGTCTCTCTGGTACGACAGTTTTCTACAATTTTTGTGTGCATTCTTATTCTTTATAATGTATTTGATGCATTTAAACTATGTACTGGGTCATTTTTTCTTACAGGATGATTTTATGAACTTCATCATCATGTTCATGGCAAGTCCAGAGTATATTAGAAATCCATATCTAAGAGCGAAGATGGTTGAAGTACTGAACTACTGGATGCCCCATGGAAGGTGATTTTATGTTTTCCGCTGCACATCAATAGAAGATATTTCCCTTCTTTTTAATCTCTTTAGTTTCGCAAGCTGAATATTTAGGTACTTATGCCTCTAACCAAATGTGTTGCAGTGGCTCATCTATTACATCTACCCTATTTGAAGGGCACCAGTTGTCTCTAGAATATCTTGTGAGGAATCTTCTAAAGCTTTATGTTGACATAGAGTTCACAGGTTCCCACACACAGGTGATTGTCTCTCCCATTTATCGTTATGTGTTTGAGAGACAGCAGCAGCTTCTTTTTGTAGTTCTCATTGGAATAGTATTTTCCTTCATCGTGGATGTTTTTCTTCTAATGATTATCTTAGATGCTTCTCTAGATACTAAGAAATCATGACCCTTTCCTAATGGATGCCCAAAAAAATTGCTTTCTTCATTCTCCTTTGCATCTTGATCCCTGTCTGGTATCAGTCAGTTTTTCAGAATCAATGTTAATTATAAACAGAAGGGTGGTATTCACTGGTTACTGAAGTCTTGTGATCTCTTACCTTTTCCAAATCATTCATGAGGTTATGATGGTATTTTGGTATGCCAAATGGGAAAAATCTGGCTGGCTAGAATGCATTGTTACTCCATCTACAAGGTTATGACCAAATAAAATCATTCATAATTGTTAACCATGTGTCTGGTCAATGATTGTGTCTCCCCCAGATAGACAACATCAATGCTAGCAAGAGCACCGAGTGGGATGATGACATAACTTAGTCGTGGCATTGCTAATTTGGAGGGCTGAGAAAGCTATGCATCTAAATTCTTTGACCTTGGATTTAATTTCTTGCCACTTTACTGAAAAAATGTGTTTGCCTATATCGGGTAATGGAGTGGTAGTATCTGTAAACTTTCTGGATCTAATGAATTAAGAGGCATCCTATCAAAGTTCTAGCTGTCAATGGGCTTCGGGAGCCTTCTGAGGTGGGTATCGGTCTTCATGGGCTCAATCTGTTTTCGTACATAAGCTGGTTTTATTTGATTGGTATTTGAAGAAATTTTTGGTTATTTACATTTGCTGGCAACATGAGATCTATATCATTTGACCTTTTTTTTGGTAATAAAATACCTCACGGGGTCCTTTCTAATTTTGCTTTTTTTTTTAAATGATATTTGTGATTTAGTTGTCTCCTGTGATTTAGTTTTTCATTGTTGACTTAATGTATGGAAGGTTGACAAAATCGTTTCTCTCCTGATGCAGTTCTATGATAAATTTAACATCCGCCACAACATTGCCGAACTTCTTGAATACCTATGGCAGGTTCCTAGTCACCGCAATACATGGAGACAGGTAGAACCATCTTCGGTCACTGTTTAGTATTTTATTTAGCTTTTAGCTTTTTGTCAGTTGAAATTTTACTCTTCTGAAATTAATATGCTTTTCCAGATTGCTAAGGAAGAGGAGAAGGGTGTCTATCTGAATTTCTTAAACTTCCTAATCAATGATAGCATCTATCTTCTCGATGAAAGTCTTAATAAAATTCTTGAACTCAAAGAGCTGGAAGCTGAGATGTCTAATACGGTAGAATGGGAGCAAAGACCAGCTCAAGAGAGGCAGGAGAGAACCCAACTTTTCCACTCTCAAGAGAATGTTAGCGTTTATTTTATTTTTGGAACTTTTTTTGTATTGATTTACTTTGAAAAATAGAGAAATAATCATTATCAACACTAGCCTTTGTTTAATAATGAATTCTTATCCCCATGAAATTAATGTGTGCTCTAGATCATACGGATTGATATGAAACTGGCAAATGAAGATGTGAGCTTGCTGGCATTCACTTCAGAGCAGATTACAGCTCCTTTCCTACTTCCAGAGATGGTGATTTTTCATTTTCTGTCCGTTTTCTTTTCTGAGTTATGATAAATTACACATCGTTTGAGTCACTGGATTTTTTTTGGGTTACTTATAGGTTGAAAGAGTGGCCAGCATGTTGAATTATTTCTTGTTGCAACTTGTGGGACCCCAAAGAAAATCTCTTAGCTTAAAAGAACCTGAAAAGTATGAGTTCGATCCAAAACAGTTGCTTAAGCAGGTTAGCATCACATCCATCTTTCAATTTCCTTGTATATGGACATCATTTTTGATTATTCGCAAACCAATCAAGTGTCGAAGGTAATAATCTGGCAGTTTCCATCTAGCGGGTCTGTAAGGAATTGTTAGTTAATAGCATGACATATTCTTCAGCCTGTACCTTTCCTTACATTTTTTGATGTGAGGGTTTAAAAAAACCTTGTTAATTCTGGGGGTTGATCGAATCTGTAACAAATTGATGATTAGTTCTATCATTTGTTATTTCAATTTGATGAGGACCGTGATGTGATCATGTTTCCAACTGAATGCATGCCAGCATTTATGTTGGACAATTTGTTTTCACAAGCATGACCTGTTAGTGACTTGTATAATTGAAATTTGTGGCAGACTAATGTCTCCCATCTTTGCATCGTATGCATTGCCTCTCAAGATGCGGTGTAACATTGCTCTAATAATCAAATGTGCCTTCTTAGAAAAACAAAATTAAAATTAAAATCTTTCTCCAAAAGCCAATTGAATATGCTTGTCTATTTGTTAGTAACATTTCCCATGATACTTCAGTATTTGTCGTGGTCAATCAGTATACTCATGTGTAATGTGAATACAGCTTGGACCAAAATGTAGCCAGACTGACTTTGTGTTTTCTGATATGAAGATTGTGAAAATATATGTTCATCTAGCAAGGGGTGATAAAGAAAACGTTTTTCCAGCTGCCATCACTAAGGATGGTCGTTCCTATAACGAACAGGTATTCAGTGGAATTTGAGTCTCTTTTGCACTTCTCATGGACTATATCTACCACAAAACTCTTTTTTGACAATTCAGATTTTCTCTTGTTACTGTAGACTTGCTTAAATGTAATCTAACAGTTCAAATCTGCTGCAGTTGTTTACTGCTGCGGTACATGTCCTCAGGAGAATTGGTGAAGATGGGAGGATCATCCAGGAATTCAGTAGGCTCGGTTCAAAAGCCAAAGCTGCAGCTTCTGAGGCCATGGATGCCGAAGCTGCCCTTGGAGAGATACCAGATGAATTCCTAGACCCCATCCAAGTACATCTCATGTGTCATTCTTGCCATAGTTTGATCATTAACCTATGATAATTACTCTTGTTTGAGCATTATAATTTAAAATCCCGCCATTATCTGTTTCTTTGTGTTATATTTGTACTGCGTATAGAAAGGGGAAAATGCTGATCACTTATGTTGGATTGCAGTACACTTTAATGAAGGATCCAGTTATTTTACCTTCTTCAGCGGTCACAGTCGACAGACCCGTCATTCAGAGGCATCTTTTAAGTGATAATGTACATCTTCCACTCCTACATAATTGATATTTATTTGATCATCTAAAGTCATGGTTTACAATTCTCTCTAATTCTTTGAATTACAGAGCGATCCATTCAATCGTTCCCCTCTTACCCCGGACATGTTGATTCCTAACACCGAGCTTAAAGCGAAAATTGAAGAATTCATCAGGTCCCAAGACTTGAAGCGGCGTGGAGAAGATTTGAAAATGCAAAGCGCAAAAGCTGCAATACAGACTACAACCGATAGGATGCCACTAATTGATTAGGAAGTGATTTTAGAATTTCTAATCATTGTAAATGTGAATTATTTGTATTTTTATGACCAAAGTAAAAATGTACTAATATGATTATACCGATAATTAATCATTAAGTGCTAAACTGTGATCATCTACATCTCTCTGTTTCTGATCAGGGTTTAACTTCCTGATAGATTCTGAAGCTTTGCGTTACGATTTGGTGTGTGATAGATGCAGGGCATAACAATTCCACTTAGCATTCTAACTGCTATGATAGTTTGTACATGGCATGGTTGCAGTTTCCCCCCAATCTTCTATTTTTATAAAGTTGTTACATATACAAATGGTAATGGGCAGCCTGTGCATGAGGGTCAGCAGTCTCTGTACGAGGCACTTATCGTAGCGAGATCAAGAGGTTTGTGTAATATGACTAAAGAGGATGGTTCAATGCACAACACTGTCCCTACAGTGGAGGGTGTTAAATATATACAATTTTATCTTATGCGTAGAGAGATTTTGCATGACTTGAACCTTTTAAAATAAGATCATAATAGAACAATTTTATCGTGCACCCAGAATTTTTTCATCTCCCCAGTTCTCAATATGGGTGAAAATCATGCCGTGTTGACTATATTCGTGTCGTGTCATTTACGGGTTTGTGTTGAACATTAATCAATTCTAACTCAACCTATTTAACTAATCATGTCATGTCGATTTAATTTGTTTATTTTCGTATTGTGTTCTTGTTAACTCATGTAATTCGTGAATAAAAAATTTAATCTTAAGATTAAAATCTAAAATTCTATTATCACTTAATCGAAATCATGCACATGCTTTTCTATACACTAAAAGTTAACTTAATAAAAATGAGTAGACATCTTTTTTTTATACAAGAATTATGTCAATACTTGAAAAAAATAATTAAAAAATGATATTTTATTCCTATAATCGTAGTTGAAAGTGTTAATCGTGTCAATTTCGTATTGTTTATATTTGACACTAACTCGATCCATTTATTATTTGTATTTACGGGTTATGTCATTTACGAATTCGTATCGAGAAATAATCTAATCTAATTCACTAATTTCGAATTGTATTTTCGTGTCATGTCAGAAATTCCCATCCCTAGTTCTCGGCCATCTTTATAGTAGAAGCAAGTGTTGTTCAAGTCATTCCTCCCATTCTTCTCAAATTAGATCACTGCCACACCTGTTCCATTGAAGTAATTATCAAGCACAAGAAGTAGCATGCATGCAGTTGTTCCTACCACCTCGATTTGATTGAATGTCATTCGTAAATATTTTTATTTTTTTAATAACGTCTCTTGTTCCACTGATTGACTTTATCCTGAGAGACCCAAATCCCCCAGCGAAGTATAAGGAGCTGATGTCATAAATATTTTGCATAAGACTGTTAGAAATTGCTGTCCCTGATTTTATTCCTCTTAACAGAGGTGTTTTGGTGTTGGGTAATGAGGGAGTCGTTGAAACTAGGGAAGAGAGAGGTAAAGGGTGATCTTTTATTTGATGAAGCTCATTGGATTAAGTTAAGGGATTTTTTTGGCTAAAGTGGATCTTGCCTTAGTTCCTAATAAAAAAAAAAGGTAAGAAAAACAAAATAAGTACTGGGGTTAGGAGAAATAAGGGTTTGAGAGAATTGAAAAATTAGAATTTGAGGTCAATTATGAAGGGGGGTAGTGTTAGGAGAGAAGCTGGAGGAGCTTAGTTGATTTATGAAAATTGTGAGTTGGAATGTGCGGGGATTAGGGAATAAAAAGAAGAGTTCTATAAAGGTGGTGGTGATGTCTAAAATTGAACCAGATATCCTATTGTTGCAAGAGACTAAGAGGTATGTGGTTGACAAAAAGATGGTATCTACTATTTTGGGTGTCAGGTTTAAGGATCGGGAAGGTAAATTTGGTGGTCTTATTATTATTTGGGATATGAGGGTTGTGTCTATCTTAGAGATTGTTGTGTGGGGGAAATATACTCTTTCTATTCTCTTTAAATCGCTGAAATGGAATAAAGTGGTGGTTGTTAGAGTGTACTCCCTCCGTTTCTAAAAATCTGTCGTTTTATACAAATTTTTTTTGCATAATACCTGTCGTTTAATGAAACCAAAGTATAATTAATATTTTTTCTTCTAAATTTACCCTTAACTTTTCAATGCATTAGATTAGGTGGAGACTAAGTGTCTTTTATATTCATTTTCTTCCCAATACGTATTGAATAAGGGTATTTTAGTCTTGTATAATTATTTTTACTCATATTAAAGTTATTTAATAACTTCATTAATCCTTGTACAAAAACCTTAAACGACAGATATTTATGAACGGAGTAATTTCAATAAATTGATTGGGGAAACTAGTTTGTGTGATCCACCTTTAGGTAATGCTTCACATACTTGGACTAACATGAGGAAGAACTTTGTTTGTTGTAGGCTCGATATGTTTTTATTTTCTCAGGAATGGGAGGAGTGCTACTCCAGTGTGAGACAAGAAGTGTTACTCAGAGTAGCATCAAACCATTTCCCTATTGTTTTGGATTCGAGTGCTTTTAAGCGCGGTTCCGCTCTTTTTAGATTTGAGAACATGTGGTTGGAGCATTCACAAGTTCAAGGGGAAATTTAGAAATTGGTGGCAAGAAAATTAAGTTCAAGGATAGGAAGGTTTTAGATGATATTAGGTTGGAAAAAAGTATGATTTTGAATCGTATTGTGGATCTTGATAGGCTGGATGTGTTGGGTAATTTAAATGAATAATTGGGAGAGGAGATATCAGAACTAAGGAATAAGGAAGGTGGTTTTTAAGGAAGAAATAAGGTGGAGGCAAAAAGCAAAGGTTACTTGGGTTAAAAGAGGGGAATAGTAATTCAAAACTTTTCCATTAGGTGGCAAATGGTAGAAGAAAGAAAATTTTGATAAGTAAACTTGAACTTGCTAATGGCAAAGTGATCGAGGATGAGAAGATGAGTTCATTAATTATTTTAGAGATTTGTATTCTGCTCAAGAAGGAACAAGACCGATTTTGTTAGGGTTGGAGTAGAGTGCAATTGAAAGTCAAAAAACTAGGTGGTTAGAGAGACATTTTGAGGAGATGAGTATTTGAATGTGGTAGAGATAAATCTCCTGGACTCGATGAGTTTTCTTTGGCTCTATTCCAACATCGTTGGGATGTGGTGAAAGATGATCTAATGAAAGTCTTTAGGGAATTCTTTAAGTATAGTGTGGTGAATGTGAATATCAATGCTACTTTCATTTGTTTAATTTCTAAAAGGCAAAATTCTTTGAAAACAGGTGATTTTAGACCAATTAGTCTAGTCACAAGTTTGTGTAAGATTCTTGTAAGGTGTTGTCAATAGGATTGAGGAAAATTTTGAGGGATACTATTTCCAAAAGTCAAAGTGCTTTTGTAATGGTGAACAATTTTTTGGATAGTGACTTGGTGGCTAATGAAGTGGTGGAGGAGTATAGAATGAAAGGTAACTAAGAATTTGTGTTTAAAATTGAATTTGAAAAAGTATATGACCATGTAGATTGGAGAGTCTCATATTTCATTTTAGAGGTGAAAGGTTTTGGGAATAGGTGGAGAAAATGAATTTAGGGATGTTTTGTTAGAAATAGTTAGTAATGTAAAGTTATCCTACATTGGAAAATTGAAAGGAAGTGTAAGAGTTTAAAAGAAGGAACACACTAAAATTTATAAGTCTAGATAGTGGGAAAATTTGGAGAGAAGCTCTAAATATTTCAAATCAATGTGTCTTGATTAGGCTTTAAATAAAATAATATTTAAAGTCAAAAGATGGACACTTGAAGCCTATAAATAATTAATATTTTGTGTTAATTAAGCAGTTATTTAACTGTTATATGTCTTTTGACTCAAGAATTGTGTCTCTTCAATGCATCTCTAAGGTATTATAAATACTTGTACAAATCCTTCAATAAAAAATATACAAAACGTTTCTTTATTCTGTTCTTAAGAGAATTTTAAAGTTTGTTATCTAAAATTTTATTTGACTTTGTTAATTCTAGAGGAATTTGCCTTAAACCCAGTAGCAACATAGTGGGAACATAATTTCTTTAAGTAGAGTGAATACACGATCAAAACCTTCTATTCTAATATGTTGTAATTATTTTGCTAACATGTTTATCTTCCATGAATTTTTCGGTGCTACTAAATTGTAAATCAAGAGAAAGGAATAATGCATTGAGACAAGGGGATCCACTTTTCCCTTTTCTTTTCACTTTAGTGGTGGATGGTTAAAGTAGAATGGTGGAAAAGGGTGTGGAGCATTATTTAGTGGAAGGTTTTATAGTGAACAAAGATAGGCTTGATGTATCTCATCTCCAATTTGCCAATATACCACATGATTCTTGTCCAGGAATGAGACAAAGTTCCGGAATTTTGTGAATATTATTAAGATTTTCAGTTTGGTTTCAGGGTTAAAGGTTAATATGTCTAAGAGTTCTATGGTAGGTGTTAAAGTTTCTAGGAGTAAGATTGAGGGTTTGGCTAAAAAAATAGGTTGAGATGTGAGTGTGTGGCCACTAAAATATTTGGGTATTCCATTGGGGGTCATCCACTATCTTTTAATTTTTGGAATCTAATTGTGAAAATAGTGCAACAAAGATTGAAAAAAATGTTGTTTATCTAGGGGAGGGAAGCTTACTTTAATCCAACTTATTTTAGGTAGTATTCCTACGTATTTTATGTCTATTTTTAAGATTCCAAAAAATGTGATTATATTTTTGGAGAAGATGATGTGAAAGTTTCTATGGGAAGGTAGTGGGGAAGGAAAGAAAGACCATTTTGTGAGGTGGAAGTTGTTTCTAAGTCTAAACTGAAAGGGGGATTGGCTATTGGTCAATAAGTTAAGAGGAATGTGACATTGTTGGAGAAGTGGCTTTGAAGGTTTCGTTGGAGTCTAATTCTTTTGTGGCACTCTATTGTCAAAAGTATGAAATTCATGACAATGGTTGGGACTCCAATGTGGTGAGTCGAGGCTCATTTCATTGTCATTAGAAATTTATTTCTCAAGAATTGGATGAATTTAAAAAGCATGTTACCTTGAGAGTATGAGAAATAGGAAAATAGTTCGTTTTTTGGAGGACATTTGGATTGACGAGACATCTTTAGCGTAACGTTTTTCACGACTTTTTAGATTATCAGGGTCCTGCAATTTTTCGGTGTCTAAGGTATTCGTTTCTAATATGTCTTCTCAGGGGCGGAATTTGATTTTTTTTCGTAGTCTTAATGATCGAGATACTTTGAAGTATTCTTCCTTACTTTCTTTGCTTGATTTACTCTCTTTGAATCTTTTAGTTGGTGATAAAAAGTCAAGGTCTTTTAAGGCTTTGGGAAATTTTTCATGTTGTCCATATTTCCAGTAGTTGATTGATAATGCAGTAGACTCCATTTTTGAACCTCACTCAGTGATTTGGAAGGCAAGAGTGTCCATCAAGGTGAAGGTGAAGGTGCTTGCTTGATTATATCTCACGGTAAGATGAATACTTATGATGTGCTACAAAAAAGAAGGCCTAACACTTGTATTTCTCTTCCATAACACTTGTATTTCTCTTCCATTGTGTCTTGCATAAGAAAAGTGCGGATAGTATGAATCATTTGTTTATGCATTGCCCTAAAGCTCATTTATTGTAGTATACGTTGTTCCGAGAGACGGATTTGGTATGGGTGACTCCATTTAATTGTGCATCTCTAATGGTTACGTGTTTTGATGGTTTTAGAAAAGATAGAAAATTACCATTCTATGGGGACGTGCTACTACTTTGGCTACCTTTTGGGTGTTGTGGATTGAAAGACAACTGAATTTTTGAAGATAAGGAGGAGAAAAAAAAAATTATTATGGGATAATAAAGTGAAGTTTTTGGCTGTAGTTACTAATGAGTTAGTGACACCCCTCTTTTAGTTCTACAACATAACTGAAACTGTTTGTAATTCTTAGTTTGTTTTGTTTTTTTGTTCTTGTACATGAATTTCTTATCCACTCTTTTGCACATTTTCATTTTCTATGGAATGAAATTTTGTTTTCCTATCAAAAATAAGACCGTTAGATACAACTATAGACCACAACTATTTCGTGAACTGTTTGCGACAAATTCTAAGGGTAGTTCAAATGATAACAGGGACGAGTTATAAACCTACATGTTCTTCTAAGTTCAAATATTGACAACTTCTTAGATCCAGGCTACGAGAGATTTATCTCTCTCTCGAATACTCTAATCCCGACGAGGAGATTAGTCGAGATATGAACTTAAAAAAAAACCATTTGCTGCAATTCGGTACACCACCTACCTTTCTGTACCCGTAATTAAGAAGATGATCCACTTGATTAGCTTCCTAGCATCGTCTATGTAAAAGCTGGCACTAGACATTGTCATCAAAATCATCCAGTGAACTGAGCATTGTGGCGTAAAACGAGTATTGTAGCCTACCTACCACCAACAATGTCGAAAGCCAACAATTCTCAGAGGACACCACCACATGTAGCTCTCTTCCCAAGCGCCGGCATGGATCATTTGACTCCATTCCTTAGGCTTGCCACCATGCTAGCTTCACAAAACTGCGTGGTCACCCTTGTCACTGCTCAACCTCCAGTCTCAGCTGCAGAGTCCACCTACTTGTCTAGCTTCCTTGCCTCACACGCACAAATCAAGGGTCTCGAGTTTCAAGTCCTTCCCTTCGAGCCAACCAATCTTACTACCGATGATCCTTTCTTTCTTCAGTTTGAAGCAACTCGTCGCTCTGTTCATCTTCTCCGTCCTCTTTTATCTTCTTTATCTAACCTCTCTCTGCAATATTCTCTGATTTTTCATTCGCCGCAAGTATGAATCAGATTGCTGATGATCTCTGCATACCCAACTACATTGTGTTAACCACATCTGCTAGATTTTTCTCTCTAATGGCCAACCGTCCTCACCTAACACTGGAAAAATATGCCAAATTTAGTGGTAGTGACAAGAGTCTTGAGATACCTGGTTTAGCCCCGCTTCCATTATCAAGTATTCCCCCACCATTGTTCAATTCTGACCATCTCTTCACTACCCTGATAACTTCAAATGCCACATCTCTCTCAAAAGCAAAAGGAATCTTAATGAACACCTTTGATGGGTTCGACCCAGAAACTATTGCAGCACTCAACAATGGCAGAGTTATAAGTAATCTCCCACCTGTTCTTCCAGTAGGCCCTTTCGAAACTTATGAGCTCAAACAAGGCCATCATCTTCCATGGCTTGATGACCAACCCGCTGAATCTGTACTGTATGTTAGCTTTGGTAGCAGAACCACCATGTCAAAGGATCAGATAAGAGAGCTAGGACATGGAGTGGAGAGAAGTGGGTGCAGGTTCTTATGGGTTTTAAAAGCAAAGAAAGTGGACAAAGAAGAGCTAGAAGAATTATTGGGTGTGTCTTTCCTGGAAAGAACAAAGAACAAAGGGATGGTAGTGAAAGGATGGGTGAACCAAGAAGCAATTCTAGAACACCCCGCCATAGGAGGTTTCCTCAGCCACTGTGGATGGAATTCAGTGATGGAAGTGACTAGGCAAGGGTTACCAATCTTGGCTTGGCCACAACATGGAGACCAGAAGATAAACGCAGAGGTGGCAGAGAAAGCAGGCTTGGGGTTGTGGATAAGACAATGGGGTTGGGGGGGGGGGGGGGGGGGGGGGGTGAGATTAGTGAGAGGTGAAGAGATAGGAGAGAAGGTTATAGAGCTGATGGGGGATGAGAACTTGAGGGCTAAGGCAAGGAAGGTGGGGGAAGAGGCTAGGAAGGCTGGTGACGAGGGTGGGAGCTCTAAAAAGGTATTGCAGGGAGTCATTGAAATGCTGAAGCCCATATAATGGAACTAACTATGTTTGTTGTTTGTTTTTCTTTTGTAGTTTTTCACTTCCATGCGATGTTTCCAATATCAAATTGTCTGGGACTCGGGGTGTTTAAATGCTTGTCTTTCTTTCTGTAAATTGAATTAAGAGTAGAAGGACAGGGCATTCGAATTAGCCAATGTCGATGAAAGAACCAACAAATATGTGAATCAGCTAATGTGGATGGAAAATCAGGTTGTATTGGAACAAAAATTGGAACCTGTTGCAACTGATATCTATCTTTTATTCCAGATTCTATCATTTATCATGATTTTCTTCCAGATGGTTTTTCGCAATTTTGAGTTTGTTAAGACATGCATATGATAGAGATGGTACCAGCAAACCGATGTTCAAATTGCAGACTTTAGTTCCACAAAAATTCTTACAGTATATGACACTAGGGTTTTCCTTCAGAAATTTTCCATGTTAGCTTGATGTATTGGAGTAAGCCCTATTGAATAATAACATGCCCCATTTAGCAGACCAACTGCACAAGAGTACTGCCCCAGATGTTGAAAATCACCTTGTTTTACTTTGTATCCAGACTCCATACCTTAAAGCAATCAAGAACACCAAGATACAGTGTAATGTAATTAGTACAAATACGAAGGGAACTGTTATTAATTGTTAGGGTCTTGAAGCATGCTTCATCCCTCCTTTGTTTTGAGTTTTGAGGATCTATGAAGCCATAATCTGTAATTGAATTTCATTTCATATTTTTGCCATAAAAAGTTCCACGATGGAACAGGTTCATTTTCAATATTCGTAACTTCATCAGGTACCATTCCTTATGCATTTAGCATAAGCACTAATACTCAAAGATGCAAATCAGTTGCGGGAGCCACAAAAAACCAAAACCAGATCAGATGTAGGTCAAGCCACGAGTTCTTTAACGCAATAATCAACTGAATGAACATGTAAAGAAAATTATCAAGGAAAATAACTTCTCACTTATATTGCCACTCGCTTATATTGCCACCAATGCACGAGAAAAGTTCAAAGTTGTCTCTATTAGCGCGACAAAGACGTACCACTTAGGCAGAGAGAGCACCCTTTGAAATGACATCAAAAGATATTCCATTTTCTTGGAGTCGTTGTTGGAGATCTGTTGGGCCAAATACAATCCCAGGAGGAAAAACTCCTCCCTTTGGCAGGTTCCCACGTTGGCTCAGTAGAATGAGAGCACACTGGATCAGAATAATTGGAGTTGTTAAATAACCAATCTCGGGTCCCATTACTCTTGTTATTATTTCCATGTCCAGTTTTGCCTTTCCTGGTGCAACGAGGCTGCTGTCGCTAAATCCATGTCCAACAAACCACATCTTAAATGTAGCACTTGCCACCTCATCCTCTGTTGGACCTTTTTCCCTGAACCACCCCAGGCTGAAGAATGAGGGAAATTTCAAGAGCAGCCATCTCCCAAAAGCAATTTTTCCCAAGAGCCCAATGAACATCCCGACACTGATGAAGCGGAAGATGCCCAACAGAGACTTAGACCCTATCTTCACCCCAAAGTGAGCAGGCTTCACTGTTGACCAGAAAGCCTCCCTTCCTTCAATCTGTTCTGCACTTTCATTAGAACCAGGAAGACCACGGGGTTCTCCATCAGAGTGGTGAGTGTTCTTCGGACAACGATAGAATCTGCCGATGGTAGCTTCACAGCCCAAAGACCAATCTTCTTCTGGTGTTCTATCGTTGGTCCTTTGGAAGGAGAAGGACCAGGAATCTGCAAATAGACAGCCAAATTCAAAATCAAAAACTACAATCCAACCATACCCCGTTAGAGTGTGTATTCAAAAATCCTTGTCATCATCATCACAAACCGCTCACTATCTTCTTTGGTCTTCATTAATCAAGGATGCAGAAAGCCCCAGTAGATCATAAATAAAATGGTTAAGACAGCGAACGTTTATTTGCACTAGTTCCACCACAACCATAATACTCCAAACGTATTTATCTGCTTCTGAATTCCAACACTTCCTCCTCCCACAATTTCCACAACAACCTAAAATACTCTATAATGATAAGAAAACTTCTCCAAGAAAAAAATTGCAGAAAGTGATCATAGCCTCATGAATCTCAATTGTTTGGCAAGCCCAATTGTTCTCCATTTTGACTTGTTTCGTGAACAGAACAGTCACAGATGTCGAAGAGAATGAAATCATTTACAAGAATGCCTGATTCAATCCCAGCCTATGTCATAAAGAACTGAATACAAATGAACAAATTAAACTATAACAAAATTTATTGTTTTCTCCAGCCTAATAAATTTGTCTATACTATGCCCATGTCCATTTACCAAGCATAACTTTTAGGATGAAGTATACTCCTAAGAAAAACATTTGTCCTCAGATTCATCAATTTTGCAAAAATATTGTTGTTGTTCAGCCTTAAAAGAGTAATATAAGTCGAATATATACTGAAAACCATCCAGAAATTAGAATAACAGAGTTTTCTGCGCAACCTCTGATTAATTAACAGAAACAAACCTTTAAAGTCTATCCATTTGATCACAGTTCAACAGATAATTATTTCCTGGAAAAAATCAAAACAAAATATGCAAACAGAATAGACATCAATAGAACTCGAAATTTTCAAATAAACTGCAGCCTCTATGGAATGAAGCATACAAAAAAGCATAGAAAGCTCTGGTGTGTAAACAAACCCTTGTTACAAAAAGAAATAGCATATCTTCGAAAACTGAAAAAGCATGTAGTATTCTACCTTTTCTCAACAATAAATATCAAATGAAGGTAGACTTATGTTTGGTAGCTCAGAAAACCAAGGAAAAGTAAAAGAAAAGGGCTTAACATTAGGGAGATTTTTCATATACAAAAGGCTCGTTTCAATCAGCCAGATAGCTATTACAGGGTCATCAGTTTAGAGGAGGCTCTGTCTCCTCATGCTATAGACAATCAATTATCGACAAATAAAATTAAATTACTATCTTCAACAAAATTTGATAGAAACAACTAAGTATGAAGTATGGGAAATGAATTGATATAAGATGATTAAAACTACAAAATTGAGGCAAAGAAAGGTTCGTTGTTGCCTTTATCAACCGAGAACCGCAACAATTAGAACATAATAGGACATAGTATCATGAAACATTGACAGGAACACCAAAGTACCTCTGCAGCCAAGAAATCTTTTCAGCAAACTTACAAAAACATCAATAATCACTGGACAAGTTAACCTCGAAATATATATATATACATGAAGCGTGTGTGTGTGTGTGCGCACAGAAACAGAGAGCATGACCCAATGCAGGAGACTCGTAGAGCTTACCACAGGCCGAGCTCTTCTGGGTCTGGACCGCCTCAACTCCTGCAATTTCTCCACATTAGCCACACCCAAAATCGCAGATTCATAGGTCCCAATATTCCCAACAACCCTCTTCTCCGACTCCAGACTCAAGTACGCCTCAACCCTGTTGGGCACCGCCGGCGAAACCCATTGCCTCGAATTGAACATCAACCCCAACTCCGCCGGCACCGAGTCGAACCCACATGCCGAAATTACCAAGCGACCCTTCTCCACGGCTTTCTCGTGGTATATTGTCTCCACTCTCTCCATAAACTCCGGCTCACCACAAATGTCCAAATAATCGCAGCCCGAATCAACACATGCTTCGACGACGGGCTCTCCGTAGAGGCGAAATGGGCCGACACAGCCGAGGATGAGCTTTGTTTGGGCGGCGAGACGGTGGAGGGATGGTGGGTCGGTGGTGTCGGCGGTGAGAATTGGGATTTGGGGTGGTGGGTTTGGATGAGATGCCCATTTTAATGTTTCAGCAAGTTTAGTTGGGTTTCGGCCGGCTAAAGCGATGGTTTTGAGTGGAGACGATGGACTGTTGAGAAATTTTAGTGCTTCTCTCACTACATACTTGCCTGTGAAACCTGAGGCGCCTAGTATTATGAGGTCATAGGTGGTGGTGGGACTCTGGTTCTGGGTTTCTTCCATCAAGTGTCGACAGAAACAAAGATAGAGAGGAATGAGTTTTATGGTATGAAGCAATCAGAGAAGTTTGGGAAATGCCGTCAAAGAATAAACTTGAGAAAGTTGAGATGTGTGCCAAAAATTGTTGAGATGTGTGCCCAAATTTGTTGATGGAGTGTTGTTTTCTTTCTGGAATGAAACAGATTCAACAGAATCTTCATGACATTTGTTCTTATACATTGACAGTTGCGGAGGGTTAAAGGAGGGAGGCTTTTACAACCCACCCTTGTAATACGGTTCCAAATTGATAGGGTTAAAATTAAGGGTTAATCTCATTTTACACTTTAAAACATTGTTCGAATCTTAATTTATATTTTTAAAAATTAAAAATTTTAATTTATACCCTCAAAGATAAAAGTTTATATCAATATGCACTCTCAAAGATCAAAAATCTCAATTTACACCCTCAAAAATAGAAATTTATATCAATGTGCACCCCAAAAATAAAAAATTTTAATTTACACCCTCAAAGATAGAAATTTGTATCTATGTGCACCTAAAATTAAATTGATAAATTATACCTAGATCCCCTCATACTTGTCACTTAATCATTTAGACCTCTTCACATTTAGAATATTACTCATATATCTTATGACATTTGTGCACATAAAACACGTAACCTATTTTCATTGATATATATTAATATAACCGTTAAAAAATATAATTTTATCCTAATAAAAAATTATAATTTCATGTTACCATTTATTTTATGGGTTCAATATATTCTAAAGTTCAAAATCTAGTTTACCATTTGAATGTCTAATAAAATGTAAATATTTATATAATGTTTTTCATATTACCTTTTATATAAATATTTACATTTTATTAGACATTTAAATGGTAAGCTTGATTTGTAACTTTAGAGTATATCGAATCCACAAAATAAAAGGTAATATGAAATTATAATTTTTTATTAGAATAAAATCTTATATTTTAATAATTATATTAACAGATATCAACGAAAAGTGATTATGTGTTACACATGCACAAACGTCATGAGATGTAAGGGGAATATTCTAAATGTGAAAGAGTTCAAATGATTAAGTGACAAATATGAGGGGATCTAGGTATAATTTATCAATTTAATTTTAGGTGCACATTGATACAAATTTTTATCTTTGAGGGTGCAAATTGAGATTTTTTATCTTTGGGAATGCACATTGATACAAATTTCTATCTTTGAGGGTGTAAATTGAGATTTTTGATCTTTGGGGGTACAAATTGAGATTTGAACAATCTTTTAAGATGCAAAATGAGATTAACCCTAAAATTAATTATTTCTTAATACGAATTCGTCACAAGATTTATTAATACAAATAATAAAAAAAAATATCAATCACATTTTTTTCTACTTTATTATATCTTCGAGGACATTCGTTCTATTTTTAAAATTTTCACTAACACCCCTGTTATATTAATGACGATAATTAGAATATAATTTTATTAAATTATTAAAGATATATTTTTAAAAAAACTTCATACACACCTCCTCTACTAAATATATATATCTTCAGCGAGAACTTTTTGTTTTTTGAACTTTTTTAAATATTAAAATTCTATAAAAAACGGTTTAATCAAAATTTTAGGTATAAATATTATTTGGGATTTATGTAGGAGTAATTTTAGTATTTTAGATAAAAAAAAATTTATTAGAAATAGTGATTTAACCGCAGGTGTGTGAGTGATGTTTAAATATAATCTAAAAAAAGTGGTAGTAATGTTTTAATTAATAGATTAGGCCTCATTGAAGATAAACGTACCAGGAATGAGTGTGGATAGTAATTACCCAATAATAAATGAAGTGGATTAATATAATATATGAACAACACAAATTTGACACAATTAATACGTTTAAGTAGTATTATAAGAATAAAATATTAATTTTTATTATATTTTATTAAGTAATGATTTAATTCTTGTACAAAAAAATATTTTTTTATTCATTTTTATTATTATATTTATTAAATTAATTTTTAGTTTATAAAAAAAAATATAAACATATGTTCGATTAAGTGATAATAAAATTTTAGACATAAAATTAATTATTAAATTTTTTATTTATGGGATATACGAGTCAATACGAATACAACATAAAAACAAATAAATTGCCACAGCACGATACGAACCGAAATCACACTGACACACGCACCCCCACCGATGGGTTACACAGAATTGCAGAAAATACCTTCAAATTATATAAAAACTTACCATGAGGGCAGCGAGGTTCCATGGTGTAGTGGTTAGCACTCTGGACTTTGAATCCAGCGACCTGGGTTCGAATCCCGGTGGGACCTTGTCTCTCCTTCTAATTGTTTTTGCAATGCATTCCAAAGAATCTTGGAGCCCCTCTGTTAGTTTTTTGGGCTACTATTTCTCTCTCTTCTTGGGCTTAGTTGATAGAGAAGGCTTTAATGGGTTTCTCTCTATTCTTGAAGTCCAATGCGAGTTCTTTTTGGGCTTTAAAGATCGACCCGATGCATAAAGGCAAAAATATCCTTCTTATTTTATGCAGTATGAATGATAAGGGTGGACAAATTGTTGAGAATGTGTACCCAACAACAATATGAAGAAAAATAGGGTAGAGTAGAGTAGAGTAGGGTCAAAACGAAGGTTTTGATATTTAGGTATTATGATCATTCAGATGTGATTCAAATTTATCAAAACGAAATATTTTTGTATCTAATAAAATAATTTTATTTCAAAAACACGGCAATGATAATATAAGTCATTGTTCAATGTTCGTAACCAAAAAAAAAAATCGTTTCAATTGTTAGAGAGAGTTTTTAATATCGTTTTTTGAATGAAACCCGTTTTTTGGGGTTTTGGTTTTAATAGCGATAATATAAGTGATTGTTGAATTTTTGGGAAATATTGTTCATTTCAACCATAACAGTAAGTGTGAAATATTATTATTATGGTTAACAATGAATAATCATAATTAGTTGTAAATTTGACATTTTAAAAATTTTGGTATTGTAATACTATCCTGATCACTAAAATGTTCGGACTTGACTTGTTTTTTAATAAAGAGATTTTGAGATTTGTTAAGAATCATAGCAAAATTTAAAACTTAGCTCATTAATTTTCTTTTGTTGAATTCAACTTATCTGAATTAACGAAATAAATTTAAATTTATGGTCGAACTTAAATTCAAATTTAAAACTTGTGTCGAAAATTAAATTCAACTATTTTTAATAAATGAGTTTTAAAATTAACCTAAAATTCAAATGATTTTATACAAAATAAACTTAAATAAATTTTAATCTAAGTCGCACAATTAAAATACCTAGTATCTAGATTTTTTTTTTTTTTGTGGCTTTTATTTTGTGAATTTATACAATTTCCCAAATCTTAAAAAGTTTTTGAGATGATATGGTGGTTGGGTTTGGTTTGTCAGTTTCTCATCAAAGTTGAAACCAATCACATGTTTGAAGGGATGTGGCTAAACGCCGCCGAGAAACCGGTTGGTTTTCTTCTACTTACCTACCACTTTACACCACCAACTCTCCGAACCTACTACCGAGCCTCTTTATCGTATTGACTTGCTCTCTTGCTGGCTCTCTCTCTTAAAAGTTCTCTGTTTTTGCCCTTCTCTATGACGTTGCTTTGATTTTTTCTATATACATATCGACTTGCTCTCTGTTTTCCATCAGTTTGTGGTTTCTCGATCATGGATGTGATGTTGTTGAGGGTCGCCTCTCCTGCCACCTTAAACCCTGCTGGCTCTAAATTTTCACGACCACATTCCCTTTTTATCGGCCATAGTTGGCAAAAGTGCAGCTTTCCGTTCCTCAATTCAAGAGTTTCAAAGCATGGAATACTAGTTTTGGTTAAAGCTTCTGCAATTTCCATCGGGTATAAATCTGTTCTCTTTGGTTTTCAGGGTTTTAGCTTATTTAGTTTAGGTTAATTGCATTAGAGGTTCTCAAAGTATAAGATTTATTTGATTTTGGTCTTTAATGTTTCAATTGTATCATTTTAATCCCTGAAATATTGAATATGTTTATATATGGTCCTTCAAGTAGACAATGTTCACAGATTGCTAACGATTTTTATTATAAACTTTTCACATAATACCTAAATATGAAAAAAAAATTATTTTGATATAGCTCTTAAACAAAATTTGAGTAGCTCTTGAAAAAAAAAATGTGTAATATGGATAGTTTTTGATCAAAATTAGGCTCATGATCAAAACTGTATAATTTAAGTAGCTATTTAACCAAAATTTAAGTAAAAATTTGGTCAAGAGTTATTCAAATTATTTTTTTGTCCATATTTAAATATCATGTGAGAAGTTTATGATAAAAAATTGTTAGCAATCTGAACACTGACTGCTTGAGGAACCATGTAGAAACATATTCAATATTTTAGAGGCCAAAATGATGTAATTGAAATATTAGGGATCAAAATGAGATAAATTTTATATTTTGGGGACCTCTAGTGCAATTAATCCTTTAGTTTAATAAGTTACTATTACGATACTAAAAAAAAATCAATATCATACATTCATTTATACATTTGTGGTTATTTTTATTATTTTTGTAGATACTTTTACACGGTTGTGGTATCCAAAAAAATGATAAAAATAATTACCACAAATAAATATGGTAAAAATATTCACAAATATGGTAAAAATAACATTCACAAATATGGTAAAAATACTCATAAATGTAGTAAATCACCTATAAATTGATAATTTTTTTTATAACAATTTAAAATAATAAAAATAATTACCACAAATGTATTAAAAACACTTAATGGTAAAAACACCCATAAAAATAGTAAATCAACCACAAAAATATTTGAAGTGATAAATTTTGGAGGTATGATATTGAAAAATTTTTTGTATTTGTCTTTTGAGACCATGTGTGGTATTGTAAGCTTATTATAGAACAGCATATAATTTCACAATTTTAGTAACATTATTATCATGGAATTATTACAATGTTTGTAAGCTTATTATAGCACAGTATATAATTTCACAATTTTAGTAACATTATTATCATGGAATTATTACAATGTTTGGTCAATCTTTAGAATATTGGATCTTTTGAGTTTGAAATAGGATTAATTGCATCAGAGGTCTCTATAATATGGAATTTGTTTTATTTTGGTCTCTAATATTTCAATCACATTATTTTGATCATTGAAATATTAAATATGTTTCTATGTAGTCCCTTGAGTAGACGACATCCAAATTGCTAATAGTTTTTTATTATAAATTTATCATATGATACTTAAACATAGACAAAAAAAAAATAATTTGGGTAGCTCTTTACCAAAATTTGAATAAAAAAATGTGTAATTTTGATAGCTCTTAACCCAAATTTGAATAACTCGTGACCAAATCCGTGTAATTTAAATAGCTCTTCAACCAAAATTTAGTTAAAAAATTGGTCATATACCAATATTGAGGCATGCATACAGGTCAAATTGAGTGGACATAGCATTACCTAGATGCATCACTGTAGTTTTAAGTGGCAAAGTGCCAAATCTTAGATGCATTGTATGCATTTAGGAAGAGTGATTTCTTTATGTCCCCTGTTTACAGCTGCGCCAAATCTCTTGAGCATCTGACTTCCATGTTTGTCAAACGTTGTGTTCTCAAGTTAGTTTTCTATCCTTAACAGTTTGGCACGGAAAAATCGAGTAGATGAGAGTGAGAGCTATACCTTAGAGGGTATAAGGAATTCTCTAATTCGACAAGAGGATAGCATTATATTTAGCCTCGTGGAGAGAGTTCAGTATTGCTACAATGCGGAGTCGTATGACCCCAATGCTTTCTTCATGGATGGATTCCAAGGCTCTTTGGTTGAATTCATGGTCAAAGAAACTGAAAAGCTTCATGCTCGGGTACGTCAAACCTAATTCTCAATTTCTTACTCGGAAGAAATTTATGCGTACCGAATTTCTTATCGTATTTCAATCTAGGTTGGAAGATACAAAAGCCCCGACGAGCATCCTTTCTTCCCAGGTGACCTACCTGACCCAGTGTTGCCTCCTTTGTTATACCCACAGGTTAGTACATAGAACAGTGGAAATATGACACTTTGTCCAAACTTGATAAGCAAGAAGTAATTTTGGGAAGTGTGGACCTTGGTGAACTTGATGTGGCTTGTGCTTTACAATCTTAGATCTGTGTGACACCCCTATATTAGTGATTTAATTTGTTTGACATAAGCTCATTGAAGTTAATTCAGTTTAAACTTGTGTAACCCACAAGCATTCCACCTCAATTTCAATAAGATAAAATGTTAAGGAATCAACTGGTTGAATTACTTTTGGTTCTCTGTATACGTGTGTGCGGCAGACAAGAGTGAGTATTCTTTATATTGATTGCTGTTACCTCCAGTTTATATTCCTTTCAAACTAAATCTAACTTAGCCTGGTTTTTAAAATGTGTGTAGGTTCTGCATCCCATTGCAGATGCAATCAATGTTAATAGAAAAATATGGGATGTGTACTTCGAAGATCTTCTTCCAAGATTGGTTAAGGAAGGCGATGATGGTAATTGTGGATCGACTGCAGTTTGCGACACACTTTGTTTGCAGGTACCCATTTTAGCTAATTATCTGTCCTGAGGGAACTTGTTTTAATTAAGCAATTTGAGGGAAATGTTTATACCATTATGTTTGATGAGGGATACCTGATTGTGTATGTGGTTAAGGTTTTTGACATTCATCTTTCCATGCTCTTTGTGAAAGTAAGCCTATGCTTTTCTAGATTTATTCGGCATGCCTTGTCACAAACGTTTCTAGCATTCCTCGTTGTTTTGAGTGACTCCTTCGGATTTATTACAGAATGTGGTCAAAAATTGCAATTGGCTATTGATTTGGATGGTAGAGTTGCCAACAAGCATTCATCACGCACCAATGCGATGATTTATTAAGCAAATTTTGCAGAATCCTGAATATCTTCATCTTGTTTTTGTTATTTCCACTGCTTATCTGGTGGACTGTACTGGATCTCTAGATTGGCTCTTGTTGTCTGGAGTAGTACAGTATATTTAGGTTATACCTATTGACTTGTGAAAGATCACTTCATCGACATAGAAATTCATATAACGTTTTGTAAGAATTGTTTAGACCTGCCATTGGTATCTTAGTCCTATGATTTCTTGCCACAAATGCTAGAGTCCATTTCCCAGCTCTGCATTGCTGCACTGGTTTTACTATGGCTATAAAAGTGTGTCCAATTTTTTGGGCGTTGTAAGCGGCCAAGTGTCTGTGCTTGTACATGTGTGATATTGAATGCCTTTTTTGGTGACTTTGAGCAATGGATTTGTGTTATTCCAAGGAGTGATTCTGTATCCTGCACTTGCTGAAAGGAAAAAGGAAAAGGAACAAGGGAACTTAAAAAATAAAAAATAAAAAGATAAAAACCAATTGTAAGAGATATTTATGGCATTTATGATTTTTGAATGCGTTGGATAACCGGTTGTTGATTGTCATGGGATAATTTCTTGTAGTGGGAAAAGAGCAGGAAACTAAGCCCCTAGTTTTCTTTATTGGGACATGTATGGGGAGGTGAATTTCCTTCAAATTTCCAGAAAAGTTTCCCAGTTTAGTGGATGTAGTTTCTGCATCTGGGAACATGGCCAGACATCTCTATGGTACTTACTGTGCAAAATTAGTTTGTTAGTACTACTACTAGTGATCACCTCTCATGTTTCCCATGATGTTAACACGACTTTCTTTCTTATCTCGGTATGCTTTCACCTTGATAAGTTGATTTACTTCCTATGTGGACATACATGCAGGTTTGTGATTTATGTGCATAGAGCATGTCTTGCATGCAATTTTTTGGTACTCCCCAAAGAAATATTTTACCAGTTTCTGAAGCCCAACTTTGAGATCATCATGTATATGAAGAGCATAATCTATTTGCCATCTGCACAAAACCACCTCTCTTTGCAGCATATACGCTCGAAATCAATCTGTTGGCATTTTCTAAATAGGATGATTCTAACTTGGCAATGTTATATTTTATGAATTGCTGGAATCCTATATGCAGGCACTCTCGAAGAGAGTTCACTATGGCAAATTTGTAGCTGAAGCAAAATTTCTAGCCTCACCCAATGCCTATAAACCTGCTATTCGAGCACAGGTATCTCCCATTACTTTCTCTTGGGAATTCTTCTTAGTTCTTTTTTTTTCATCTCCTTCTACAACGTGTTTGAGAGGGATGTTCGTGATCGTTTTCTCATGGTTATGACGATTGGTGTTTCAGGACAGGGGCCACCTGATGGATTTGCTGACATATCCAGAAGTGGAAGAGGCAATCAAAAAGAGAGTAGAGATGAAAACCAGAACTCATGGGCAAGAGGTGGCAGTTAATAATGGTGGAAATGGATCTGATCCAGTTTACAAAATTAAACCAAGTTTAGTTGGCGATCTATATGGTGACTGGATCATTCCATTGACAAAACAAGTTCAAGTTGAGTATTTATTGAGAAGACTGGATTGAACATGTGAAGAAGTGTAAAGTAAAACATGTCTTCAATTGCCATGGATGATCAAGCACAGAGAAATTAGAAATCGGCTGTGCCATTATGGCACGATGTTGATCGATGTTAGTTAATATACATAGAAGAACTCTAGTATGTGTCTTATAATGGAAAGATAGTACAGATCGTTTTGAATATATAGCTAAGTTTTGTTTATAAAATGGGTGTTAGAGATGTCCAACTTCCTTATCTGTTTTGGTAGATCACCATTGGGACATGGAATATGCCACTGTGTGATTGAGAGTTTTTGGCTAATACCTAAATAACCTACAATATACATCTTTCCTGTGAAGACTAAGAAGCAGACCCATTTGGATTTTGTTTAGAGACATCAAGAGGACAGCTAGGAGCTTCATGAGGAAGGTTCTAACATGTATTGAAAGAAGGTAATGGTGAAGTGAACTACTTAAAAATCATGGTAGGTACAGTGGTCAATTGCCCTTACATTTGTTGTTCTCCCTCGTGCACAGGAAAAAATATTTATTGCAACGGTAATATCATGTCAGAATTTTCACAATATGTCATTAATCAGTAATATGTAGACAAATAAAAAAGTAAATTCCACACAAGTCAATTACTACTCGTCCATGTAAGGAAATAACTACCCACTTTTCTTCTATGTAAGTTAATAATTACTTAAATAGGATTCACTTTGTCTATTTAAAATTTTATTATTAGTTGATAATATCACGTCACCGTTGTATTGAATATTCTCTCCAAGCATCGGGGAGAATACAAGGTGGGGACAATGTAGACATTTTCTCCACTGAAATTTTCCAAAATTTTGGGTTTTTGTTAAAATTTGAAAAAATCAAAAGTTTTTTAAAACCTTGCCCCCACAAAAAATTTGTAAAAAAATTGAGGATAGTTTCATATTTTAAAAATTAATTGAGATTATTTCATAAATTTAAATTTTAGGTCTCTTGCCATATTGAATTTTAACTTGAATTCAATTTTGAGTCAGAATTCGATTAGTTAGATGTGAATTTATACCAAATCACAAAAAAAAAAGATACGAATTTAAATTTTGATACACCAAACTCTAATTTGATTACGATATAATCTGATTTTATTACATTCATATATGTGGATATAAGATAAAATTATGCTGTCCAAATTTGTTTATCAAATCTTGTACCCCAAATAATGTGTTAAAATCCTATATATTGAATATTTAGTGAAGTTAATAGACCCCATTGATCTAATCCGCTCGCACTAATTTGTGATACAAAATTTGATAAATGATTTGGTAAGCATAATATTACTCGTGGATATATGATGAAATTGAGTATCACTTTATACAATGGAATCGAACTAAAATGTAATTTAATAAAGTTCAACTTTAAATAACTCATGTATCTGCTTGAATATGTAATATTTTTACTTTATTTGGATATAGACCGTTAAAAAAAATTCGTTGAATATTCATATCAATTTTTAAAAAAAATTAAATCGAAATCGAATCTCTTGAAAATCGATCTGAAATTTATGTGATTGTTATATAAAAATTGATCTAAAATTGCAAATAAATTTGACGATTGTTACGTGGTTGTTCTCTTCAAACTATTGATTGTCGTGATCGTTGGACAACCTTCGCTTTGCCCTCCTATTCATACATATATCAAATATTCGAGTCACAAAAATAATCTCAGTATATACAAATTAAAATTATGTGTATCTGATTTTTTTTTTAATTTTATAGTGACAAAAACCTCAACGACCATGTGTCGTATTATAATGTATATATAGTGGAAATATTAGGAGGGGCATAGGTTGCATGCTACCACTGACATGACAGACGAGGTGGACGATAGCGTGAATGTTGAACTTTGTTTCAACTTATAAGAATGCCTAGGAACACGTCTGTCATAATAATATTTATTCAATGTTTTTTATTATATGATCTGTATCTAACCCATGTTCCTAAGATAAAAATTTACCAGCAGTAAGTAGATCTACAATTAAATTTAGGATAATTTACACTTTATACCTTAAAAGTATGTATGTAATTTTTATTTTGGTCCTTAAATTTTTAATTAATACAATCATATCCTTAAAATTTTAATCGAGTTTCAATATATTCATTTCATCTAGATTTTTTAATTTGTTCTTATCGAAAGATGTTATAGGACTTGTTCATAAGAGTATATTTATCCAACAAAAAAATGTATTTCTTAAATTATCGATATTTTTCTCTTTATCTCACAATATTTCTCAATTCTCACAGTATATTTTTTTATCAACTTTATTATCATTTTTTAAGAAAAATATTACATAACCCAAATAAAATTCAAAAGTTAAAATCCAAATACATATTATCACTTAGACGAGTGGGTCCCACTAAAAAATTAATGAGACTCACTCATCCAAATGATGATATGTATTCAAATTATAATTTTTTGAATTTCATTTAAATTTTGTAACATTGCTCTTTTTTTAAATCAGATGAAACAAAGTAAAGTTTTCTAATCTAAGGGTAATAGATACTTTTACTAAACAAATATACTTTTTTATACAAATCATATGTTGGTCATGAAAGATTTTCCGTCATAATAAATTGATGAATTTTGATATAAGGACTAAATTGAAACACAATTAAAACTCTAAAGACTTGATTGCTGAACTTAAAACTTTAATGACTAGATAAAAATTAGGTATATACTTTGAGGGTATAAATTATAATTTACCTTAAATTTACTATTGTTGAGAGAGAGAGAGAGTAGAAACAGGAACCGAATACCCCAGGCATTATAAAGAGCGCACTGAAGAGAGTCCGAGAGAAAGAGAGGGATGGAGGGGCTGAGGAGGGGCATTGGGTGGCCGACGGTGGCGGTGGTGTTAACATGCGCTGCGCTGGTGATGATACCGGAGGTATCGTCGACTCGGTTCATCGTGGGAGGGAACATGGGCTGGACTACCAATTTTAACTACACTGTTTGGGCCCAAGGCAAACATTTCTACAACGGCGACTGGCTCTGTATGTTCTTCTTCTTCTTCTTCTTCTCTCTCTCTCTCTCTCTCTCTCTGATTTGTATTGTAGGAGTGTATCCTCAGATCTATCCTTCACGAAACAACGGAGCTCTGTTTTTCTTGTATATGTATGATTATTTACTATATAAATGTGTCTAGATATCTTCTGTTCTACTGTTAGTTCACTGATTTTGATGCGTTGGATCTTCAAATAGTAAGTGATTCAAGTAGCGATTAGCTCCTTGTTATGAGTTCACTAACTCAGATCTGCTTGTTTGCCTTGCTCTTAGTTTTGATTGCCTGATTTTGCCCCTTTCTTCGACTCATAGGCATTTTCATTATTTCAAAGTTTCCGGTCTGATGTTCTTTGCCCCTTTCTCTTCTCGTCACTTTTGGATCTAATTCCTTTCTTTTACATTTCTCATTCAATGTCGGTTTTAGAAAGCGATCAGGGGCCGTTCAAACATATAATCATTGTGATTGACTAAACGAGTCACATGGTGTTTGGTTTGCTGTGTTCTAGTGTAGGCTCTGTAGCCAAGTTTCACTTCGACACTCAATTCATTGAGTTTACTCATCTTTATTTGCCTGAGAATCTTTCAGTGCAAGATTAACCCTGTGCATTCAGAAATATAAAGTTTCTTTGGTATTATAAGATTAAGATTTAAGATCAAGCTTACAGACTACAGTACCGAAGGTTATAACCTTTTTGGGTTAATTTAGAAATTTTTTATGTCAAAAATTACTTGTTACAACTAAATAGGACCAAGTTATGATTTTAAAAAAAAAAGGATCGATCCTAAAAATGTTTAAGAACAATTCTGTTTTAGTGTAATCTCACAAAATTTTGTTGTGTGCTCACTGCTTATTTTGTAATAACTTTTAGTACGGTACGAGAAAATAGTTCCCAATATTGCGTTATAAAGCTAATTTTTCAATGTTTAAAAGAAAAATTAAATCGGTAAATTTTAGTTCCAAGCTATGAAACACAAATACTTCATTAAGATCAACGTATTCGTATTAGATACGATATTTGTTGATTTTTTTTGTGGAGTCTAATTTGTATATGTGATCTGGATATTGATCCAACTCGAAGTAATGTTGCGTGGTTTTTTAATGGGAAATTTTCTGAGGGTTAGTCCATGAGCGCTACGGCTTGGGCTGCTCCCGAGGAAAATTTTTGGGCCCGTTATATAGCCCAGTGCGTAGGACATATAAAATCCGTTGTCTTGGTGATTAGGGTTAATATGGTGGATTGTATAGCCGCTCTCTGTATTCAACTCTCTCAATAGTGAAATCCCTGCAGTTTCGTGGACGTAGACAAAATTGTCGAACCACGTAAAATGTGTCTTGTTCTTTCTTGTTTCTTATTGCTTTATATTCTTGATTTGTTCTTCGATTGTGTGTGTTTGTTAGTGGATTTAAATCGTGTTAAATCCCAACAATACTCGTCGGATACGTATCAAATCCACATTAAACGTATCCAATAATAAATAAAATATATGGATACTTCACGAATATAAATATATTTAATTTTTAGTTTTAATCATTACCTCTTCCTTTTGATTTCACATACAACGCAATACATTAACAAAAAAATTATATGACTTGGGAAGACACATGGTTGTTTTTGAAGGATAATCTATTATTACATGTCCAAAGAATTTAAATGAGTTGATTACTCTATAATTTTAGCAATAAATACTTCTAAGCAAATAATATAGTTAAATGTTGGTTCTTATTATATTTATAGACATTTCCCGAGTGTACCTGTATCCTATTTTTTGAAGTTTTGTCATATCGTCATATCTGTATCTTATTGTATCCATTTTATATCCATATCCGTGCTTTCTAGATTCCAAGCAATTTTTTGGGGGGTCAACTTGAAAGTTCGCTTTGTGTATACCTATGCCAAGGATAATAGGTCAATTTGCACAAGAGTAGAGATGTTTTATTTGGGCTTTTTTTGTTTTACTGCCTTCAACCGAATCTCCTTACTCAAAAGCCAAAGGTTACCAAAACCATATACCGCTTAATTGATTTTTCCATAAGAGAGTTTATCACTTCTTACTTTATCATCTCTTTCTCTCTGTTGCAATGATCAAAGCATTTCAGAAAATTGTTGTCTTAGTTCATTTTCCCCTGTAAACAATAGATTTAAAAACAGAAAGTTCAGAGATTATGCATGCTGTTGCGGCAGCTTTCAGGTGTGGTGTATTAGAAGCCTTTCTAGTGGCTAAGCATTGTATTCAAGAGGCAATGCTAACATCGTTTACCCTTTTCTGTCATGTTTCTATTTTATTATGCATCAAATAAGGTCAATTTTCTGCTCAACCACTGTTTTTAAACCATTGTCAATTATATCAAAACCACATGAAAGGGGCTGGCCTGGGAGCTTATTCTATAAGTCAAATTATTGTTAGACTATGAGTATCTATAAAAGTGGGACACCTTCAATATCATCTCACTATCATTCCTAACGTCGAAGAGAATGTGGACAACAGGTAAAACAGTCATTGCCGCATGACAATAATAATGCTAACTAACGACGACCATGCTAATGCTTGGTAACCTGAATGATTAAACAGATTTGATTAGTGACTAAAGATATTTGCCCCTCTCTTTCTCAGTATAAAATATTCTTCTCTACTTTTTATGATCTTAGTAATTGTCCTTTAGGTCCTTGATTGAATATGATCTCCCAAGCCAAGTTTTTCTTCTGTCAGGTTTTATATTTGAGCATTTGGGGACTTGGTCTCTATCCCATGTGCTAAGATAGATCTGATAATCTGTCCAGATTCCTGATTTAAAATTAGAAAAAATTATTTCTGATGCGGAGTGCCAACTCTGTTTTGCCTGTTCTGCTAACTCCGTGATAGGAATCAGATTATATTTCGTTATAGTAGGCGTACGCGTAAGGATTAGAAGTTATTTGTCATTATACTTTTTAGGGGTTTAGTTGTCGTTATGACTATTTATTTCTTTTAGGATTTGTGGTCTCCCTATATATATAGGAGATATGCTATTTGTTTTGGTAGACTTTGATTATTATTGATTATTCATATTGAATCTTTCTTCCTCAAATTATTCTTACTTTTTTCATCTCCTTCTTTTTCTCTTTTCATCCCTAATTTTTTTTTACTACGATCTACATCACTCCGCCTTTCTCTTGCCAGTTTTTGTGTATGACAGGAACCAGATGAACGTGCTCGAAGTGAATTCAACAGATTATGATGCATGCAATTCTGATCATCCAGTTCATAATTGGACTACTGGAGCTGGAAGAGATGTGGTTCCTCTCAATGTGACGCGGGATTACTATTTCATTAGTGGCAAAGGATTCTGCTATGGAGGCATGAAGGTAGCAGTCCATGTCGAAAACCCACCACCCCCACCAGTAGCTGCTCCAGTAAAAAGTGGCTCTACAAGATTTACTTTCAGAGCCCAGATTGTGGTACCAGCTGCTTTTGCCATTGCTGCATTGTGGGACTCCTTCCTCCAGTTAGCAGTTTAGCACTTCTGTCTCATCTTTGTCCGTTGCTTACCTCAGTTTGTGCAAGAAAGTCGAGTTGTGGTTTTTCTTTTTTTTTTTTTTTTTTTTTTTAATTTAAATCATTTTTTATGTGTTCTTTCATCATAGTGTGCCCTGAAAATTAATTATATTCCAAATTATTGTTGTGCAAGGGGCTTGAAACGTGTTCATTGTGTTGACTCAGGCATCAAAACAATTGTTAAAAAAACGTTTTGTTAAAGATAGCAAGTGCGTGAATTGCGGAGATGGTCTAGTATGTTGCTTGTCTCGACTTTATGCCAAGGCCAGTAATGGCTCTGCGCTGGCCACTAGACAGGGTTGTTACTAGTAGGCCAAGCAATAGATGGTCTTTTTTATTTGAATTTCATCTGAACTTCAGTTTGATTAGTCGAATTCGTTTTACTATATTATATTTTTTTCTATTTAATCGATTGATTGAGATTTGATCCAATCTTTGTATAGTTTTTTTTTAATATAAATAAATTATAAAATTGAGCGATATTTGATGAATTTAGTTGAAATTTCATATTATCAAGTGTTAGAGTTTACTTTAATTGAGTTATTTGATGAAATTAATTTTAATAAATTTGTCTGAAAATTATAATTTTGTTCTATAAAATAGCCGCTGATTTCGGTGTGGGTTTCGTAGGTTGACCAAAATAAAAGTAAAAACGGAGTGAAGTTGGACGGTGATTGAAGGCACATTGTTAAAGTCTTTGGTCCCCACAAATCTTTCTTTGCACGTGGCCATCTGTCATGAAAAGTTGTCTCTACATCTTGAGTGCTCACGTGAAGGTTTTATTATATCATCTCCTTTTCTAACCCAAAAAAGGGAGCCACGTGAGTGAGTCACTGGCCAACTTTGTAAATTTGCCGTTATCATCAAACTTGATTGTAAATAAACGGGGAAATGTTTGAAGGGAGCAACGGACCTGTCTACATAAACAATTAAGGAGTAGTTCTCCGACACTTAAATTTTTTTTTATTATTTCATTTAATTACTCATATTTTTATAAATTTAACAAAAAAATTATTATTAAATTTTGTTCAAGACCAATGCACTAGGGATATTCTACAAATTATTATACATTTTCAATTAATTATTGTCATTCATCAACTTGTCGCACAAAAATTTAGAAACAAATCAATTTGTGTATTTGATAAATGGCAACTTCCTATTACATCAACTACGCTCTTGCTTATCATGCTAAAATAGGGTTACTAATGTTGGACACTAATTAAACGTATTTATTGTTTATATTAATAGATTATGTCATTTTTTATATTGGATGTAAATCTATATCTATACTACTAATAAAAGTATTTTAAGTGAAAATTTTTTGATTTATCATTTTACCCTTTCAAAAAAGTTCAAATACTATATTATCTCTCCATAGTTAAATATCAAAATTACAATCATATATTTATGTATTTAAATTTCCAAATTATCCTATAACATCTCTTTTAATTCTCTATTATCTTTGTATAAATATCAATCTAAGAAAAATTTTAATTAACTATATTATCTTTAAAAAAATATATGAATTACTATAATTTTCAATAAAGTGTTCAAAAACTTCATCAATAGATCATTAGCATTTTCAAATATAAAGATAATATTATGCTTATATATGTATTTTTTTCCATATATACTACTAATAAAAAATGAAACTTTTGTCTTAAAATGAAATTTTTTTTATTCAGTATTTTATTCTTATAAAGAATTTTGAATACTAGACTATTCTTTTGTAGTTAATTATCTAAATTACCATCATAAACTTATATGTTTAAATCTCCAAATTATCCTCAACGTCTTTTTTAATTCTCTATTTACTATGTATAAATATCAGTATCTATGAAAATTTTTAGTGGACTACATTACCCCTTAAAAAATATATGATTCAATATAGTTTTCAATAAAAGGTTTAAAAAATCTTTAAAAATTTCATCAATCTAATATTACTCATTTTAAATATAAAGATAACATTATGCTTACATATGTTTATTTTTTCTTCCAAAATTTCAACCATTTCATCTTTAAGATAAAAAATAATCTTTTATGTAATTTTTTAAAATAATTTATGTTAAATCAACATAAATTTTCAATACAGTAAACTTTTTATGTTTTATTAAGAGTTTATAAAAAAAAAAATTCTACTAAATTTTTAAGTAAAACTTGAATTTTAGAATTTTAATTTTTTTTTAAAATATATATTATATTTTAGGGTTAATAGCACTTTTAGTCAATGAAATCTGTATATTTTATCAATTTTGTCTTAATTGCATCGATTTTATCCATCTGGTCCACAAAATATTTAGTTAATGTTTAAATGATCCATATACGAATAATTTGAACATAAGTGATCATGTGTTGGTCATGTGATACTATCGGAATGAATGACACACTTCCGTCAAAAAACTTAATAGACTATCTGGTTAGGGACCATATAAACAATAATTGAATATTTTAGGAACCAAATCGCTAAAATTTATATATTGAGGACTAAATTGATAAAAATTGCATATTTTAGAGACCAAAAATGTTATTAACCCCATATTTTATCTCTATTGACCTAACTAATACCAAATTATAGTAAGCATTAATTATAGTATTGACAATTATTTTTATTTTATTTTATTTAACGAATTATAAGATGAAACTTAATCAAAAGAATTTTAAATAAATTATTTTTATCTTTTTTTCCTATAGTTAGAATAACGTATCTATAGGAACAAACAATATTTTTGAAATTCTATAGTATAATTTGAGCAATAAAAATATAATTTCGATAAATTTGAGACGATATTAATGTATGTATATATATACCTAATATTTTTTATACGAAAACTATTTACATGCAACGCACGTTGTGCATTGCTAGTTAGAACAAAGGAACAATACATCACCCACATTAAATCACCCAATTATCAATGGAACAATCCTATTTAAATCTAATTTGACAGTGGACTCAACTATTAGTTGAGATCCACTACCAATTTAATAGATACGAGGGGTGTCAATTGTATCGTTTTGTATCGTGTCACTTTCAATGCATATTTAGCTTGTGTCAATAAAAAATTATTTAATTCTACAAAAATTCATATGAGTATAATACTATTTAAAAAATTAAAAAAAAATTAAATACTTATTTTCTATCTATTATTAATTATATTATATGTGTCTAATTTTAATTTGATCAATTTATTACTGGTGTTATCTGATCAATTTATTACTGGTATTATCTGATCGTATTATTTTTGAGTTGTGCGTTGGCTCGGGTTATTATTTCCTTAATATAGCTCTAACACAATTCAGAAGTATGCATAGATTTTATGAGATAAGCAAAGTAGCTGCATGACAACATCAAGTAGCTCAAAATCAGACAATTACCTATAAGAAGAAGATGGAGACTCATCAAACTTGTTAGAAACCTTCTTGTATATCGCCGCCGCTTGAACAATCATACTGGCTGCATCACCTCCGTTGCCAGGAAGCAACATCAACGTCCCTTCCTTGCAGATCTTATCAAACGCCTCAATGTACTGCTCTGCAATCCTCAAACTCACAGCGTCAACACCGCCACTCTCTTCAATGGCTCTTGACACCTCTTGAATCCCTTTGGCCGTGGCTTGTGCACTCGTAATTATAGCCTCAGCCTCTCCTTTAGCTCTATTCACTTGATCCATCTTCGCCGCCTCCGACTCCAAGGTCACCGATAGTTTTTTCCCCTCGGCGATGTTAATCGCCGACTGTCGACGGCCTTCGGAGTCGAGCACTTTCGCCCTCATTTTCCGCTCAGCTTTAGCTTGCATTTCCATGGCTGCCGTTACTCCTCTTGGAGGAGATATGTCTTTGATTTCATAGCGAAGACACTCCAAACCCCAGTCAGTTCTCAAAGGCCAGTCGTTAATGGCGTCAAGAATGTTCTTATTCAGCGCACGACGGTAACATCGTAACGGATACGAGTCATGGTGTTACGTAAAAAAATTAGGGTATGTGAATTTTTTTTTTAATACTCTAAAATCAAGTCAATATGAATATTTAATAATCACTAAAATCATATAGACATGTTTGTATTGATGGCATCATTATATAATCTTTCAAAAATGATCAAAGTCGTTAATATTTATAAAATTTGAAGAAAATAAGAATATTGTTAACCCATTTACTCGAAAGACAGTTAGCCCATTAATAATGAGTTTGAATAAAATAGTAATGTAATAGCTTCAATGGTTTGATAGAGAAAAAAAAACAAAGAACCCATACCCAGGCGCCCAAGTTTTTCCACTCCTCCTCTCTGTTTACTTTATTTTAAATTTCCACCTCTTTCTCTACTACTCTATCTCCTCAAAACTCTTGCAATTCTATTTGTCCACAACAACTCCATTAATAATGGAAGTCCCAATATCAGTCCAAGCCTGTAAATCATAGTATTCATCGACTCTGACAAAGCCTAGATGGACCTCGAAACCTTGAAGGACATTGTCATTGTCATCCGTGAAGTGAGACTCCTCTGGTAGGTGTTCAATCTAATTATTGTGCTAAAACGGAACTGAAAAGTCCACAGATTTATACTTTGTTATTCACCTGACTTCTTGGTTTGCAACAGTCGCTCTTCGGTTGTTTCAAGCCGTTATGCTCCGTTACAGGCTGTTACGGTACCATAACGACCGTTACAGATTCAGCGTCTCTCTCTCCTCAAGAGCTTTATCGAGAGTGATTTTCCCGAGTTCACTACGCATGGTGGTTTGTGCTAACTGAACAACGGCGTATATAGGGTTTTCAACGCCGTATGAAACCTTAACCGGATCGATGATTTTGATGTAAAGCACACCGTCCAAGGTGATGGGAACATTATCCTTGGTTATGGCGGTATGAGTTGTTATTAGAATGGCTTGCTCTTTCAATAAGTGAACGTATCGGACTTTGTAAACGATTGGTAACAGAAAGTGGAGTCCGGGATCTAGGGTTTTGACGTACCTTCCGAGTCGTTCGACGACGTAAGCCTTCTGTTCGGGGACGATTTGAATGCCCAAGTTCTTGGGTAGCTTGATCTTGTACGAATCTATGCCAAAATTGCGAACAAAAGTGTGGAAAAGAATCGAGATTTGAGAAGATTGGTGGTGGAGTGATTGATTTGAGAGAAGGGAGGACGACCTCGCGTTGAGGATTGAAGAAGATGATGAAATCGAGAAGTTTCTGCATATGTTCACATATTTCTATAAGTTCTTCATTGATTTCATTGTGTTGAGAGAGTCTGCTTTGAAGAAACTCATGCTTTTCTTCTCCTTGTGAAATCTTAATTCGGTGTGAGGTTTTTGCGTTCTAATAATGGTGATACTGCCAGGGTTTATGAGCACTGGTTAATCCCTAAACTCAGGTTTCTTGGAGAATAAGACGAGTTAAACCCTAAACTCAGGTTTATTGGAGAACAAGACGACTGCGTAGTCTAGTTTTTAAATTTATTTTTTAAGTCTACGCAGTATTGTTCTTTTCTTTTCGCTTTTATAGTTCAATGTTAATTTTCAATTTGCACCGGATAGTGATTGTTGATGATCACGAATTCGTGATTATCAGTCGCCCAAAATAAATATTACTTGGACTTAAAATATTTTCATGATTTATTGATGGGCTTTTTCGTATTTTGTGACTCAAAAAATATCTTAATTTTCACATTATGTCTTGAAAATTTATTTTTTCAATATTATATTTTGAACGTTATAAGTTGGTTCTAATATGACACTCGGACTAATATTTATTTCAAATTTTATTAAAAATTGATGCAAATATCAACCAATGATATGAATGATGAATTTAAATTTTTGTCTAAGAACAACACACGTGAATTGTAATTGTATCAATTTTTAACGAAATTTAAAATGAATGTTAGTATAAAGGTCATATTGGAACTAATTTATGACATTCAACGTGCAATGTAAAAAAATTCATTTTTCAAAATACAAAATGAGAATCAAAATATCTTTTAGAATGTAAAGTGAGAAAAGGCCTTTATTGATTCACCTTATCAATAATCCCCTTTATTTAATTTTGGATTTTAATATTTATTAAAATTTATTATCAATTTAATAATTAATATTAATTAGATCAACAACGACATTATCGTGATTAGGCGTTGTTTGATAACATTTTTTAAAACTTAAAACTGAATACCTTTAAGTATTTAATGAATTAAATTATTTTAGTAACACAAAATTTATACCACTTAATATTTTAAGTCTTTTCTTAAAAATAGGCTAAATTCGTTTAGAGAGTGTGTTGATTGAATTGTCTAACAGGTTTTACAGAAAATAGATAAACATTGAATCAATTTTAACTGTTGTTATGATTTTATAAATTAAAATTTTAATTTCTAAATTATAATATTAGATAGATTTTACCATGTCTCATTAGTGACGTAATATTATTATATGATATAATTATCTAATAATAATTTGATATATATATATAAGTTTTCATCCCAATTTACTAACTAATATTTCATATCAAGTTTTTTATTTTAAGTGACGTGGTACCGTTTTTGCCGTTAAATAAGTGATAAATTATAATATAATTACTCAAAAATATTATCCTGGTTTTTGTGAAGGAGTGATAAGATATTAACGTACGGGAGGACCTCGCGCACCGAGCTTCACATTTCAGGGAGTTCACTCAAATGGCGACTCTCTGCTCTATCTCAGTGCCTTCTACCCCATACAATTCGCTCAATTCAAACCAAATCCGAAAACTCCCTCCAAATCTCTTGTGTACAATACCATCCACTCTACCCATTTACCCATTTCGGACCCCCAGAACCCTATCAACCGAGGCAACATCGTCATCGACCAGTCCTACAGTGCAAGATGGGATAGCAAAACAAGAATCCATGAGCATCGACAGCCTTCAACGTTTCATCGACCTCAATTTGGGCAATTGGCTTGGTTCTTTCCACGTCTGTATCAACCTCTCTCTCTCTCTCTCTCTCTCTCTCTCTATATATATATATATATATATATATATATATATACATGTGTGTGTGTGTGTGTGTGAATCATGTAAACTTTTTTATGGTTTAATTTTTGTTTCTGGTTGATATTTACAGCAATTTGATCCTAAAGGGAATTTGATACATACAATTAGTACGAGGCTTGCAGCGAGCTCTTACGGGGATGATGAACTCATCAGTTTAATTCAAACGTAAGCTTCCTTTGCAGAAACTCTTTATAATAAACACACACACACTATTGTACGCCAATATGTGTAGTGCGCATAAGTATTTGTGTTTCTTGTGTGCTGCAATTAATTTTAGATCGTGAGACTCACGCTGTGACGTTGGATTTTATTGTACATATTAAGATTTCAATACTTAATTACTGGGGGAAAAAAAAAGATTTCAATGATCAGAGTTTTCAGTTTGTGATGAGGACCAGGGGTTAGTGGGGTTATAATAAAAACTTGCTAATCAGTAGTGTGTTTGGGTGTCCCTTGTGAACTGAAGAAGTTGATTAAAAGTAGGGTTGATAATTGAGCTAAGCTACTCGGGCTCGGCTTAGATTCGGCTCATATAAGACTCAACACAAGCCGAGCTCGAACAATTTTTTAAGTCTCGACGGACTTTGCTCAAACTTGCAAAGCTTGGCCCGATTAACAACCCTAATTATAAGGTACAATTTTTCCTGGGGAAAGGGGCGTTAAGGAATTCAGTCTATAATAAAAACTGATAGACATTTGAGGGATGGTGGTGTTTCAGTTTTCTAACTATCAATGATGATTGTAGCTACCATTAATTGTGCTGCATTCATATACATTGTTGATTCATGTCAAAATCATTTGTATAACTTTATTATATTGGATTCTCATGGTGGATTTAGGCATGCACAATGTGCCTACATGCTTCAAATGACATTAACTAGCTGCCTTACTTCATACATTATGCCCCAAATTTGTAGATTTTTGATATATGTCCCAAACTCTGCTCTAATCTTTTTTGGTCTGCTATTAACATTCAAGGGGAACTACCCAATCTACACACATGTTGAAAATCACCTAAACCTCAGTTGTATCATTACCATAAGACTCCTTGAGGCACCAGAATCTAGTAATAATAATAATAATGGAAAACACAACATCATATGTCTCAACTTGTGAATTGGGATTTTTGCTCCCTCACGTAGACTTCTGCTACATTCTTTCTAAACGCACCAAATCACATGGGGGTGGGTTAGGCCCCTAGTCTTGCTTTTACACTTCCTCTTCTACAAAGGCAACATTTTGTTAAAGAGCTTTTAGAATAGAGGCTGCTCATGCTTAAATAATGGGCAAACTGAAGCTTGGTCTGATAATTTCTAAGTGTAGGGCATGGCCTCTTAACTTTGCTTTCTTAGTTTCTCTTCCTTATGTCTTGATTTGATACTTCTGTAGAGGAGTTGATTTTCTTCTTGTTTGTTGCTTGCTCTTGCATAACATGAGTAATGGGATTGTGCTGCCACCTGTTGCCTTTTGTGCTATTTATTATTCCTTATCAGAAAAAACAGGGAGAAGGCGTGCCATTTTTTGAGGTTTTAGAACATTTCCTCAACAGATTATCAAGAGTCATTGGTTTGTTGATGTTTTGGACTTTTTCTCACTCTGACAGTCAACTAACTTACTGTCCGGTTCAAACGAAAAACAATCAAGTAACTTGGTGCTTAAAATTTTTAGGTTATACATCAAACAACCTCCATCAAGCTTTTCAATTTCAGGAGATGATTGTGAACCTGAATGGGCAGAGTACAAAATCAAAGAAACCAACATGTTTACTGTGGACAAATACCAACAGGTGAACCCTTTTGATACTTGAAATGATAGTTTTTCACGGAGAAATAGCTTGGAGAGTAAATTGCATGACTTTTGTTTAATTTTCAATGTTGATTGCCTATCCATCTAATTTAGCTTGCAGATTGGTTTTTTTCCCAAAGAGAAGGCATTTTCATTAAGATACCAGACAGCTGGCATGTTAGAAACTGCGTTAAGACAAGGGGTGCTGGGAGAAGATGACACTGGAGAAGAGTCACCCAGGTGAGTGCATTTTCTCTTTAAAAGACACTGCTATTGATGCATGAATTTATGAGTTTTCAATCTTGGAACTAACAATTCAGCTTCAGCTATTAATTTTGCCTCTATTGATGGAAATGTTTCCAAGCTGCCTGTTTTGTGTTTGGGCTGCTGAAACTTCTTCTTAATAAGAAATGCATGAAATAGCATGAATGGGGCCAATGATAAGCCACTAGCCCTTGAAGTGGTTTTTGGTCTAAAAATAGAGGCAGTCAAGAAGTAATACCTATTAGGATGAATGGGTTCATCACTAATATAGATTGCTTAAAATCTTCACGGAAGGTGAGAAAAAATTGAGACTTTTTAATCATGTGTGGCCTGACATTCTGTGTGATTACAAGTGGCATGTAACTATTAATCATTATTGTCAGCAAATGTGGTGTTGATGACCGTGGCAATAAAGCATGTTGTGCTAATAGTTACAAGGAATGCAAATTAGGTTAATTTTCTTATATTCACAAGAAAAACTTGATGTAAAATGTGCTTCTCTCTATAAATTAAATTATAGTACTGTTGTCAGTGATGGCATATATTTACATTTATACTGATCTATGTGAGCTCTTGTTTTCTTTTTCACTACGATTTTTTTAGCTGTCATTATATGTTTCTTACTCTCGCTTTTCTTTTCACTATGCAGAAATCTAAAGCTTCCCTCTCCTCTGCCTTCTATTGTATGTGAGAATTGCCTTTATTCATTAAAGGGAGATGTGCGAGTAAGAGCATTCCATATTATGGACCCAAAGGGGATTCTAGAGATGATTATTATCTTCCTTGAAGAAAGAAGTGGTAAAGTGCTTGTTTATCAGCCCCTTAACAATTTTAAGGTAAGTTCAATGACCACATGGGAAAGTATTTCTCTTTTTTTGTTGCTTCATTTGAACACTCACCTGTCACCACTAAAATTCCTTCCTATCCTTAAAATACTATGTCTCTGATATTGATTTTCTTGTTTGAACCCAGGACAATATAGACAGGATTATACCATATCTTGGTAAATGGACAGGCCATTCCCTTACAAAGCGCAGTGGTGTTTATGGAGCGACAGTTGATGAAGCTGATACAACCACTGTAATTGAGATTGACGATGAGGGCCACTTAATCCAGGTTTGAACACTCTTTGCAATAAATCCATCTTTGAAAAATGAAAAACTCAGGTTGCTTCATTCTTCTTGATAATGTAGAGCTTAAAAATATTCTTGAATAATCATGCTACCTGTGCTGCATCGATGTTAAAGTGTGCTGTAATAGAAATACTTCTGAATCTTAGAACCAGGTGTATTATGACATCTCTCTGGTTGTTCACATTCGCACAAATAAGCAGGATATAACTTGTACATCCAAAGGACGTGATGTTACGACTAATGTACATTGGACGGGTACCATATCTGAGAACGTGGTCACATTTGATGGCGGGTTTCAGATTACCTTATTGCCAGGGGGCATGTACATGGGATGCCCATGTGACGTGGCAAAGTGCGTGCGAGAGTACAAGCCTTTCCATTTGGAGTTCTGTTGGCTTGAATCACCTGGCAAGAGACAGAGACTCATCCGCACTTATGATGTGGAAGGCATGGCTGTCTCATCAACATATTTTTTTGAAACTAAGCTGTGAGTTCTTCTGTACCTTTTTACATATTTACTTTCTTGGGTTGGATAACTTGCGCACATTAAGAATGCCCATCTTTGAATCCTTCTAGTGACCCAACAGCTCTATCCCGCAATGATTCAAGTCTTTAAGTTGAACGACTAGATTGACAATTTGTTTCAATAGCAATGAGATGTAGATTTAGAAAATGAAGTATATCATGTTGTTGGATGGATTGCTGGATACTTAAACGACTTAGTGTGAAGCAGCAACTAACAACCCCAAGAAATATGCTTAACCTATTTCTTTCATTTTTACAAAAATCAAAGATGTGGTTTTGCGGCTAAGGTTGCTTGCTTATTTGCAGTTGATAACAAAACTGCTTTGTGCACCGGGTGTGACTACAAAACTACATTGGTGGTATGTTGATAACCAATCCAAAGCCTCAAAAATCAAGTCATGCATCTTACTAAGCCAAAGCCTAGAATTTCTTAACCACCTAAAGGCTCACAAGCTAGGATGAATAAAGCTCCTTCTACTCCTAAGGTCAAAATTGATTAAACTACACATGGAGAGAAGAGAGTTGGTCCAGACTCCACATCACTCATGCCTTGAGGTTGGAACCACATCTGTTGCTGCTAGGGAAAGGGCACTAAAGATGTGCCTTCCCATATCCCCTCAATCTTAGCAGGAAATGCAGGTAGCTGCACCTTCTGGCATTTATAATGTAGTTGGTGATGTTGATAATTTTTTGATTGGCACGGGCATTGCATGTGGGGGAAAACTTGTCCAGCAGTTGCACTTGCACATAAAACATATTTGTTTCTCTATTCCTACATGCTTACACATTAGCTGGGATACACCAAAATGCATTAGTTGGGATTCACTTTGCCAATTTGCTGCATAGTTGGACCAAGTTGTTGAGAAAAGAATGGAATAGTTTCATGCTAAAGTCGATGGTAAAGAAACAAAGAACTATCTTTTTATTTTGCCCTTAATGGTGTAGAAACAAATCCCAGTTATTTATGATCACTTGTGATGGCAACATAAACTCTGAATTTGTATAATCAACATGCAAACCACATGTATCGAGCCAACTACAATTTTGTTGCGAACGGGTGATTTGATCTATTTTAGCATGGATTATACAATTCGAATTCAGTTTTTTGAGTTGAAATTGGATCTATTTGAGATTTGATTATTAAGCTATTCAATTTGAAACAATTCAGATTAAGTCCCAAAAATCCAAGATTTTGACTTAAATATGTACAAAAGTACTGAATTTGTGGATTAGTTTCAAATTCAGTTCATATTGATTCGTTCAAATTTACACCCTTTGGGTATGTGGTTAGCAAGACAGATGACTGCAATAATGTTCATCATAGTCGTGACTTAAATCCGTTCTTTTTTTTTTTTTTTTGTTTCAATAACTAAGATCGATTCAAGTGAAGAAGATTAACCATCACTTCTAGATGTGACTTATAACTGGGCCACCGCGCAACTAGGCCAAGCCCGGCTTCAGGATTTTAAGGTGGTAGTTCGAATCTTGTTGTCCCTTTTCTTTAATAAAAAAAATTAAACAAAACTATAGCCTTTTGATCGATTTCACAGGCATTACACTAGAATGGTAAAAGCCGTAAGAGTAATGTTATTTAAATATAATTTATTGATTTAATGATGTGGTTTTATTGAAATTATTGAATCAACACATCAATTTTTAATATTTGAGGGAGGCTATAGTTAATATCAATTGAAGTGATATGAAATAAAATTGATACCTTAGGATGTAATGTGAGAAATTTGATAGTCAAAAGTGTAAAGTGAAACAATGGTAATAGTTCAGGAGGGTAAAGTATAATTTACTCTTGAATTAAGGCATAACGTTTTAAAGTATATTTAAGGACAAAAGTGTTAATTTGTACAAAAAAGTAGTTTGTTTTCAATTTCTCTCTTGCTTTTGGGAGTGAAACACTTTTCCTCTAATTTTACTTACCCTCCTATTTTTCTTTATAACTAAACAATGAAAGATCTTTCTTTTTGTCCCATTTTTCATGCATCCAACTTTCCATCAAACTAAACACAGTATTAGATTGATTAAGCTTCTTGTCTTGATTTTTCACTCCCTTTCCTTATCATCTTGGGCTATAGGTTGGCACGTGGCAGCCTGCTTATGACAAACAGATATTTCTGTTAAAAGATTGGTTACATATTTCTCGAACAAAACATGTCTTATGCAACCATTTTCTTCTGTGGAGAGAGAGAGAGAGAGAGAGAGGCCCCATGATCATTGAGTAGTTGGTTCATAGCAACAGGAGAGCTAAACAATTTGCTTGATCCTATCAAGTTTGTAAGGTAGACTTGTCATTTGTAGCCATATATTTGTGTTTTTTTTCTTCCATATACCAAAACAGACAAGTACCAAAAGGAACTAAAATTAAAGATGTTAGAAGCGAACTGAAGCTATCATAATGTTTGTTATAATTACCCAATTAATGTCGTTTCAAGTTGGTGGGACTTCAAAAAAAAAAAAGTTGGTGGGGACTTTGAATTTGATTCATCCCCAAGGAAAAATAATGTTTGTGGGACTCTAGGCGGCTCAGCAGTCTTCAAATCAACACGTATAAAATTATGGCCGTTATGAAGTCCAAAGGATGTCGAGGAGTGGAGTCAATAGATGAAGACTTGGAGGATCCGAGTACGCGATTTGACACATGTATTCATTGTGACTTGACCACTCATTTTATGGCGATGTGAGTGATAATAACAGCGTCATTAATGAGCATCTGCATCTTTAAAAGCCTAAGCCTATAATCACGATGACTAGACATTGATTATCAGTGTGCCCCGAGGTACTATTTCCTCGAGCATTGATCACTTAGTTGTAGGTGTCAGGCATCGATTATAGGCACTTGAGTGCTCGGGAATAGTCATAAGTGCTCGACATGTCTTGGAACACTTGTCATATCATCTTAACATTAAATATGTGAAGATTTGGGTGGAGAACATTCAGATATTCGTGAGTAAAAGTGTTAGACATTGAATGTTCAGATGAGACTTGAAATTTTTGCACTCATTACTATCCTAAGTATAAATATCTCTCAAAAAAAATGAACAAAAGTACGCAATATTGAATCACGACTTATGATACATTGTACTCAAGCTTTTAATCTTATACTGACTTAAGTTTCGGAGGGAATAAACTGAGTGTTCACTTAACCCTTTTTGCTGACCCTATGATTGTTGCAGGTTCACCAGATTGAAAGTCGCTATTTCAAACTATTACCAAAATTCTTCTGTACAAATGTGATAGTAGGGTAACCAATTAACTCAATAAATTTGTTCAATAAATAAGTTGAAGTGAAATTAATTATATATGATCTGAATTCTAACATAATTTAAACACGAGACAACATATTAAAGAACCTTGGATTTTTTCCACTTTGCATCCTGAATTTTTTTTTAAGATTTTTATTTTGCATTTTCAAAAATTAAATTTTTTATATTACACTTTCAATATATCAAAAATGTCGTAATGTGATTCTTCAATTAGTTTTTCTTATTTTTTTTTGTCAAAAGCTAATTCATTAGCACTGATGGAAAAATTAATGAAAATAATTATATTGTAATATTTTTAATATATTGAGCGTACAATATAAAAAATTTAATATTTGAATGTATAAAATAAAAATTTTAAAAGTTTTTAAGGCGCAGAGTGCAATTCGCCAAAGAACTGTAGATACATCTTTTTAGGAGCTTCAAGGCCCAATAAGGGAAGAAATAGGTCAGCATGAAAGTATGAGTAGTAGTTTTTTTATCAACGACAAAACATACACTTAAAGTGTATGAGTAGTAGTTGAAAGTGTCAATTATACAGGTACTTGGGTCAAATGAGGGCCACCAATTTGAAGGGCCCACATGCTTATCCGTCTTCTTTAGTTACACTCATACAAACTCTATTGCTTTTCCCTTCTGACCTGCGGGTCAGTCGTTGAGCAGTTGGCCTACAACTACCATTGGACCCCTTCTCCACTTCACACACAACCTTCCCCCCCCCCCCCCCCCCCCCCCTTTTTTTTTGGTTAATCTCATTTTATATCCCGAAAGATAGTTTAAATTTCAATATGTACCCCCAAAGATTAAAAATTTTAATTTATACCCTCAAAGATAGAAATTTGTATCAATGTGCACCCCCAAAGATCAAAAATTTTAATTTGCACCCTCAAAGATATAAATTTATATCAATGTGCACCCCAAAAATAAAAAATCTCAATTTGCACTCTCAAATATAGAAATTTGTATCATTATGCACCTAAAACTAAATTGATAAATTATACCTAGATCCCCTCATGTTTGTCACTTAATCATTTGGACCTCTTTACATTTAGAATATTACTCCTACATCTCATGACATTTATGCACATACAACATGTAACTCATTTTCATTGATATCTATTAATATAACCGTTAAAAAATATAATTTTATCCTAATAAAAAATTATAATTTCATATTACCCTTATTTTATGGGTCCAATATACTCTAAAGTTCAAAATCAAACTTACCATTTGAATGTCTAATAAAATGTAGATATTTATATAATGTTTTTCATATTTTCCTTTTTATAAATATTTACATTATATTAGACATTCAAATGGTAAACTTGATTTTGAACTTTAGAGTATATTGAATTCACAAAATAAAGGGTAATATGAAATTATAATTTTTTATTAGGATAAAATTATATTTTTTAACGATTATATTAATAGATATCAACGAAAAGTGGTTATGTTTACACATGTACAAACGTTATGAGATGTAGGGGTAATATTCTAAATGTGAAGGGGTTCAAATGATTAAGTGACAAACATAAGGGGATCTAGGTATAATTTATCAATTTAGTTTTAGGTGCACATTGATACAGATTTCTATCTTTGAGGGTATAAATTAAAATTTTTAATCTTTGAGAGTATAAACTAAGATTCAAATAATCTTTCAGAGTATAAAATGAGATTAACCCTTTTTTTTTCCCTTCCCTCTCTCTCTGTTGCACGAAATCAGCAAACGGAAATTAAAACTGAACTTCGTAATCTCTCTCTCTCTCTCTCTGCGTAGGGAGGTGTGTGTGTGTGTGAGTGTCTTGTCTGTCATACATAGCTTCTTTTGCAAAACACTAGACAAACTAGAAAGATGAAGCAATTTGGACCCACAAATCTCTCTCTCTTTCCCTCCGGACACTTTGACGCAAACAGTTTCTCTCCCTTTAAATCCTTTCTCCTCCGCATGTCTCGCAAGACACAAATGAAAGAGAAACGGATAATCTTTGACTCTCCCTACAACTTTTGTCCCAAAATAACCGCCGTCTCTGGATGTTTTGTTCATTATGGGCAATCAACCCTCTGCGTTAACGCCAACCCAATGAGTTAATGTCAGGGGATTCCCCAATCCTTCACCCTTTTCCCCATCTGGGTCGATCTGGGTCTTCCCTACTTTGATCGATTTTTGATGGGTGTTGGGGGTGATGGGTTGCGTTAGCTCGAAACAGGCGAGATCAGAGTCGCCTGATTTCGATTTTTCGGTGACTGGAAGGGACAATGGGGCAGGGAATTTGGATTCCTCGTTGCAAATTAAAGGTGGGTTTGTGCATTTGGAGAAGATAAAGGAAGAATCTGAAAAGGATAAAGAGAAGGAGGAATCAGTTCCTAGGGTTCGTGATTTGGGGAAATCAAAGTCGTCAAAGAAGGGGAACTCTGAGAAAAGGGCTGCTTTTAGCTTCAGGTTTGGAAGGTTGACGGAAGGAGAACATGTTGCTGCAGGGTGGCCGGCGTGGCTCAGTGCTGTTGCCGGAGAAGCCATTGAGGGATGGCTGCCCCTGAGGTCCGACATATTCGAGAGATTGGAAAAGGTAGCCAAAGTCCCAAGTTTGCACATTTGGTTTTATACTTTTAACTTTTTCTTAATTCTTGATTAACTTGTCCTAGGTTGGTCATCTCACATAGATCAACATCCATCAAGTGTTTATGTCATTGTTCTTATATTGTTTAGGCTGAAATTTGTTGTTTTGGATAGAATTTATTCTTACTTGAACAACAGCGGTGAAGCCGGTATAAGATTGAGCAATGGGAATTATTTTTAGTTTTGTGGCTCACATTTGAACATAGGGTTTTTTGAGAAGAGAATTTAGAACTTTGCTCTTTCAGGAAATTACTTTCTGAATTCTGAGGTTGGTTGATCTTACAAGGAAACCGTCAACTGGTAGAAAATTGTGTGGGGATATGCTGTGTTATGATGATGTTGGTGGTGGTGTAAATGGTAATTATGATGGATTTTAATGCATGCTGAATTATTATGCGTTTAGTTTCACTTTCTTTACCAAACAGCTTGTAGTGGTGATATTGTCATGTAATGAGCTTATGAATACTCTCTAGTATTTCTGAACAAAATTCTTTTTGATTTGTTCCTTTCTATGTAGATTGGACAAGGTACGTACAGCAGTGTCTATCGTGCTCGAGATGTTGAAACGAGTAGGATGGTTGCCCTAAAGAAGGTGCGGTTTGACAATTTCCAACCAGAAAGCGTCAGGTTTATGGCACGAGAAATAACAATTCTACGCCGGCTTGACCATCCAAATATTATGAAACTGGAAGGGATAATTACTTCACGATTATCATGTAGCCTATATCTTGTTTTCGAGTACATGGAACATGATCTCTCGGGATTATTATCAAGTCCTGACATCAAGTTCAGTGATGCGCAGGTTGTAAAATTACCTCTGGTGCTTCTTCTGGTTATAGAACATTAGATTGACCTTGTTTCTGGTGTGTAGATTAAGTGCTATATGCGGCAGCTACTATGTGGGCTTGGGCACTGCCATTCACGAGGAGTAATGCATCGAGACATTAAAGCATCCAATATTTTGGTGAATAATGAAGGCATTTTGAAGATTGCAGATTTTGGTCTAGCAAATTTCCTTAGTGTAAGGAACAAGCAATCATTGACCAGTCGCGTAGTAACTTTGTGGTATCGTCCTCCTGAACTTTTATTGGGGTCAACTAATTATGGGGCGTCTGTGGATTTGTGGAGTGTGGGCTGTGTATTTGCTGAGCTTTTCATTGGGAGGCCAATACTCAAAGGGAGAACTGAGGTTAGTTCCTTCTCAAAATCAACTACTAATTTCTTCACCTTTTCTTTGATATCATTCCAGTATTGTTGGATGTCCCCGAAAGGACACTATTTCCAAACAAACTGCTTGGTCAATTGATGTAGATTGTAATAGTTGTGATACTTGATGTAGGTCAAGAGGAAGAGAAATTGGGATGAGAGGAGAAGAATAAAGGAGATGAGAAGGGAATAAGGGAATGAGAAATTAGAATTTAAGGAAAAACAATTCTCCATATTATTCAATAACTTAAAATCAGCCCCTTTATATAGGGAACTCAAAAACCCTGAAATCAAAGATTCCTAACCAAGCTCTACTACTAAAAGATAAAATCAATTTACAATATCTAAATAAATCATCATCATTTATCCTTTTCCAACCTAATCCTCATCATCAATACTAGGGAAAGATTTATTTAGGAAAGCAAGATATAGAACCATCTAATATATATTATAGTTGGTGTAGTAGCCTTCTCTCTTTTATCCTTTTTTGGGGAAAATGGTTTGGGTTGGGGTGGGCCTTGGTTGTAGTGCCTCATGCATTTTTGCCTTGACATCTTTTCCACCCTTAAATGTGTTTATGATCCATTCAAAAGGGGCTTCATAAAGTAACAAGTAGAGTTAGTGAAATTTCTCATTTATGTTCTCGCAGAATTTGCTTCATGCATAATCACACATTTCTACCTTTCCATCAGCCAAGCTCTATGTTATTTGGATTTCAAGACTAAAATCCATGGAGCGAATTCTGCAGAATGTAAAATGCTACACCATGCATCCTTTTTTGCTTATGGAAAAATGATAACTTTTTACAACTATTGAAGCTAAGTTCTTTACAATTTATGGATTTTGACAAGCGTATCGATTACCACTTATATTTGTCTCTTTTTTTTCTATTAATTCATTTTCATTTTATACTAGTAATAAACACTTTGTGTGTTTGTTTGTTTTTTGCATATGCAGGTTGAACAATTGCACAAAATCTTCAAGCTTTGCGGTTCTCCACCTGATGAGTACTGGAAAAAGTCTAAACTTCCTCTTGCGACAATGTTCAAACCCCAGCATCCTTATGAAAGTACTCTTCGAGAGAGGTGTAAAGAATTTCCAAAAACTGCTGTGAACCTTATAGGAACTTTTCTTGCCATCGATCCTTCCAATCGTGGGACTACATCATCTGCCCTTGATTCTGAGGTAATCATTTTGGACAAGTGGGAACGAATAATTGTTGTTTTGAGGATAATATCAATTCAGCAAACTATTGCAGTCATGTAAAATCCAATGTTCTAATAAACTATTTCACTTTTGTAATTCATTGTTGACAGATTACTTTCCCAAAAATTTCTCGATTAATATTTACTCTCTGTTTTTGTTGGACTTAGTTGATACCATCTTTTTGTTGGACTTAGTTGATACCATCTTTTTGTTGGACTTGGTTGATACCACCCTAAACATCCTCATATTCCATCGTGCCACTCGCTTATGAAAGCTCTAGAAATATCATTTTGTTAGTTACAGTTAGCTTTCTTATTGAATGTGTTTTATACATTTTCCCAGTATTTCACAACGAAGCCTTATGCATGTGATCCATCGAGCTTACCAAAGTACCCACCCAACAAAGAGATTGATGCAAAGTTCCGTGAGGAAGCACGAAGGTGAGACATCTTAATCCATATTCATGGAAAGGCTATGGGGAATATAGTACTTGAGGACTGCTAGGTTTCTGCACAACACACCTACACATTTGCAATAAGAATTTCAGCGTTCAGGAATCAAGTATGAAGTTGAACTTTGAGGTTGAACCTGCCTATGGATCCTTATGGGTGCAGGCAGTCAATTCAATTACATCATACATATTTAAGTGCTCCTACAATTTCTATCAGTTTTGCTATATACCTTTGCCATACTTGTGGAACAAATTCACTTGCTCTTGTTTAACTATAGTTCCTTTTGTTAATTCCTAGTTAACTTTCATACCATGCTTTTGTTCTAATCTGGTTCCAACCCTGGAATTGAGTGTGTGAGTTATGCCATCAAGTTTGAACAAAGAAACTGTCTAATTTGTGAAGCAGGATGGGTAAAATTTAGTCAAGGAATCAAGAAATCATTGCGAAAAAAACGCATGAATTAGGCTACTTTCGGTAAAAGCAGTGGTAGATAATATCTTCATGAGTCGTACAAATTCTATAGCTATTACATTGAATATTTCAATTGAAGTACCACTTGAATTCCAGGAAAAAAGTTGGCACTACAGTCCGGGAATCTGGAGTTTCGAGAAATCCTAGAAGAGTCCGCAAACCTTTGCAAGAACCAAGCACTTTCTGTAAAGTGGTACCAACAGAGGTCACTCTATCTCTATCTCTGTGTGTGTGTGTGTGTGTGCATGTGCTTGTCTCCACCCACTCTCCATTCTTAACAGCTATAGTGTAAAGCCTTTTCACACTTGTTTACCTACTTTCATCTATGAAGGAGGTGGAGGCTAATATTCAGGTCACTTATAGACATAAAGGTTCCAATGCACATTATCCTAAAGGAAAAGGAGCCACTGTATATAGGGGATCACTGAAGTCATCATATGATACAGTGTCAGAGGCTTCTCAAGGGACAGAGGTATCTCAAGTGGACAGCGTACGCTCAGTCCCAATACAAATTACACCATCAAGTGGCTTTGCATGGGCAAAGAGGCAAAAACAGGGTGCTGCATCAACAAGATTATTCACTCAGACCACTTCAAGGAGTCACAAATTTGGTGCATTAGAGCCATCCAGTGTACTACAGGCACAGGATACTTTGGACTCAGAAGGGCAAGAAAATGAAGATGTTTCAAGCGGGTTCTACAATGATTCAAGAGGCAATGATGAGATTGCAAAACGTGCAATGCGCAGGCAACAAAGTCATCCCTATCGACCAGATTCTTTTGATTCCTCTAATTTATACGACTCCCAAGAATTATCAGTGGTAAGTTATCTTCTCATAGATTCCACGAATAGTCTGCTAGGATGGAAAATGGGACAGTTATCTTCCTCTTTGTGGTTATGCCAGTGAGTCTCCCATTCAGAAACATAATCCTAATTGCTGCAAAATACTGTAGTGTGCACTCCAATATTATTACAAAATGTTTCTGGTTTGATCCAAAGTAGGAAACTAACCTTTTCGTTTTATATTATTTTATTTTTGGTTGAGAAAATCAGTTTGATTACGTTGTTGAACCCCATTTCCTGATTGAAATATGTCAGGATTATAATGATCAACCCAAAAGAGTTCGATTCTCAGGACCATTGCAATTACCATCACATAGAATTGAGGGAAGACAAGAAAGTCTTAGCCAACAAGCTGCTCATAGATCCCGTTTCTATGGAGGTACAAGAAACTCTCTTCTGAAATTCTGTCTTATACTATTGTTAAACTAGGTTTCTGTGGTGTCGTTTCTTTTTCTTTTTCTTCGTTCCCTTCCCTGTTTTGGGACTAATGCCCGAATTCAGTTGTTAATAATTCTGTTTTTGTTTATGCAGACTAGTGAGATGCAAAGGAACTGAAAGTGCTACAGTCTCCAAACCCACAGAGAGGGAATGTTTGCAGGGGCTTTGTGGCTGTGATCTTTTTATTGCCCTCTTAATGTCCTTCAAACTCATAGGGAGCTCAAAGGTTGTCAGGTTTTTGCTCTGCTCTGTACCTAAAAAAAAGGGAAGGAAAAAGAAGGTACAAAAAATTGTGCAAAATACCTTCCCAAAAATATTTTTGCAATGTAATTTCTGGGAAAAAAAAATTGTGCAACATAATATGCGTAGAAATAAGAAAATGGGATCATTAGCAAAAGTGACTAATAATTTGAGACGATTTCGAATGATGAATTGATATATGTATGGGGCAAAACAGAGCTGCTTTCAAATGGTTTGTAGCAAAGATAAAAAAAAAAAATTTGCTTTGGCCACTTAGGAAATGGAAACCTTTGACATGTTTCAGCAACGTTTCAACCGATTTTGAAAATATAATAAAAAAATTAAAAAAGTACAAATGCATTCAAATATTACAAAATACTTTAAAATATTATGAAATATCTAGAAATATTAAAATTTTGATTTCATCATTAATTTATTTTGGTTTTTTTTGAAACAGAAACGCTTCAGATATTTCTACTGTTTTCAAAATGAAATTTTGATCCTGCGTTTGAAGAACTAATTAGCTCTTAAGGTCTGATGAAAAAGAAAAGAAAAGTGCCCTATTGGAACAATTTCATTTTTGGTGGTGTCCAAAGCTCCTCTGTTGTTGTTGGAAATGCTTGGCAAATATAATTCTTTCTAGTCATAAATTCCTTTTTATTTATTTTTTTATATATTTTTGACTTTCAGGGAAAAAGTTTTCTTTTAACATTTCTTGTTCAAAGTAAAGAATATTTTTTTCTGTTTCCAAAGCAAATTTCCAAAGCAAGAAATGTTGTTCTACTTACGCAGCACCTGACGAACTAATTAGAACATTCTCCCAAGTAAGAGTTCGTAATCTCTCTCTCTCTCTCTCTCTCTCTCTCTCTCTCTCTCGCCAATCCTTTTATATTATCCCCTCAACTATGGTTGGTTCCACCTTGACCCCAAACCCAACAATATCCAAAATCACAAAATTACATATTGCCCCCAACAAAATTTATTAGTTTCACATTACTGGGAAACCCTACAATATAAGATGGAAGATTTTGAGACATATAACCATAACTGAAAATTTTATCGTTAGAAGGGTAATGTGGTATCGGGTGACGCAGGTTTGTATTGGATCTCAGTAGATGTGTGTCAAAAAATACTTTACTCATATTCGATTTACTTAGTAATTTGTGTCTAATAAATGGTGTCATCAGGTTCGTCTCATATATGAATCAGGTATAATTAATACATAAACGAGACTTTCGTTACTGTGGGTGGGGTCTAAGAATATTTAGATGAGCAATGTTACATGTACTTAAAAAATAGACTTGATAATCTCAACCATTGATTTTACTGTGGATCCCAGTATTTATTGGGATCCATTACCTATTCAATAGTTGAGATTATTAAATCTAATTTTTAAGTTTACTTTTTAAATCTATCTAGTATTACTGTATTTAGATATGTCAGCATACGAAAAAGAGTATTTTCCGCAAATCGTGTTGCAGATAATGGGTTAGAAATACCCCATACGAAGGGATAAATAGGAAAGTTGGGTTGAGGTAAAAGGCCCAATACCCTTTTCACAGCAAAACAAAGCCCATCTACCAACTTTGCCACCGGCACCACTTCTATTACCCTATACACATGTAAAGGGTATTTCAGACAAAGTGACATTAATCTCACCCTCCTATTTTTGTGCAAATCAAACATGAAATTTACAATTAATAAGGACAAAGTTATACCTATCCCCACACCGGAACCCATTTTTTATGAATTTTTCGAGAATCAACTCCCTCAAAATGTCAATAATACTCTCTATCACTCACTTCTCTAAAACTCGTAATACAAGGGAAATAATAAACATCTTAAAAACTTTTAATGCATAAATCTAAACGTTCTAAGTTTGAAACTTAACAATTTTTTAAAGTCGAATTATGAGAAATTTATTTTTTATGAATATTTTAGTCCTAACGTGGATGATCTGTCTTTGACCCTTAGTCAAGGTGTGCGTAACTTAGCGTTAACACACTCAACCGTTTAACCAATAAAAAAAAAATCATATGAATCATGATTCACGACGAGGACAACAAAGACATCACTTTCATGTATGACAATTTACACCCAATCTGTCAAAAGGCTAGACGTTATACTAACAACATATAATAATACAACATTTTATTGATAACATTGTTGAGTCAACATCAAAGAGCATATATACTTATGCTGTTTTAGAAAAAAAATATGTTTTCTTCATTGTGTTTGTATAATGCTGGAATTGCAGGGAATTCCCATTTATACACAGTAGATATTTAGATTCTACCCTCAGGTAGATGTCGGAAACTATAGAAGTCAGACCCTGCATTCCACCATTGGAATTAGTCATCAGGAAGAGTCACAAGTGTAGGGATTTGGCCATGATTAACAAAGTCGATCTTGTTCAGTCGCACGCAGCAGAGAACTTTCTCCGGCAGGTCTTCTGGCTTCTGTGCCTGTTTGTAGTTCCCAACAGTGTAAGATATATAGAGAGTTTAGAAAAATTAGGGTAGAAGTGCAAAGGCGGCAAATTTTGGCTCCCAATGGTCGAAATCCACATAGATGTAATGAAGAATTATACTTTGTTATACTGCTGACAACTTTCTAACAATAACATTGAATATAAAAAAGATAGAGGGCTCAATGAAATCTACACTTTGGATATGATGGAGAGAACCAGACTGTTCTATGGAAACATTGTCGAAAAGAACCAGCATAGCTAACAACCGGCCCTTCAGTCCAGATGTTCCTCATATAAAATTATTGACTCTATATGCTCGGCCTGCCAGGGCTTACGCTAAGGTTAGGTTGAGTGTTTGAGTCCCTTTTTTTGTGGTGGAGGGAGGTGGATGGGTAGCGTTTTGGAGCCTAGCTTTGGCGAGGGAAGTTGGGTCTATCTAACCAAAAAAGAGTTAGCATGGCTGCAATAGCATCAGGGAGTCCCAACCAGCCTTAACTAGGTAGACTGCAACTGAAAGTTCATGAACCTATTATGGGAAGAGAAGAGATAGAGAGAGAGAATGAAACTTGCTGGAGCCAATCAAGGTTAGCAGGGCATAAGCTCTTACAGCAAACATGTCTCATTAAGGCACTGATCATCACATGATCCAACCAGTTTTCCTATATCTCTGTCTCCCTCTATCAAAATTAGGTGGCGTCAAATAAATTCAAAACCCCCGAGTTCCCAACAGTGATGTGGATGTAATAGGGCAGAAGCTGTACCTGAATTGTTAAACCCAAATCCAGTATTCCAGTTTTCAGACGATCCCGGAATGCTTCTAATCCCTTCCTGGCTATGTAGCTGAACCGATGGATGTCAAGGTCAATCTCAAAGTAATTGGGACCCTGGATCAGACAGGAGAGGAAGATCACAACAGATTCTATTCTACACATACAAGCATGATCGTGGTACATCACGATCTTGTGTTAACAGTCTAGTATATTCTGGATTGATCAGACAGAAGTTCAGGTAATCAATTTGCCAAGAAATATGACTTTGCTAAGAACCAATAAATATGACTGACCATCGTTTTTGGTCATATGAACTGGGAGACCATACGATCACATACATAAATACGTCATTACATCTTTTCTATCTTTTGGATTAGTCTACCTCCTCATTGCACTCCCCATACCTACTGGTTTCTCATGGACACAGGGTACTCTAGCCATTTAACAAAGTGGTGCCCTCACAACCCTCATTTTGGTAATAGAAAATTCACAGGGTACAAAAGCAATTGAGTAATGGAAATCAAGTGCATATACATCATCAGTTTTATGTTGTCAACTACAAAGTAGAAACAAGGCAAGATATTTCACCTGATAAAAACTGTGTTGAGGGCGTGAAAGGACTGGCTTTTCATTATAAGCATGCAAAAGCTTTTTTTCAGTAGAACTCGAGACGAAATCATCTAGGTTAACTACCCCAACCATTATCTTTAGCCTTTCTCTGAAAGGAACTGTGGAGTCTTTCGTGAATCCTTTAACCTTCTCCGTATCATCCTCAATCAATCTCTGTAGCACGAAGTTTTCAACCAACTGAAATGTTATGCCAACTGGGAAACAAGTGATCAAGTGTTCTACTATTTAACTATAGAAAGAATCACAGTTCCTATTCTGTAGAATGAAATAGCCGATAAGCTACCACATGTCAAGATCAAAGGGCATGCGGCATCATACTGCAATCGGAAAAACACAAGGATCTTGTACAAGGAGTACCGAACTCCCATTCTTGGCTATCCATATCAGAGACCATTACAACAGAAATTGTGAAAGCCCTCTCATTCAATAGGTCTCATGGAGCATACTAAAGGAACAAAATTACATAAAAAATACAATCACAGAACTCTTAATCTGCCCTGAGCATAAAGCCATAGAACATGTACCTCTGCTTCTGCATGTCCTGCCAATTACAGAAAACCCTAAGTCACAAAGGTGAGCGCCTACCACAATAGTAAATTCAACACAGGAAGTCAACCTAAACTGGTGGCAGTGCTCTTTACGCAAGAGTAACATTGGCATGGTCTTGCTAAAGGAAAAAGCCCTTAATAGGATACCATAACAAGACAAGCACTTCAAGTGGGAATTCAGCACTCCTCGACTTGTCCTAACTGAAAGGTGATCCGCAGACGAGTGAGATTCATAAGCAATGAGGTAGACTATTATGTTCTCACAAGTAACCCTATGCAAAAATCACCCAGACCCAACTTGAGGTAGACTCCCTCAAGGAAAGTTCAACATTGACTACTATCTGATAAGTGAAGTTGAAGGTCCCAATAAATTCTACTCTTTAAGAAGCCCTCCTCATAGAATTGCATCAGCATCCACAAGCAAATGAACCATGATTCTTGTCTACACAAAGATCCTTAAATTCTCACTCTGACCGCTGGATCAAATCACTATATAGTTCCTCTAATCTCAATAATGAAAAGGACTAAAACTTATTGAAAACGAAAAAAAAAACTCCAATGGTATTCACTGCTCACAATCATATTTTCGAAGACTCAAGTTCCCCACTGCAAAAGATACCACGAATCCTAGAGCCAGTATCATCATGGACCAAGGAATCCAAAACACCATCAATTGAAATTTTATTAAGCATTAATTTTGTTAGGGATTTCAAACCCACAAAAGTTTCCACGAAGATTGTGGACATTCTCATCCTAAATCCACTTTTTTCGCTACCAAGGTAGCCCAAGCATCCAAAATATGAAGTATGCCATCTGACTTGTTTCATCCAGAGCGACAGTCTACCAAACACTTGAGATAACAATTTTTTCCCAAAATTTTCTTTGGAATTAACAAAACACAACGATAGTGTCTCATAAGTACTATCAAATTTGCATCCCATAGGCACACAACAAGAGCATGCAAGGAACAAAGATACAAAGGCCCTAACTGGTACCATAATTGCATTTCTAGAACAGCCTAGACCAATCCAGTAAAAGAAAAAGGCCAATCCAGAGAATATCATCTGACTCGGACCAATTATAATGGTGGAGGCAGAGCATAACCTAAAGGACCAATGAGATACATGACAATCAAGCAAAATGTGGAGGATTCCCTGCAAAAACTATTCAACATGAAACCTTAAAACATATTCATCAGAATAACAATTTGTTCTTTGAGACAGAATAAGAAAAACCAAGCTGAGCCACAATATAAGCAATCTAGTCAACTGTTTCTAAAAGGGACAATTTGAAGTATGTACCTTAATGCTATCCTGAAATTGGGGAGAGGTGTCTTTCTCAAAATTCTCAGAAAGTTTGAAATACAGTACGAGGCTCAAACCCTCCCCATCACTATCACCAAGGAACATCGGAGTAGGATAAGTAGGCAACTGCCATGAGACAAACAATAAAACAATGAGATATGCACAAAAGCCACTGCTTTCATAAGATATGATAAAAGTTGCGTTTTGATATTCACTTGTGACCAAACCATACCACGACTTTGAACCATATTGAAGAGTTGGGAAGTGATATTGGGCAATACGCTTCAATTCAATGATGATGACTCGAATGACTCAGCCAAGTCATCCAGGACGTCTCCAAGTCAACCACAAGTAACTCACCAGTCAAGTGAGACTCGTGGTTTACTTGGACCGTGTATCAGTCCCGGGATGGAAGGAGTCATTCCGGAAGGAGATGTCCGGATATGACTCGGCCAAATCTCATTGTTATTGGCCGATGCCTTAAACTATGAGTCACAACACCCTAGCATGCACATGAAAACTAATAAACATAATGAGAAAATATCGTGGGGGGAAAAAATGAAAAAGTACCTGAATATTGACAATCAGGAGTGGAGGCACTTTCCCATCTGCTTTTACAGAAGGAAGCTCAAGGTGTTGAGCAATGTGATTAACCTTTCTCGGGCAAACAAATAAATCAACACCAATTGCAGTATAAGGACAATAATTTGGAGCAGGGAATTTCTTCTTATCTCTGCATATTGAATCCTCAGGATATTAGACATCTATAGGAGACCTATGTATAAATGCATACTGCAGACTTCTGCATATATAGTCAATCATCAACATAAGGAAGTTAATGGCATACTTAAAATAGTTATCACCGCGGAGTTTAAATCTTGAGGGTTCAATATCAGACCAACTACTTGGGATTGGCTTCTCTTCTGTGCAACATGGAATTAAGAGTCCTGCTCTTGGACGGTAAAAATATTTTGTTGATGCACCTACACAAATAACTTTCGATTCAATGCCATATAGTTATCAGTCCTATTTGAAAGTAAATATGTTTTCAGTCACATGAATTCAAATAACAACACTAAACAGCTTGTTCTTTATCATCGCAAATTGTTGAATAAAGGATTTTAAATTTGAATACTTTCAAGGATGTATACATAAGTGACATTATAGATGTAAAATTTTTCTTGGAATTTCGCACAGAAATAACTAGATCAAAAAACTACAAAATAAGGATCTTCAAATTTGGACTCATTCTTTCCAATAAATTAATACCCACAAAGAAATGAATACAGCATATACTTACAGAATTCATTGGTTTCTTCTCCATCTACTGATTTCCTCTTGAAAGAAAGCCTTATAACTGCTGATTTCTTTCTTTGAGGTTGGGGACCTAAACTTGAAGCATTAATAATCTGATCATTGAAACTTACAGAAGGAACCAACCGAGGTAATCCAGATTTCAGAATGTTATCATGTTCATCCTCTTTTACACCGTTGAAGCTTAGATAAGAACGGTCCAATTTTTTCTTCCTCTTGGAGCAATACTCTTCTCCCTTTCCCAAAGAAAGCCCATAGCCCTGGGTACTCATAAGTGCAAATCCATTTGGATCGTTGAATCCATCTTTGTTTAAGAACTCTGTTTTACTGCTATCTATTTTCAAATATCTTTCGTGATACTCTTTATACTTACATTTGCTATCCACAAAGCATGATGAAGTTTCGTACTGAAGCACTTGTCCACTTGAAATGTTAGGAAAACAGTCTGTGAGCGAAATAAGAGTACAAACAAAAATTGACGAATAAGCAGTTACATATAGTATCACAACCACAAATTATTGATGCACTATATTTGAAGCTCCATACAGAAGCATACGTCCATTCGAAAAACTGAAAAGACAATGTTCCTTACCTCCATGCACACTGCTGAACTCATCATCTGAGTCAGAATCCAATATACTGAGTGTGTCAAACCATGCTTCCTCTTGGGAAATTACTGCAAGCAAATGAATTTTATGTGTCATTTTCAAGTTGTTAAGGTACACCTTTGCTTTCTCCCTTTTTTTTTTTTTTTGTGGATATGTCAGGCAAAATTTTCACTAATTTTAATCATACAAAAATAAAAATTCAGTAGTAAACTAGGTGATTCCTTTTTTGTTTTGTGGTGGGGGGGACAAAGTAAAAACTGCAAAAGTGATAGTGTATAACCAGTTGTTGCTTCTTTCATTCATCCAAAACCTGTCCTTCGAGCAACAACAGTTCAGGTTGTTACGATCATCCAATGAGGTACAACTCTTGTCATTCCTAGACAGACTGTTTCTTAAGCATAAAATTTCAGAAGGGAAAAAAAGTATACCATTAGCATCAATTTGACTATGGTGCCATTGCAACTCAGTGAGGTGAAATGTTGAATTTGAAACCTCAGATCTTCTGCAGGTGGTAGTTGTATGAACAAACTCACTAACAGCAAAATCTGTCACACGAGCACCTGCATCACTAATCCTTTTCATGGGTCCATCAGGGAAAGAATGGGGAAGCTTTCCTCGGTATTTTCTTAACCGGTGACGATACTTCCTCCTTGACGTAATTGTCTTAGATGGCGTTGATACACAGGCACCCATTATGTTTCCTTAGTTTTTACAAATCTCAACAGGAAAAAAATACTGTCCTCATTCAAGATGCCAACCTCAATTTTGTACTGCAAGCAAATGACTTACCAGACGCTTAAAATATATCAGAATGCATCCAATAACTTCAAAATAAAGCAGTTTCATTCACTAAAAATGCATCAAAAATAATAGCAAGCCCTCCATTTCTCACGTTTAGTGTTACCAAGCTAAGATACTAGTTCAATCAAGCAACCATAAGAGATCATCATATGATCTGTGCCAGTAATTCCTCTCAATAAGATCAACCAATATGTAGGAGAGAAGTGGAAGATTTGGATTTAAAGCATTAGCACAATAGGTTGACCCAAAAAGGGGCCACATCTTTAACCACACAGAAGAATCAAAATTAACAGTCTTTATCAAGAAAAAGAGAAAAAAAAATAGAGTAATGTGAAAAGGATAGCATAGAAATCCAAAGGAAGAAGAGAACAAAATTAAAGCCATCGACAACTAAAGTCCATCATCCTCAAAATGTAGACATTTATTTTTTTTTTTGGGGGGGGGGGGGGAGGGGGGAATGAAAAATACCAACAATTTGAAATCCCAATACAAATTTTCGAATCATAGGGAAAAAAAATTATATTCTAAGCAATGCAAATGCATTGTACAAGCGTGATATATATATACAGAGAGAGAGAGAGAGAGAGAGGAAAGAGAAACCTGAAGGATTGAAGAAGATAAAGAGCCGTGGTGCTATTATATGATCGTCTCCCTCTCTCTGAACCACACCAACGATTGAACCAGAGAGAGAGAGAGAGAGAGGCAGCAACAACACACACAAAGACAAAGACAAAGACAAAGACAAAGTGGAGGGGGTGTCGGATCCGAATGCAATTCCGAAGCTTCTCTTTTGCAGCTTCTTTTTCTAAATTGATAAAACTATTTATTTACAGTTTGAAATGAGAGGAAGGAGAGAGGGTGTTCTTGAGCTCTCTATCTTTTATGGCTTTTATTAGTTAGTACATGGGTTGGTTTAATCGTTTGTTGCATTCACAGTTCTATATTTGGCTCGCCACCGTTGGACGGAGAGAGAGAGAGCATTGGCATTGGCATTGTCATTTTCTTTGGCTGGCTTTTACTCATGGCTTCCTTGCAATTACCTTACCTACCTACATTTTTTTCTTTTTCTTTTTTTAATGTTCGAAAAATTTACAATCACAATAATAATAATAAAAATACTATTTGCACCAAAATTTTACATCAAATTTATACAACAAATGGTTGCGAGCCTTTAGATTGGTGGGGCCTACTGCCATCTAACGGATCTCATCCATTTGGTGCATGAACACTGTGCATAATATTAATGTTTCATAAATAACAATGAGCCATTATTTGGAGATTTTTTGTTAAAAAATAATTTAATTACCATTTAAAATTAAATAAAATAATATTTTACAATTTAGTTAGAATTAACAGAATTCAAGGGGTAAAAAAAAAATAACAAATTACTTACCGAAAACAAAGAAGAATAACAACCGATATGCTCCCTCTCCCCTTTTCTCCTAATAGATATATGATGTCAATGACATGAAATAAAGACTCAAAACTACAGGGGGGGTTAGAATAATTTTAAAAATATAGAGGAAACATTTGCAATTAGTAATTTGAAGAAGTGTTATGATATTGTCTTAGCTTAAAATCCAAACAGAGGAACACCCAAAGGACATGTAAGAATTACATTTGACCATAATTTCAGCTGCTCTCTCTCCCTCTCTCTCTTACTTACTTATACTATTATGGGATCACAGTTCTTCTTCTTAAGATTACAGTCAAATAAACGTAATAGATAACAGAGTTCAAATACTTTGTTATATCGTGTGTATCTTATTCCTTACAACGATTTTGTATTATTTTTTATGAACATCGAATATATGAATTGATTATTTAATTTTTATTTTAATGTATTGGTTACATAGATTTCATATACTAGGAATATAATAATGGAATTATTGGCACAAAAACCAATCAAGTTGTTGATAAAACAAACTATCACGAGGCTCACACGTGGCCTCTTTTAAACATGCTTTAACTTCCCCATAACAAGGAAGCGACACGTGCCTACCCCCATTAAATTTGGTTCCAGCGCTGCTGTCCTACTCCTACATATTTGTGCGGCAAATGTATCGATGCCACCTCATTATAACGGTTGAGTTAATATTAAAAGTTATTATTTAATTATAAATAAATTATGTCTCAAAAAATATTACTCATTGCATTATAGGTGTCTATTAATCTATTTTCTTGCTACAACTAAATTAAGGCATTATCTTGTATCTTTTGTAATTATAGTGATTTAAAAAACGTAGCGACGAAGAGATCAAAAATTATAATTTTTAAAGTTAAGTTATAATTTTTTGGTGTGCAAATTATAACTACAAATGACATAATTAATTCCACAATATTTATATGATATTTCTCAAATTTAGAAATAGTAGTGGTTAAAAAAAAAAATGAATGTTTATCCAAATTTATAATGTTTAGATTAGGAATGAATTATATGTGTTAGACGTCAGACATATATGGAAATATTCGTATAAATTTCGTGCGGGGATAGAGGTAAGAATGAACTAAAACTTATTTTCGTCCCGCTAAATCCGTAATATATAAAAATAAACATATATTCTATATTTTAACAAATAAAATAATTAAGTAAAACACACATTTATTATACATTTTATTTTTATGAGTTTTAATGTTTGATTCATTCTGACAAAAAAAAGAAGGGTTAATCTCATTTTGCACCCTAAAAAATTGTTCAAATCTCAATTTGCACCCCCAAAGATCAAAAATCTCAATTTACACCCTCAAAGATAGAAATTTGTATCAATGTGCATCCCCAAAGATAAAAAATCTCAATTTGCACCCTCAAAGATAGAAATTTGTATCAGTGTGCACCTAAAATTAAATTGATAAATTATACCTAGATCCCCTCATGTTTGTCACTTACTCATTTGAACTCCTTCACATTTAGAATATTCTCCTTACATCTCATGACATTTGTGCATGTGTAACACATAACCACTTTTCGTTGATATCTGTTAATATAATAATTAAAAAATATGATTTTATCCTAATAAAAAATTATAATTTCATATTACCTTTTATTTTGTGGATTCGATATACTCTAAAGTTAAAAATCAAGCTTACCATTTGAATGTCTAATAAAATGTAGATATTTATATAAAAAGTAATATGAAAAATATTATATAAATATTTACATTTTATTAGACATTCAAATGGTAAACTAGATTTTGAACTTTAGAATATATTAAACCCATAAAATAAAGGGTAATATGAAATTATAATTTTTTATTACGATAAAATTATATTTTTTAACGGTTATATTAATAGATATCAATGAAAATGAGTTACGTGTTATACGTGCACAAATGTCATAAGATGTAGGAGTAATATTCTAAATGTGAAGAGGTCTAAATGATTAAGTGACAAGTATGAGGGGATCTAGGTATAATTTATTAATTTAGTTTTTAGGTGCACATTGATACAAATTTCTATCTTTGAGGGTGCAAATTGAGATTTTTTATCTTTGGGGTGCACATTGATATAAAATTCTATCTTTGAGGGTGTAAATTGAGATTTTTGATCTTTGGAGGTGCACATTGATACAAATTTCTATCTTTAAGGGTTTAAATTGAGATTTTTAATCTTTGAGGGTGCAAATTGAGATTCGAACAATCTTTCGAGGTGCAAAATAAGATTAACCCCAAAAAAAAATGTTTGATTCATTTGTTATATATAATGAGTTTTTATTTTTCTTGTAAATCAATTTGTGAGGTTTTATAATTTTTTTTATAATTTTTCTTAAAATTATATAAATTAATTGTTATGATCGAGAACAAAGACGGGAACGGAGATCAAAATTTACCCGTGGGGTTAGAAATGGGGATTAAAATTTCCTCCTCTAATGGGAGTGAATCGAGAATGAGCGAATATTTTTGAAGGAGGCACAGGAATGAATACAATTCCCCCACCCTCGCCCCGTCGTCGCCCCAATCCACTATCATCCCTGCTCCACATTTTTAATGCTTTGTTTGGTACGATGAAAAAGTAGAAAGATAAAAAGTTGGAAGGATAAAAAGTTAGAGGAACAAAAAAATATCATGTTTGGTAAGGAAGAAAAGTAACAAAGATGGAAAAATATATGGATTAACTTTCCTTTCAACTCACCAAAATCAATCTCTCCAAAATCGAAAAAAAAGTTGATGAAAAGTTAATTATTTGTGTTGAGATGTATCTTATTTGTTTATATATCTTATGTATACATTAATTTCATATAAAAATACAATGGTAAATATATGTATATATATTTTAAAAAAAATTTAAAAAAATTAAAAATTTTAAAAATTAAAATTTTAAATTAAAAAAAAAATATTTTTTTCCATCTTAACTAAGGGTAAAAATTTTAAACTCAATACGATGACACGACTCGAACTCTATACGAAAATAAACAGGTCAACATAATTAGTTAAATGAGTTAAGTTAGGTTTGACTAATATTCGACACAAACTCGTAATGATTTTATACGAATCTGACACGACATGACTTCACTCGATTGTCACCCTTAATCTTAGCCAGCACAAAAAAAAATAGTTATTTTTATTTTTCATCCATCCAACCAAACACAAAGGAAAGAAAATTTATTATTTTTATTTTTTATATTTAAATAATAAAAAGTATATTTTTTCTACTTTTCATCCTCTCTTCTTTTCATTTTTTTATCAAACGGACAATAAAAGTCGGTTACCCTTATTTCTCAAAGGCCATGGTCAAGTTATGATAGTCAACTCGGAACTTTTTCGCGCAAGTCCGAAAAATTTTTATAAAAAAAAACAGCCAAACATGGAGCATTTTGTCTCAACACCAAGAACTTTATTGCTCCCACTTCCCAGAGCGGATGGTCCTTTGAAATGGACAAGTTACCCATTATTCTTGGAGCGGTGGATCTCTCCAGTGGTCCAGGCGGTGGCCCGTTAACCTGTCGGTCTATCAAATCATGGGTTGGATCAGCCCGTCATGTAATGATTCATGGTAAAGCCTGAACCATTAGGCCCAATGGTCTGATTCGTTAAGTTAAGCAGGCCTATGGCCTGACATTTTGGCCCAACAGAATTCGGGTCTCATTCGTGCGTGCTTCGTTGATCTTGATCTCTATTAGATGAGTTTTCGTAGAATCTGATCAATTACTAGAAATCAGTGCGAACAAAATAGCTTTGGAATTGAAATCCATGGCATCTAGGCGGAACATTCCTTACAATCGTCTTCCCGCTGATGAAGACGATGATTATGACGGTAATGGTGGAAGACGATACGATCCTAGATTTGACTATACACCAAGATCCCTGAATAAAGTCCCGTGGAAATCCATTGCGCTTGCAATTTTCCTGCTCTTTCTCGGATGTTTCCTTCTCCTCCTTTCGATATTCATCTTCACAGGTCACATGACAGGAGATCGGTCACAAGCGTACGGCCTGCTGGGGCTCGGATTCCTTACTTTCCTCCCAGGTATGTCGAAAACATTCTTGGTTTTTGTTGCTAAATATTGATAATTGGTATATATTATATCAAGCCTACTATTTGCCCCTGCTAAAAAATTTGAGCTGGAACTTTCATACCAGTACTTCTTTGGCGTGTGAATTTGCTTGATTGACCTAAATAGTTATGAATTTCGTTTCTTCGCCTCTTTGAGCATATTTAATTTGGTAATCTGCTTCTTAACCTCTTTGTTGATCATGTTTTGAATGAAATTCTTGTATGTATCTAAACAGTGTGATTTGTTTCAACATTTTTCCAATACTCTTTCGGTATTTATTATGTTTAAGGGGCTTTTAGATCCAACGGAATGTGATTGCACTTACCGTGCCCTAATCTAATTCATTTGGAACTCTAGTTGAGGATTTAGAGAGAGAGTTTGATACAAATGAGTGGTTATCAAGTGACGCTGACAATAGAAATAAAGCATTCGAGCTTTTTAAGTGGAAGAACATTAGTAGAAATGAGAGGAATGATATAACGGGAACATAGGAAAGAATACTTTTAAGAATTTTGATAGGGGGAGTAATTTTTTTCCACTAGAAAGAGAGAGTCGAAAGCTGTGTTTTAATGATAAAGCTTTTAAGGGCCATGTTACTGAGATTCTCATAATGAAAATCCTCCTTTTCCATTGGTAAGTAAACATCCTATCAGGATAGGGTGGAGAAATTGAGTACTTGGTCGATTGAGATTACTTTTAAGTTCCATTTGAGAATATTTGTAGAGGGTATATACTCTCCTTTCTTTGTCGTTCTCTCTCTCTCTCTCTCATTCTTTTTTTTTCTCTCTTCTGTGGGAGGGTTGGAAAGAAAGGGGAGGGAGAGGATGTTCAATGAAACAACATCGTATATTATTTTTTGCGTCAATTAGACTTTTTTAACACCTTGATTCCATTTGGTTTTGTTTGGAGTACTATTAAACAGCTATAGCTTCTATATATGCTAAGTTGTTTACACACTATGCATAGGTTTATGTGAGGTCATTTTGAATTTATTGATAAGATGTTTGAAATATATTCCTTACTACATTTTTAAGTTATGTCTGGTGTTTACGAACAAGTCTTTTTTCAAGCCATTAAACATGAAGACCTTAACTGTGTGTGGTTTAATTTTGTCTTTGGGCGGTGTTCAATGATGAACGTTTGTTAGATGGGACATCAATGCATTGAATCCTATGTTAAACCTTTTTTTTTCTATGGTCCAATTGATTGTTGAAAAAAGCTTTTCTTCAGTGCTCCGTATGTGGTGGTGTCATCATTTTACGGAATTTCATATATAGGATGGAATGATGGATTGGAACAAAACATCGAAACATGCAATGAAAATTGGAACATTCAAACATCCTCAAGTGATCAAGGAATAAAATTCCAAGTTGTCTTTGTTCAGTCTGTATGCAGCATATGTTTGGGACATATTAAAAATAGACAGAACACTGTGCAAGAGCGGGAGTTGGAGGCTACTTACTAATATGGGACCTTCAACCTTTGTATCCAAAATACTGATTATCAGCTTAAGTGCACATTGCTGAATTTATCTCAATAGCAGAATAATTACGCTAGGCCTCGAAAATTTTTAACTCAGAAAAACTTGTGAAGTAGGTCAAAAAGTTTTTTTTTTAAGTTTCTTTACGCGCAACAGCTGGAGTTGGACCTTATGGATTGCCAAATTAAGGCTCTAGAGCTGGAGTTGCACCTTGATTTGCCTGTTTTCTATGTGGTAGTTGTTTTGGTTAAGGTCCTGAAATAAGGTAAATGATGATACAGTTCTGGTTGGTATAGCAGATGTCCTGTCAGGTTTTGTATGTATATTGTTTTTCAGATACAAGTTTTAACAACCCCTTTTCCTTTGTGTGTAGTGCTTGAGTTTGGCTATTGTTAGACTCGATTTTCTATATCGTGAATATGAAGTTGTTCTATGTAATTTATATGCTGTAATGGTGTTTGCCCTATATTTGATTTGAGCAATTGTTCACTTTACATATTGATTCAATCCAACTGCAGGGTTTTATGAGACTCGAATTGCGTATTATTCATGGAGGGGTGCTGCAGGCTATAGCTTTGCTTCCATCCCTGATTATTGAGCATGTACTTCATTTGCAGTTCTTCCTTTGGTATATTGCTATCACTTTTTATCCAGTTGCGTGATTTACAGACCCACTGTATAGAATTACATGATTTGTATTTGAGTAATGCTTTTCCATTGCCACGCAGGCCATACATATTTGTGCGGTGCTTAGCAGAGTTTGCTTTTTTTTTTTCCAGTAAAATAAAATTGTTGAGTAGGTTGAATGATTTAGCCATTCGTTGTTTTGGAAATTCTCGAGTTGAATGATCTGATTCCTCGCCAAGGGTTAGGGAGTTTAAGCTAGGGGCAGAACTCCAGAAAGAAAGACGATGCTCACTGAGTAAATTTCAGTATTTAGCCAAATACCGTAGTTTTTGAAACTTAATTATGGCAAGCAAGACAAATATGTCAAGTTTGGTTATATGGTGCTAGAGGATAAGCTTAGACGGACCAACTAGGTCGTAGATGGCATGTAAGTGTGAGGCACTGTCAGCCATCGCATTCAAGATGAGCTAAGAAAAAGGACCAAAGGCGAGAAGCTTTTTCCCCTTTTACTGTACGTTCAAATTTTTTTTTCAATTTAGCGTAATTTTTATAGAAGCGGGGTTTAAAACTATGGTTTTCAAAGCCGAAGTTTTAAAATTTGTTTTCGAAACACGCTTTCTACAGTGAAAAGTGTGGGAAATAAGTTTGAAACTACGATGAGGCAGAAATTAAAGATGAAAATCACAGCAATTGTGAAAATTGTTTATCTTATGAAATGAACCGTTGTTTTAAAAGCCACAAGATTTGTTGGGGGGAGAGCGGTTAGAGCTCTCATAATTATTTAACCGTAACATTCTACCTCGCTGAAAACCAACGTCCATAGCAATTCAATATATCGACACTAGCTCAACGATAGTCTTTTCTCTTTGACAGTTTCATTAATTTACTAGTATTTAACGTAATAGCACTATGTTCATATATAGTAGTCCTAAAACTTTCGAAAAAGTTAGAACTCATAACTATATTTGGATCGTAACAACTTCCTGTATAAATCTGGTGGTCTGTGACTCTTTCACTCGTCAGGCAGATGGTTTTCTGGAAAAATGTGTCACTGGAGTCTGGAAGTCAGCATGAAAGTTCTGAGCTCATGCTAAGGAAGGAGACCAAGGAGTTATCCTAGTTAGCCGAGAGTGTTCCTTGTCGGGTGCTATCCATAATGCGAGAACTACATAATGAAGCCCGATTCAAATTATTCTGTATTTAAGAAAATATTTTTCATATGCGGGTGGGGTTTTGGCAAAAAAAATTCACCCGATTTATATTTCAACAATACTTGAACCGAATTTGTAAATGTGGATTTAACCTAAGTTGAATAAGAATTTAATTTGAATTAAGAGGTAAATCCCATTTTTACTTCGAATGGCTTAACTTGGGATTTAAACCCAAATTGTATAATCTGAGACTATGAATTTACACATAGGCCAATACTTGGGTTGAAAGTTTCTGTCTAATTCGGGTAAAAAAAACCGATTTAATGACTTCGATTTTCAACTAATTTTCATCACATGAAAATCCACTATAGTTAAATAGATTTCACATTATTACACGATATTGATTGGAACAAATCCTAGTTTAGGAATTTGATTGACTAAACATAAAATTAACAATAAATAATCTTCTTAGTTTATTGAAAAAAGAGATAACCCAATAGACGAGGCTCCTTCTACTTTAAAATTTAGGATGGTCAAATATACACAATTTTACTCAATTACTCACAATGCAGAAAGAACATGTTTTTAGGACTCAAAACGCTTAACATCCAAGTTACGATAATAGGCTTAATATGCATTTAATGTAACTTTTTTTTTTTTTTTTGGTCAAGACATTTAATGTAACTGAAGTTGAGGCAAGTATTGATTATTTTAGGATAAATAATATAGATGATCCTTAAAATGTAATCACAGTTTTATAAAATATCATAATTTTTTAATTACCTCAATTTATTCTTTGACATATAATTTTTATTTCTACTTCAGAATCAATTCTTATTATTAGGGGCAAAAATAGAAACATAGGGTGTTTTCATTTTGTACCCTTAAAATATATTCTTAATTTTTATTTGATCTCTGAAGTTCAAATTATGACAATTAAATCTTTGAAATTTATCTGAGTTTTAATTCAGTTATTTTATCTCAACATATTAGTTTATTTTGAAAAAAAAAAAAACCTCACCTAATTGGACCATAAGAATATATTTATTCAATAAAAAATATTTCTCTTATATACTTTAGATTTTCTCTCGCTGTCTCTTAGATCTCTCAAATTCTTATTTTGTATTTTTTTTATCTTATAATTAGATAAAATAGAGATATAAGGGATTATTTTATTTTTTTTTATCTCAATTTTTTTTTATTGTGTGATTATTGCAATTGAAGTATAAGGGCTCAAATAGAAATTAGGCATCTACTTTATAATTTAGCATAGAAACACCTAAATTCTCAAGTACCTTTGTGTCAAAAAATCTAATGTCTCCATATTAATTGAGATTTTAGGTATGAGAATAAACTATTATCAGGTCAATCAAATTGTATATTCATATTTCAAATGGTAGGCATATAATTCTTAAATCCCAAAATATCGTCTGCTTTGACGGGCCAAAATGAGATAAGTGAAAGTATATGGGATATTTTAAAATAGGTGTCATACTTGAGGGGTCCTTTATGATATTATCCATTATTTTATTAGAAGGTCTGCGAATGCGAGAGAGAAATTAACGGAAGAGTACTCGGCTTCCCGTCTTCGGCTTCTGCTTCACCCCCACTGGCGAAGGGTTCACAATTCTCTCTCTCTCTCTCTCTCTCCCCCCGATATGCATACTTAAATTAGTGTTCTCACACAATCTGTTCTATCAATTTCGCATTCCTGCAGCTCTGAAACTTGTGATTTCTCGGTGCTTTATTTAATCTGAGTTAATTTCTCATCTATAAATCTCTCTCTTTATACATATACATGTGTGCGTGTGAGCAATCGATAGAATGAATGCATGAGTTGAAATTATCGATCGTGATGTTCTATATTTTCGAAGCTCAGATCTGTGTTAGGGAGGTTTATTGCGAATCTCTCAATTTGAGAATCCTGTGCTCGAGAAATTGCTACGATTTAGGGATTTAAGCTTTAGACGATGTAATCGATAGTGGCTTTCTGGAATTAGGGTTATGGTAAAAAAAATTTAGCGGTTGTATTTGAATTGTTTGGTCGTGTATTTCCTCAAAGAATTTGACTTATTTTTGCTTGGTTTATTCCCTATTTTCCTGAATCAAAATCAGTTTTCCTGTGAAATTGGGTGAAATGAATTTGGTCAATTTAGAAAGTTTCTTTGCGGACAATTTGTCTGCGTGGGTGAAGACTCGTTTAAATGAACAAGTCCATTGTTACATTTCCTAAACTGTCTAACTTCTGTGTTTAATTCAGTTAAAAATACTGAAGTAGCTTATTAAATGGTGTTTATCATACAACCTCATGACAAGTTGATTCTCTTCATTTTTTTTTCCTGATTTTTAGATCATCATCACAGGACAAGAAAATGGATGGATCAACAGGCCAAGGAACCACTAGTGTGGATATGTTTCTACGGAACTACAAGCTTGGGAAAACTCTTGGCATTGGTTCATTTGGTAAGGTGAAGATTGCTGAACATTCATTGACAGGCCACAAAGTTGCTATCAAGATTCTTAACCGTCGCAAGATTAAGAACATGGAAATGGAAGAAAAAGGTGGTGGACCTTATGCCTTAATGATGATACTGTAGCTGTTATTAAATTTACAATTGAATTATGTCATTCTAAAACTTTAACCGAAATATTTTGGGGACCTTATCTGTGTTGTTTTTGTTGGCATGGGCCTCCATTTTTTACTTCAGAAAAGGACATCTGTTCTAGGAATTCTGTGCATTTGTCAATTAGAATTAGATCATAGAGTTAAAATTGGAACCATATTGTTGTTGAAGCATGTAAGTGTCTTTTTTTTCTTCTTATTGAAATTATTTCCAGAAAAGACCTATTTGTGAACATCCAAATTGGTTTTTTATGTGATAGATTTCATGAGTTAGCAACACCTTTTTCAAATTAAAGTTCTGCATGAAAAAATAAAACAAAAAAGGAACTGCTAGAAAGGATCCCATGAAGTCCTCTAACTTTGAAATATCATTGATTAAACATGTATCTCCCTCCATTCTCTGAAACAAAGTTTCCTGATTAGTTTACTGTTTCAAAAGTTCAGTGTTGCTTCACATATTTTGAAGTTGTCTGGAGAAGATCAAATATCTGGTTTTTAATGCATAGGGACTTGACTATGTTTTCCCCATGGCCCACAGTTTTTATGCTTTATGTACCTGCCTTGGTATTAGATTTGGCTAACCATATGGGATATATGCGGTTGACTTTTGCAGTTAGAAGAGAAATCAAAATACTGAGGTTGTTTATGCATCCACACATTATACGGCTTTATGAGGTGATTGAGACACCGGCAGATATATATGTGGTCATGGAGTATGTGAAGTCAGGGGAGCTGTTTGATTACATTGTGGAGAAGGGTAGGTTACAGGAGGATGAAGCTCGCATGTTTTTTCAGCAGGTTCAATTTTTTTACTAGCCTGTGATATTTCTACTAGTGCTTCCTTCTTTTGAGGAGGGTATATTGATGTTTTTTAGCATTTTTAGATGTCCATGATTGATCAAAACTTTGAAAGCAGATAATTTCTGGCGTGGAATACTGCCATCGGAACATGGTGGTTCATAGAGATCTTAAGCCTGAGAACCTGCTTTTGGATTCCAAATGGAATGTCAAAATTGCTGATTTTGGTTTGAGCAATGTCATGCGTGATGGTCATTTTCTGAAGACAAGTTGTGGAAGCCCAAACTATGCTGCCCCAGAGGTATGGACTCGGTGGCAGATGATTTTATAGGAGACCAGAAATAGTTTAATTTAGAGCCAAGTCGGGAGATTTCTTGATTTAACGCTGTTTGTATAATTTTCAGTTGATGATTGTGCCCCGTTGTGTTGCCTTCCATTTTTGTAGGTTATTTCTGGGAGATTGTACTCTGGGCCTGAGGTAGATGTGTGGAGCTGTGGTGTTATCTTGTATGCTCTTCTCTGTGGTACCCTTCCTTTTGACGATGAAAACATTCCTAACCTCTTTAAGAAGATTAAGGTACATTTAGATCCACCATGCTGGGTTAGCCTGCATTTTATGGTTTTCGATTGCAGAACATGGTGCTGCGACATTTAGTGAATTCTTGTTATGCCATGTTTTGATACTTCTTGAGAGGTCTTGTACCATGGATTTATTTGTTGTTTTGTTTTAAATCAATCTTCTTTGTTTTATCAGATAGGCGTCCATTGGAGTGTTAAACATGACCTTGCTGGCTTACTTCTTATCTGACTTGACTCCCTCCTTTTGCTATGATGGACGCTAAAAAATCTATTGAATGACCATATTTTGTTTGGTTTGTTTCCCCCAATTTTATTAAAATTGCAAACAAATGGATTTAGGGTAAATTGCACCAATGGTCCTTGAAGTTTGCTATTAGTTGAAGTTTAGGGCTTTAGGCCTTAAAATTTTAATCTCGTCAATTTAGTTTTCAAAGTTCATGGATTGGACCAATGTGGTCCTTCGCACTAACTGTTGTTTTAATTAATGACAGAAAATAACATGTGCCATGCGCATGGTACAATCGAGGGGCATTTATGTCTTCATGTTTGCAAAACAAATGGCATATAAATGTAATATCATATATAAAAAATATAATAAAAACAAATGGCACCAAAGAATTCCATTTCGGATCATCTCTTTCGGGTCAAAGTACATACCCTTTCTCCGTAAGAATGCTGATGCCACTTGCCACCAAGATTACCCAACTCCATGGCTAATTCTCTCTCACAAAGGATTTCTCTTCCTTTCTCTCATTATTTTTCTCTCTCTCTCTCTTTCTTTTTCTCCCACCGGTGGCCCAACATTACCATTTCGTGGCGCCGTCATCAGCCTCACCCCCACGCCTACAACACTAACCCCCTCCTTTCTTTGTTTATCCCTCCACCAACACCACTACGCCTTCCCCACCTGATGCCACTTCCACTCCTTTTCTCTGTTTCTTCATACTTTTTCGATTACACTTTTGATTTTCGCGCGTGATATCGATGGTCGTGGTACTGGTTTAATTAGGGTTGTGATAGTATTTAGGGTGGTGGTTATTTGGTGATTGAGGTGCGATCAAACCTGTGGCAGAGAAAGTAAGGATTGTGATGGGTGGAGAAAGGAAATTTTGGAAAAGGTGAAAGAGAGATAGAGTTTGTGGGGGTGTGTTATGTGCAGAAAAGGAAAATTTTGAAGAGAGGATTGCCTTTGGTTGTGTTTTTTATGTAGAGAAAAGAAAAAATGAGGAGAGAGAGAGAAAGAAATGGTAGGTGTGTGTCTGGGTATACATTTTGTGCCCAGAAAGAAAAATTGGAGGGGGGAGAGAGGGAGACTTTGAGTGCGGGTGTGGATGTGTAGGAGTGTATTTTGTGCATAGAAAAAAATTTTGTGTGTGTATGTATGTATGTTAGAGAAGGGGGGCCAGAAGTGTGTTTGTGTTCATGCAAGCACGGGGAGTGTGGGTTTGGGGTGTGTATGCGCTTTGTTGTAAGAGAAAAAAGGAGAAAAAAAAGGTGAGGAAGAAGAAGGGTGTTTGAGTTTATGTTTAAAGGGGTTCAAAAGAAGAATAATGATGTTTGGATGTAGGAGTGTTAGTTAATGACTTAATTGTCCTTAATAATGGTCATATGTCTTATTATTTTTCTCTCTCTCTCTCTCTTTTTCTCCCACCTATGGCCCAACATTACCATTTTCGTGGCGCCGTCATCAGCATCACCACCACGCCTGCAACACTAACCCCCTCCTTTCTTTGTTTATCTCTCCACCAACACCACCACGCCTTCCCCACCTGATGCCACTTCCACTCCTTTTCTCTGTTTCTTCATACTTTTTCGATTACACTTTTGATTTTCGTGCGTGATATCGATGGTCGTGGTACTAGTTTAATTAGGGTTGTGATAGTATTTGGGGTGGTGGTTATTTGGTGATTAAGGTGCGATCAAACCTGTGGCAGAGAAAGTAAGGATTGTGATGGGTAGAGAAAGGAAATTTTGGAAAAGGTGAGAGAGAGATAGAGTTTGTGGGGGTGTATTATGTGTAGAGAAGGAAAATTTTGAAGAGAGGACTGCCTTTGGTTGTGTTTTTTATGTAGAGAAAAGAAAAAATGAGGAGAGAGAGAGAAAGCAATGGTAGGTGTGTGTCTGGGTATACATTTTGTGCCCAGAAAGAAAAATTGGAGGGGGAAGAGAGGGAGACTTTGAGTGCGGGTGTGGATGTGTAGGAGTGTATTTTGTGCATAGAAAAAAATTTTGTGTGTGTATGTATGTATGTTAGAGAAGGGGGGCCAGAAGTGTGTTTGTGTTCATGCAAGCACGGGGAGTGTGGGTTTGGGGTGTGTATGCGCTTTGTTGTAAGAGAAAAAAGGAGAAAAAAAAGGTGAGGAAGAAGAAGGGTGTTTGAGTTTATGTTTAAAGGGGTTCAAAAGAAGAATAATGATGTTTGGATGTAGGAGTGTTAGTTAATGACTTAATTGTCCTTAATAATGGTCATATGTCTTATTATTTTTCTCTCTTTCTCTCTTTCTTTTTCTCCCACCGGTGGCCCAACATTACCATTTCGTGGCGCTGTCATCAGCATCACCACCACGCCTGCAACACTAACCCCCTCCTTTCTTTGTTTATCCCTCCACCAACACCACCACGCTTTCCCCACCTGATGCCACTTCCACTCCTTTTCTCTGTTTCTTCATACTTTTTTGATTACACTTTTGATTTTCGCGCGTGATATCGATGGTCGTGGTACTGGTTTAATTAGGGTTGTGATAGTATTTGGGGTGGTGGTTATTTGGTGATTGAGGTGCGATCAAACCTATGGCAGAGAAAGTAAGGATTGTGATGAGTGGAGAAAGGAAATTTTGGAAAAGGTGAGAGAGAGATAGAGTTTGTGGGGGTGTGTTATGTGCAGAGAAGGAAAATTTTGAAGAGAGGATTGCCTTTGGTTGTGTTTTTTATGTAGAGAAAAGAAAAAATGAGGAGAGAGAGAGAAAGAAATGGTAGGTGTGTGTCTGGGTATACATTTTGTGCCCAGAAAGAAAATTTGGAGGGGGGAGAGAGGGAGACTTTGAGTGCGGGTGTGGATGTGTAGGAGTGTATTTTGTGCATAGAAAAAAATTGTGTGTGTGTATGTATGTATGTTAGAGAAGGGGGGCCAGAAGTGTGTTTGTGTTCATGCAGGCACGGGGAGTGTGGGTTTGGGGTGTGTATGCGCTTTGTTGTAAGAGAAAAAAGGTGAGGAAGAAGAAGGGTGTTTGAGTTTATGTTTAAAGGGGTTCAAAAGAAGAATAATGATGTTTGGATGTAGGAGTGTTAGTTAATGACTTAATTATCCTTAATAATGGTCATATGTCTCACATGTCACAAGCATGGGCGGAGGGAGGTAGGGGCCAGGGTGGGCACGTGCCCCCCCCCCCCCCCCCCCGAATTTTTTTTTTTAAAATTAGTTAGATATATGTATTATATATTTATACATATATATTATGTGTGCCCCCTCATTTAAATTAGGCCCACATTATTTACTCAAAATAATTAAACAATTAAGTCCATTTAAAACAAAAAAAAATTGAACTCACTATTATCTATTCAAACTTATTAAAAAATCAAATATTTAACCTATTACAATCCACTCAAACCTATTAAAAAATAAAACTTTTAGCCCAATATTTAAAATAAAATTTTTTGCCCAATCATTAAAAAACAAAATTTTTGGCCCACTTGACTAAAACTTATCTTATCTTTCCTTTTTTTTTTTTCTCTCTGTATCACTCACTTCCAGCTGCCCACTGCCCAGCCACAAGAAAAAGAGAAGAAACAGAGAAAAGCTCAACACACGAGAAGCTCAGTTCCTTGAGTTATTTTGTCTTTCCTTGCACCAACCTATAAAATTATTGTATACATTATATTTACCCCCTAAATTTTTGAAAATTTTAATAATGGTTCTAGTTTTTTTTTTTTTAATAAATTAGTGGACCACTAACCCTCTAAAATAAATGTTAGTTTTGGATTGAGTCAATGTTTTATTTGTATATTGACAAAAATACAATATTTTTCTTTATCTAACACAATGTTTGATACTTTTTAAGAATGATTTTTAGTTTTCATTTACCATTTTTTTTAGTAATAGTAGTCTATAACCTAATAAAATATAAAAATTAATTTACATTTAATTCATATACAAAAAATTTTAGAGATTTTAAAATTTTTTATATTTTATTGAAATATATAATTAGGTTAAAATGTATTAAAAAAATTATTTTGTGTCTTTTTGTTAAGATTTTGTTTTGGCTAAATAAAAATTGAATTTACTATTTCACAATAATTTAGTGTTGATTCTTACTTTTTTTTATTCTCGAACTAAATTTTTTTTTATTAATTTTGGCTTAATATTTTTTTATACCATTTATATTTTGCCTCAATCATAGATATTCATGGCTCCGCCCCTGGCAATATATGTTTTTTTTTTTGGAATTTTTTATGTTAAATGGACTTCATATATCAAAAATAATATAATAAATATAAATATGTTATATAGTGTGATTGGTTAAAAAGAAAAAAATTAGAGTGCATAATTAAAGTGCCCACCTTGAGCAAAATTCCTGGCTCCGCCCCCGGTCACAAGTGACGGTTTTCGTAACCAATTTAAACGGCAATTAGTGTGAGGGACCATATTGGTCCAATACGTGAACTTTGAAGACTAAATGGCAAAATTAAAACTTTAAGGACTAAAGCTCAACTAATGATAAACTTCAGGGACCATTGATGCAATTTACCATGGATTTAATTAGCCAGAAAATTGTGTTTCGCATGACTTATTTGGAAATTGATGTTTTATGGCAAATAAGGACTTAATTTTGTTGATAACAAATCTTTGCAGAACTGATTTAAAAGTTTTTGGACATTGACTCCAAATCAAATTGTTGTTACCCAGAAAGTGGAATTAGTGTGTGGAAGTGATATCGGTTTTTCTTTTGAGAGATGAAAAACTAGTGCATAGCTCACTAGTTAGTGGACCGTGGTGGAGAATGTAATTTATTGCCTACTCATTTCGCACATATAACACCAATAAGAAATGCTCTCCTTTCTCCATAGTCCTGGGATGTTAGAATAAACTAGCATATATGCATAAAAAGGCTCTAGACTTTTGTATGAGTCTGCCAGTCCAGAGAGAGTTTGTGTAAGCTTTGGAGTTTCCCATTTTCTCTCTCATCTCCCCCGGCCCCCCCAAACCCAAAAAAAAAAAACAAAAAAAAAATTGTTATGAATCTTAACTATGGGTTTCATCTATTAGAAGTCTTCTGTGATCTTAATATGATATGTTGACATTTGGTGTGGAACCCAAGTCTCTCAATGGCTATTAACTTCCATAGAGAGCCTTCTCAGAGAAGAATCAATAATGAAATATGATGTAGATGACCTTAATTTGACATCCCTCCCTTTTAGCACCCCTGGTCTGACAATAATTAACAGTCAAAAGATATCATTCTTCATAATAGTCACCATGTGGTTTTTTAGGTGGCACTCATTTTATGGTATTTGTGGTTCTATGGTTGTATATCGTGTCCAGCTATTCTCCTTGTCAATGTTAGTTCTTTACCTTTTTTGATTTTCTAAGATTCCATCTTTACTTCTTAAAAGAAAAGATTCTTGGACATCGCCGTGCTAGCAAGTGTTTCACTATTATAGCAGATTACTGCAAGTGCTTAATCCTGAAGCTATGCCAATTTGTCCTGTAGGGCGGGATATATACCCTTCCCAGCCATTTATCAACTGGTGCGAGAGATTTGATCCCAAGGATGCTTGTGGTGGATCCTATGAAACGGATGACTATCCCAGAGATTCGTGTGCACCCATGGTTTCAAGCTCATCTTCCACGCTATTTAGCCGTTCCACCACCAGATACAGTGCAACAAGCTAAAAAGGTTTGCGGATACTTGTCTGCTGTATCAACCTGATGTTTTTTACCCATGTCATTCAAGCTTTCTGACAGAATTATGTTGTATTCTTCATTAACAAGATAAGTACTATAGGCATCGGTTTATTGTGTCATATTATTATCTAAAGTGATTTTTTATTTTTTTTTGTGGGGGAGGGGTGGTGGTGCTGTGTTCAATATGTGAATGGGGAGAGATGCGTGCCTATTTCCCCGTCTTGCTTATCTGGAGGGGTGCTGTGTAGAGTGACCTTGTGATTCATGCCTTCCAATGATCAGTATAAATATCAGGTTTATTGGTTCATATTATAAATCTAAACTGGTATGGAGGGATGCTGTATGCAATGTATTGATAAGGAGTGACGCGGGCCTATTGGTTCATATGATTTGTCTGTGCTGATCTGGAGGGTCCTATGTAGGGCGACTGTACTGTTGTTGAATCAAGACACCTTACTGTGAGTGTTTGCTTCCCTGCTTGGACAAATTAGAAGAGTGTCACTTCATAACAATCACGATTTTGGCTGTTAGTCATGGGTGGTTTGGATTGATTTTCTTTTTTCCTTTTTAATTATCTGTTGCCTTTAATATTTCTATGCTTGGTGCTTCTGGCCTCATGTAATAAGAAAAAATTCAATTTGACAGAATAACGAAATGTGATGTCACATATAGAAGCTTTTATTTTGGTGCTTCTCTTTCCTTGCAAATATAAATATGATTGAATGATATTAGTCATTGCCATGTTTCTTTGTGTTTTGTACGACATTGTGGTTTTATGTTCTTGCCTTGATGATGTGCTTGGATTAGTTGTCTATGATCATGGGATTCTGTGGGTCAGAATTACTGATGCAACATGCAATGTTTATGCGTGTGCTTAATAAATGTGGTTCTCGGATTGCAGATTGATGAAGAAATTCTTCAAGAGGTGGTTAATATGGGGTTTGACAAGAACAATGTTATTGATTCTCTCCGCAGTCGGGTTCAAAATGAGGTAGCTATTTGTGATTTTCAACTTATAGTTTTGTAATAAGTATCTTCTACTTATCGTAATAACATACCATGATTACTAATTTCTTGCCTGTACCCTAGGGCACTGTTGCATATTATTTGTTATTAGACAACCGGTTTCGTGCTTCCAGTGGCTATCTTGGAGCTGAATTTCAGGAGTCCATGGTATATTTTCGTATGCGTCAATATTTGTTGTTTATTAACTTATTGTTAATCTTCTATTAATAAAATGAGGAACAAGTTGTCCCGCATATGTCCAATTGTTTCTCCTTGAAAAGAACCTTATTTCAAAGTGTGCAAGGAAAATGATGGATTTTCGGTATGTTAGGCTTGATATATCTGGTCAGTACATTTGATTAGATGGTATGTCCTATTATGTGTGTGCGTGCAAGATCCTGCACAATATAAAAAACGAGAACAGATCTCTCCCTTGGTGAACTTCGAGTGAGCCGGTTGAGTGACCAAACACGCTGCTTGGAACAGCCTGCAAGGTCCGGTAGTAACTTGGAACGGCAATGGGAGACCCTGGGAACGGAAGAACGATCCAGTAAGGCTGAAATAGGTTCCTGGAACAAAGAAGAACAAGTTAGAAGGGCGCCGGATGTCCAGGATCGCTTGAATCTGATCCGGGTTGGCTTCGATTCCTCGTTGACTAACCAGGTATCCGAGGAATTTACCTGATTCCACTCCGAAAACGCACTTCGCCGCATTCAGCTTCAGCCCATACTCCTTGAGGGTGCAGAAGGTATCCGCCAAATCTGTCAGATGATCACAACTCCGTTTGTTCTTCACCAGCATAACGTCTATGTAGACCTCCATGGTGTTGCCGATCTGCTTTTTGAACATCCGATTCATCAGTCTTTGGTATGTTGCCCCAGCGTTCTTTAGTCCAAACGGCATCACTTTGTAACAGTAAACTCCCTTCGGAGTGATAAACGCCGTCTTTTCTTGATCCGGGGCATAGAGAGGGATCTGATGATATCCTGCTCGGGCATTCAGGAAGTCCATTCGTTCATATCCAGCTGTGGCATCTACCAGCTAGTCCACCTTTGGCAGGGGGTAGTCATCCTTGGGGCATGCCTTGTTCAGATCTGTAAAGTCTACGCAGACACGCCATTTCCCCCCTTTCTTCTTTGCGCACACCGTATTAGATAGTCATTTGGGAATTGTATCTCTCGAATGACGTCGGCCTTCAGGAGTTTGTCGATTTCCTCGTTGACCACGCTGGTGTGATGCGGGGCCATGCCTCATGGCCTCTGTTTGACTGGCTTGTGCGACGGGTCGACATGCAGCCTGTGTGTGATTATCTCGGGGTCTACCCCCGTCATTTCCATCTCGTTCCACGCGAACACGTCTGTATTCCCCCTTAGGAACTTGATCATCTCCTCTTGTTCGGCTGTGGGCATCGAGGTTCCAACTAGGAAATACCTCTCTTCTTCTCCTTCTATCAAGGGCACCTTCCGGAGGTCTTCCACTGACCGCTCAGTTGGGTCTATCCGGGGGTCATCCATTCCTGGACGCCCGGACTGTAATTGCTATTTTTCCATAATCTCTTCCGGTGCTCGCCCCTTCTCCTGGCTGGACGCCCCGGCTCGAACGGCTGAATAAAAACAGTTTTTCGCGGACGCTTGGTCCCCCCGGATCTCCATGATACCTTCTGGCGTGGCGAATTTTAATTTCTGATGAAAAGTGGAGTGCACCGCTCCTAACGCATACAGTCATGTTCGCCCCATAATCACGTTGTAGGGAGAGTCCGTATCGATCACTACAAACTCGGTGTCGATGATAAAGGGACCAGTGGCAACTGGCAATGTGATTTTCCCCACGGGCAAGGCGAATGAGCCGTTGAACCCGATGAGGGGTGTCCTGACTTTGGTGAGGTCTTTGGGGCCAAGACCCATCTGTTTCAAAGTTTCGAAGTACATCACCTCCGAGGAGCTTCCAGAGTCTATCAAAATTCTTTTGACATCGAATTTCCTTATCTTTAGGGTCAAGACAAGGGCGTCGTTATGGGGAGTCACTACGCTTGTCAAATCCGCGTCGGAGAATGTAATGCCAAGCTCACCCGTCCTGGCCCTTTTGCTTGGTGGCCCTACATCACCCTCGGCTACCTTCCTCGTAAAAGCTACCCTCTTGAGGTCGGACTCGAGTTCCTTGGACGTGGGGCGATCCAGGGGACATATATGGATGACATCTATGATGTTGTCCGGTTCCTCGGTCGGGGCAAGGGCTCGTCTCTCTTCTGGCCTGGGTTCTATGTACTCTTTCAAATGTCCGTCTCGGACCAAGCTTTCCAAGAACGATTTGAACACCCTGCAGCTTTCGGTGCGATGCCCGAAATCCCGGTGATAGGAACACCTAACCTTTTGATCACGGGTGGAGGGGTCGCTCTGCATCCTGGGCGGCCATTTGAAGAACGGCTCGTGTTTGATTTTATGGAGCAACTTGAAGATGGGTTCCTTGAAAACAGTGTGAACTCCTCTGGACGAACCCCCTGGAGGGGGTAGCAATCCCTTTCGGGGAATATCTTCCCGCTCCTTCTCTTTTCTTTTAGATTGGAGGGCTCGGCCTTTGCTGCTTCCCATCTCGTCCTCAACCCTCGAGTACTTGTTTATCCGGGCCATTAGTTCCCCCATGTCCGAGGGAGTCTTTTTGGTCAGGGATCGGTACAGGTCCGTGTCCCTTGCCAAGCCGAGCCGAAAAGATGCTGCTGCCATGACCTCCGAGCAACCTTCTATCTCATTAACCTCTTCCCAGTATCGGATGGCGTACTGGCGAAGAGTCTCGGATTCCCTCCGTCTGAGGGTCAGCAATGATCCAATGTCTTTGGGGCGCTTACTCCCCGTAATGAATCGAGTCAGGAACTGCTTAGTCAATTCCTTCCAGGATCCAATACTGTTGGGGGGAAGTGCCTCGAACCACTTCATCGAAGAGTCTCCCAAGCTCATAGGAAACACTCGGCAGAGAAACCGTTGGTCCAAATGATAGAGGGACATCATTTGCTTGTATTGCCTGACATGGGCTTCGGGATCGGACCGCCCGTCATAAGTTTTGAACCACGGCACGACAAACTTTCTTGAGACCTCCATCTCATTGATCTCCCTCGTAAAGGGTGTTTGTATGACTTCATCCTCGGCCTCATCCTGGACAGCCTTACCCTCTCTCCTGGAGTCTAACCGGGCTCTGAGGTCAATTTCTTCCCTGACGGGACGCCTTCTGAAGTCCTTGAGTTCATCGGTAAGCCCCTCATTTCCTGGGCGTCGGGTGGATTGGGTCGAGTCCTCCTCGGATTCATCTCCCTTCCTCCGTCTAGACAAACCTCGCCGGAGGTCGTCCAGGGCCAATGGCCTTGCTTTCCTTGAATGGTTGTCATGGTGATGCTCGCCGGCTCTGGGTCGCTTTGGGGCCCTAGAGCTTTCTGCTTTGTTGTTTAGGTGGTTTCTTAGATCCTTCGTTTCTGCCTCCCGGGCGGGAAGCCCACGGGAAAGGAATGAATCCCTCGACCCTCCACCAAAGGCGGCAAACTCGTCGAGCCGGCTTAGGACGTTTACATTGTCCTTTTCCAGCTGACGTAATCTATCGCCGAATTTTTCTTCAATCACCTCCGTCAGCTGACGAGCCAAGGGGGCTGATCCCCCTGACCTGATTCCCATACTGGTTTGAGGGGTAACCCCTCTTGACTGAGTAGAGGCACTTTTATTCGTATTGGTGTGATCCCTTCCTCCGTGATGACAGGGAGCTTGTAACTCGAGACTCCTTTGGTGGGGTCCTTTCCCTTTCTGTCGAGTGTTCACCATGGTCACTGTTCTTTATAGAGAAAAAACTAGGAAAACTAGTCGTTTCCCACAGACGGCGCCCTTCTAACTTATTCTTCTTTGTTCCAGGAACCTATTTCAGCCTTACTAGATCGTTCTTCCGTTCCCAGGGTCTCCCATTGCCGTTCCAGGTTACTACCGGACCTCGCAGGCTGTTCCAAGCAGCGTGTTTGGTCACTCAACCGGCTCACTCGAAGTTCACCAAGGGAGAGATCTGTTCTCGTTTTTTATATTGTGCAGGATCTTGCACGCACAATGTGTATGCATGACTGATATGCTATTTTTTAACTTGTATCATGTGGATTGTTATAAATTGTAGATTTTTATATGCATATTTTTGTAAGCTAAAAAACTTTCTTGATGCATATTTTCTAGGAGTATGGATTCAATCATATCACATCAAATGAGGCTGTCCCTTCACCTGTAGGGCAACGCCTACCGGGATATATGGATTATCAAGGATTGGGGTCGAGACCCCAGTTTCCAGTTGAGAGGAAATGGGCTCTTGGACTTCAGGTATGTCTTTTGCCTATTTCTTGTTATTTGTGACGGTGGTGGGTGTGGTAACTTGCCTGCTATAGACCTGCACCTGCCTGCCATATGTTGGGAAAATAGCAGAAACTTTTAACATACTCCCATGGCTCACGAGAAAGCCCAATGCTTCCATATGATGCTGCTTTGGGTGGATTTTGTCAGCCTTAATGTTTGATAAGCTGGTTAAATCCATCATTAGTATAGAAGGTCTAGGCAATTATGTGAGTCTCAATTTGTGTGTGCCATATGTGCAACTGTGGCAGATTAAACTGTTTGTTCGCATCATCCACCAAGAAGGTCATAATCCTTGGCTGTAATTGACATATCATTGGCTCTTTTTGCCTAACAGTCCCGAGCCCATCCTCGTGAGATTATGACTGAAGTTCTCAAAGCTCTGCAAGAACTGAATGTTTGTTGGAAAAAAATAGGGCACTACAACATGAAATGCAGGTGGATACCTGGTATTCCTGGTCATCACAAGGGCATGGCCAACAATTCTATGAGCAGTAATCATTACTTTGGGGATGAATCCACTATCATAGAGAACGATGGTGTTACAAGAACACCCAATGTTGTCAAGTTTGAGGTGCAGGTGATTATTCTTGCTACCATTGCTTTCTGTTACAGTTGCAATTTTGGTGAAATTTTAGTTAATTCTTCAATCTGGTTAAAGGTGGAATTCATTGCACTTGATGGATATAATGTTTGATGGGCAAGATTTTGCTAGTTCATATATAATAATGGTGTGTTTTCAGGTTTATCTTTTATTTTTTTCTTTAGAGAAGACAGGATTTGGAGAACTTCCTTTCAAGGCCAAGCAGGTATGCCTTTTTGGAGTGGGGGTTGGGTTGGCTACTTGGTATTACACGTAAAATGATATGAGAGACTTGGGAGTAGTGATTGCAATAAGGTTTGGAGCTGTGTCTGACCAACTCAATATTGTTCATGGATGGCATTCATAAGATGGACAAGGGCGGGTTTGATGACTGGATGGTCACAAAAGAATTGTTCTGTAGATATGAATTGTATTTCATCTCATCATGCCTCAATCCTGTATATCTTAGAATTTATAGTGTTGGACAATGTCATTGTTCGGTGCTCATTAACCTTACCTGTTGTTTTGAGTTGAGTTGCCAAATAGTTTTTTCGTGGAAATCTTATCACTTCATGATTACAGCTTTACAAAACTCGCGAGGATAAGTACCTGCTCGATCTACAGAGGGTCCAGGGGCCGCAGTTTATCTTCCTGGATCTTTGCGCTGCCTTTCTTGCTCAATTGCGGGTCCTCTAACGGCACGTTCCTCATGAAATGACCGTCCTTCTCAGTCTCTGAATCTCAGCCAATGCTAGTAAAGTAAAACTTGTGCTGTACATATCCTAGTGCTCCTGTTCTCGGTCTTACGCTCTTCAACTTTCCTTTTTAGCTGATAAGTGTCGTGCCAAGCCAATATTTTTGCTGTATGGGCTTCCTGCCACGACCTGCTTCCGTTTTAACGTGTAATTTCTGTTTCATTAATTTGAAGGATTTTATGAATCTCTCTCTTTGTGAATCGAGTTTGATGCTGCAGTTTAAATCATATTAACTCCTTAATTAAAGGACTTATATACATACATATATACTGTTTACCATAATTATGGGACGCTGCTGAAATTAATGGGGTTGAACTTGACAGGTAGACTTAAGCCGAGCTCAATCTTGATCTTGAATTATGTACAGTCGATTTAGAAGATTCTCCAATTCTATTTGAATAGTGGTAAGGATTTGTACACATTAGTCGATTTAGTTGATTTTGAATTTTGAAAACTTAGTTTTTGAATCTACTGATTTGTAAAGACCCTATCATTCCAAAGAGAGTTTGAGGATTTTTCAAGGGTAATTATCATCGACTCTCTCGAATTAGGTGTATCTTCAACGGGATCCCTTCTATTATCTAAAATATCGTTGACACTGCTTTTAATTTATATTTAAACATTATTAACATTCCTTATCGTTAAACAATCATTTCTAACAAAAAAAAATTATTTAAAATATCAAAATTATTCTTACATAAACTCTAAATAATCTTTCTTTATAAAATTTGATTAAAATTTCATTTGAACTGTTTAAATTTTATTTTTTTTATGTATTAAAATTTGAGCTTATTAACTTTTTTTTATGTACTAAAACTCGAGCTCAACCTGAGATGCTTGCATTGATTAAAATTTGATTTAAGTTGATTAAAATTTATATTTTTTTACGTATTAAAATTCAAACTAATTAAAATTTGATTTAAGCTGATTAAAATTTATTTTTTATGTATTAATTTTAATCCTCTTGAATCAAATTTTAATACGGAAAAAATATAATTTTTAATGAACTTGAATTTTAATATATAGAAAATAAATTTTAATTAATTTGAATCAAGTTAAGTTTTAACATGTAAAAAATTCAAAATATACCTATATAGAGAGAGGTTTTATTGAAGATATATCTATCTAGTGGGGTGTCAATGATAATAACTCATTTTTCAATTCTTATGAAATTAGAAGGGAATCGAACCCTGGATCCATTTTCATTGTTGGATGCTTGTATGTGTTTTTAGTTGTCTGAGTATGCTAATATATTTGGTTTTCATCTTTGGATGGTAGTATATAACCTTGGATCATGCATTTGTCTTAAAAGAGTGTAATAAACCCAATAAACCTGAAGAAAACGTGATAGAAGCTCAACATTCCATTACGATAATGGGGCCTTAGTTGTCCCGGGATTCGTTTCTGAAAAATCGAGGTAAGATTATTTATGACTTATCTCTCAAATTTTGTAATAAGCAGAAGTCTTGTGTACTGCCTCGACACCAATAACTACATTCATCGATCAATGCTACGCCCAAGTTGAATTTAAAGAGCAGTTTTTCTCATTAGTGTTCGAGCAAATGTTATAGGAATCTAATTTGAGAAATTAATATATTCGGACAATTTGATTAATAGTGAATTCCAACATTTTGAACGAAAATAGTCGCAATATTCTTCAGATGCTGGTAACCTTATTCTTAACAGTTTGGAAAATAATTTCCTTTTCGGATTCTGGCTATGCATTCAAGAATCCTTCAATCTGTCAAAGACTGCTAATGATCCCAAGATAGTGGTGTCTAGAAGGTTGATAATAAGAGTATAAAGATAATTGACAACCAAATGAAGTTCGAACCTGCGATTTAACGGTTCAACGGCGGACTGCAAAGCTATGAGGACACCTCTGATCTTCAAAAATAATAATAATAATAATAATTCAACCAAGCATAATAACATAAATTGGTAGACAAAAAGTCATCCTGAAGAAATTTGAATTTTTCTGCTTACAAATAATTTCCTCTTTGATTTTAATCCTCACATTTTTCTGTGATGTTTATTATATGATCAAGACTCATGTGCCATGTTCAATATCCCAAGAAGTAAACACTAGAAACAAAAGTTACATGGCAGGTCTTCAGTAGGAAGATGATACTCCTAAGAAAAAGATTGACAAAACCTAAAACGGACCGAGGACGGAGAGAGAGATAAGTGGTAGGTTGCCTTAACCCATTATAGAGAGGCTGATTTGAACCTGTCTCGACATACCCTTGTGTAGAAATGCACTAGTACAAACTAATTTTGGTTATCCATGACTAGAGAATGAAATTGTTAAGCTCAAAGAACCTCTACCAGCTAAATAACGAAGCATATGGGTGGGAGATCAAGGGTGCTCCATATTGACAATTCACCGTCGTTAGTCCCCGTGTCCACCATTGTTTCCTGGTTTTCGTCCTGCTTCCTCTTGATCACCTCCATATCTTCTTTCTTCTCCTCCTCTTGGTTCTTCTTGCATGCATTTCGGAGATATGCCAATTGATCAGACCGTCCTCTTTGCTGGACACTACCTGATCCTAGCCTCAGCCTCAAGCACTCAGGTATTCCATTGAAGGCATAAAGAGAAGCCGAGAACTTACGTTCATATTTCATCCTCCTCATAGCCTCGCTTAGCATCGATGGCTCATCCCCATAACCTTCCTGCTCAATATGCTCTTGTGCTATCTCTTCAGCAATCTCAAAAGGAGAACAGTAACATGATCCAACTTCATCAACAAATTGGAGATCAACAACCCCCATATCAGTGATCTCCTCTTCACCATCTTCTTCTCTGTCCCTTCCTCCAATAGCCTCACCACCAGAAGAGTTAGCTACATCACTCCAGTTATAGTCCAAATCGATGTCTCCCACCTCACAATTATCTTTTTCAGTTAAACATGATTCAAAACTTGTGGTGGTATAGTCACTAGTACTTGCTGTAGTACTAGTGATCATATTGTTTTCCGGGTTAAATTCTTCAGGATCATTGAGGAAATCAGTGAAATGGGCATCTGAAAAATCAGTTTCTTCATCTTTATACTCTTGTTCTTGGTTTTCTTGTTGATTAATGGGCACAGAAGAGGTAGATGAAGAAGCTAAAGCGTTATTTCTGGCTTGAAGCCTACGAAGAAGGAGATTAGTAATTTTTGAGGGAAGAGCTGGAGTTGAGTTAGGTGACGGAGAACAAGGCCAGAAGTTTGTGCGAGTGTTGGAACCACGAAGCAAGCAAGCAGCCTCATCATAGGCCCTTGCAGCTTCCTCGGCCGTGTCGAAGGTGCCCAACCACACCCTTATCTTTTGAATTGTATCTTTTATTTCAGCCACCCATCTGCCTGATGGTCTTTGTCTAACCCCCACAAATCTCTTCCGAGCCTGCCTCGTTCCGCCTAGTGCGGCAGCAGCTGCTGCTTCCTTCACCATCTCATCCCAAGCCATGTTTCCTTCGCCAGAATTTTGCTCATCCACCTCTTCAGCAGCCTTTCTTTTCCTAGCCATCTCTCTCTCTCTCTTGCCTTGGTGATACTAGTGAATGGTTATGAGGAGGAGGAAGGTTCTTCCTGAGCTTTTGTTGGGCTGATATGTGGTATATATATAGGTACATATAGAGAAGGGAAGATTCTGTCAACTGAAAGAGGACAGCTGAACAAGTGTTCTCCTTTATTATGTGTTCATATCTTACAAATCTTTTTAAAAAATTTGGCTTGATATCATATCAAACCAGATGGAGGTTTCTCTTTGCTTACAGAGCGATTTGTAAAATATTCAATTTAATGTTAATATATGGGATGCAACTTAGAGATGCTTTGATTCGGTCACCTAGCTAAAGAGTACAGTTTCTTGCTTCCTCTTCTATGTGATTAATTTAAGATTTGGCTTATTTTTTAATAGCAAATTGCAAGCTTGACTTGGTCCATACGCCTTCTTCTTGATTTCAAATTGTTTTCTAATTAAAACTATGCTGATATAAGATATCTTATTCATATCTTCAGTGCTTGATGACATTAATAATGAAAAGTTTTAAGCTTCAAAGGGGACAAACATAGAAGTTATCAGTTATCATTGTCCTGACAATGACTAATTGTACCCTTTTCGTGGTATGATACAAAACTAGAAATATACATTACGAAACGAAAAAAGTAAAATCCTCAAAAAGATCCGTGGTATCAGAAAATCCAATTTGCGATCATCTGTTGGTGAACTACATGATCTAAATCCAATTTGAGATCATTTGTGGGTGAACTACATGATCTGCCATAATCTCTTCTATCCCTTCATTTAGGTGCTAGAGATTTGCTAAGTTGAAAACAAGAATCATGGCTATGAATGCTTGAGATGCACCTGAGGAACCTTTAAATGACCAGAAACTTCTTGTAGATAAAAATCCTTTGATAACCTTTTCATAAAATTGCAGGGCTAATGGAAACTTACAGAAAATCTACAGTGTCTATCATAGGTCCAAAAAGATAAATAACATTACATTGGGAAATCAACCACACAATGTGATTTTTCAAGCAATTGCCTTTTGTCGTTGCTGATGAATATCAGCAGAAACGATTACTTCAAAGCCCAGGACAATAAGTATGTCCAAGCCACTCAAGCTGTTGTTAACAGGTACAATAATTTATTCGATTTAGTATTAATCTTTTACTAAATTCCTTTTTCTATTATAAACATCAATGTTTCCTTTATTAATATATAATTATACATAATATCTTTGTTTTAGAAACAAAAATAAAGAAGGGCTTATCATCAACATCAAGTCGAGATAACACATTCGACGCGGTGTTGATGATTTTCTGATAGGAAATAAAATTCGTTTTCACTTGCATGCTATGTGACAAACAAAAATATTTTCTTTTGGAGCAAACAAAGAGGTATCTTGGCTTTGTACAACACTCATCTTGAAACAGCTCAGCCTCACTATCAAGATATTGAAGATTTTATCGGTAGACTCACAGTCCTAAAATTCAACCTGAAGATTAAGGCAGTTAATAAATAATTTGCTTTGTAAAGTTTTATCTCTTAACAATGCGAGACTAAGTACACAAACTTGAGTTCTTTCGGGGACATTCGATAAAATTAGAGATTAACGTGTACAATGATGACATGCACAAACCGAGAAATAGGTGCATAAAATTGACATTTCAATATCAACCTCGCGTCACCTCAACCCACCCATCTTGACCTTTCAATATGAGGGGTCTTGGCATTCTACTCTTGGTCTCTTGATCTTTGGGCTACGACATATCTAATTTTCTCGGACATGGTAGTCTCTCCCTGCCCACCCTTTATTCACCATGTTATTACTGGGACAAGTTCCTCTGGGATAGCCATAGGGAAGACAATTTTAGGTTCATCATGTATTATAGCAAGTTAGAGATTTGTTCTATCCAAACTTGGATACTTTCATTCAGCATGTAGCCTTTGTATGTCATATGTATTGCTTAACAATAAACAAAAAACATTGCAAGATTCCCAATCAGATGAAATCTACTCAACTCAGGCTGCCTCTCTAATCTCAACTAGTTTTTGACATCTAACAATTAAAATTATAAGGAATTTAAACTGAACGATACATTTTTTCTTTTCTCAATGGTCAATCAGTCGTCATGAATTCCATTGGAACCCATTATGTATAATAACTCATTACATTTGATGGATGCCTTAGTGGGTAATCTATAATTGAGAGAAACTAAAAAGAATATCGAGAAAAAAATCTAAATTTAGAAAACTTTAAAAAAAAAAAATTGAAGTAGGAGAAGATGAAGAAATGACAGAGAAAGAGACACAAAAGATTTAGTGGGGAAATTATAAACGGTTAACAAAAGAAGAGACGGAAAGTTCCAAATGTTTGACAATGCCCCTCCTCTTGTGTTCGTTGTGCTGGTTTTTTTCATTTGATCCCTTAGTTATTAACCAGAAGCATACTCTCTCTCGCGCGCGTCAGCACGCACAGTTGATTGAGCTGTGCTCTTGCGAGCAAGCCCAGACACGTGGATTCGCAGTTGTTCTCAGCGGAAATAAATCAAACACATAATAGACAATTAAAGACAAATTTGTTTATATGTGTTTCAGCTTAACTGGGCAAGTGGAAACCAACCTGGAGGTGTCTAATCTAGCAGCAATCTGGAAGACGTCAATACCCATTCTTCTTCTTCCACATGGAGACACTGCAACAATCCAAAGGTCTACTCATCATGGCGTATATAATGGCTGGCTAGATCGAACAAAAGAATAAATATGTAATGTACACATTCAAGTCCAGTGTTTTTTTTTGTTTCTTGCAATTCGGCCACAAGTACCTGACATTCGTTGGTTATGTGAAGCATTCGTATTGACAAATGGCCTTCGAATTAAGAAATAAATTGGTGAACTTGAATGAGCAGAGGGAGTGAGAGCACCATCCAACATGAAACCAACACAGCAGCACAAAGGGGGTGGCAGGGCCAGAATGGCAACATTAGAGTTAGGGATAATATTTATTTGTTTTGTGTCTCAAAAACAGAATTCGAAAATTATTTTTTGGGAAGAGTTTAAAAAATTATTTTTGGTATTTTTTGTGTTGTAAAACTTGTTTGTTTATATGATTCAAAAAATAATTCTATGAAATAAAAAATTATAAAACTTGCTTAGACAATAACTCAAAAAATAATAGAAACAAAAATGTGGTGGTAGGAGTGGTGTGGAGGACGTGGTGGTGGTAGTAGCGGGATTGTGGTGGTTGTAATAGTATTGGTGGAAGGTTGGTAGAAGTGTGACGGTGGATGACCGTGGGAATGTGGGGGTGGTGGTGGTGGTGTTGGTGGTGTTGGTGTTGGTGTTGGTGGAAGGGCGGAGGAAGTATGGTGGTGGTGGCGTTTTCTAAATTCTGAAAGTTTGTTTCCAAAAACACACAAAATAATTTTAACTTATTCTCTAAAATCTATCCAGTTTTTGTTCTCAGTTTTCAAAAAATAAAAAAATACCGATCAAACAACTTTTTTTCCTAAAAACTTGTTTCCCAAAAACGTAAAATAGTTACTAAAAAGCAAATCAAACAGGACTTAAAACTGTGAGAATCAAGTTTCAATCAAACCGTAAACTTAAACTTTTAGAATTTTACTCTTTGTCTTTTGTGTTTAAGCGAAACCTATTGTTAATTGGAAGTTGTAGGTATTGAAAAAACAGTTGTGAAAAATTTTCTTCTGTCTCTGTTGAAAATTGAAGGATTTTTTATTGGGTGGATTCAAAGAAAAGCTTTTTTTCTCAACCTTCTTTTTTCTTTATATCAATGACTCAATCAAATGAAATTATCTCCAAGAACAAAATGCCTCTCTAGAGTATTTCGTCTTAGACCATATCTAGAAGCGTTCTCAACAATATCTAATTCTATTCATTCATTGATAAAGCTACCATAGAGACAATGAATATAAATATGGAGAGCAATTTAAAGAAATGATTTCAAATCTTTGTTTACTGACCCCTAATCAAGTTGTTTGGGATTTAATAGTAAAATATATTATTTTGTCTACTAATTAATGGCCAAATTAGCGTATTAACAAACCACGTCCCTACGACAACAACTATAAATATAGATATTTTGAAGATGTCATAATTAGGATTTTGAATAAGACGATCTTTTGATTAATACTATAAACTATAAAAATCGATTAAAGAGAGAATATTTGAGAAACTTTTTCTACCAAAATTCTATTTTCTCCTTATTTTGAATTATTTAATAGTAATACATAGATTCCAATTGCATTCTTCCATTTAACTTATGTAATCACTTATAATTTTTTGGATAAATATTTCACATTTAAAATTTTCACTATTTTTATCAATTATTTCACTTTTTAAATTTTTATAAATATTAAATATCTTTCTAATAATATTAGGATGGAATTGAGGTAAGAGTGGTAAAGAGGGTGGGGTGAAATTAGAGGTGACGATATAAAAATATTTAAAATTCTGTATATCGCACGGGACAAGTACTATTAAGATTCTATACATTTGTATTAGACTTACATCGTTGGACTCTTCACTCTCTCCAACCCTAACATAAGGTGCAATCTAATCGAGCCATTTGGAAATGACATATTTCTAGCAAATCATGTGTTTAGTGAACATATATGAAAGGTGTGAGCCCCATGCATAAATAAATTCATATGATGTAGATTTGTTTGGTGGCCATTTTACTATCATGCCCCTAAAACTATTATGATTTAGTGGTATGTCCGTAAACTAGTTGTCCACCAATCCGATTGGGGCTTCTTCTCCTTCTTATTTTAACGGTTAGGGGTGTGGAGATATTCAAGTTAATTTAAACACACATCGACTAATTTTCTCTCTAATTCGGTCAAAGACAGACCATTCACGTCGGCACTAGAGTATTTATGAGAGATTAATCCTTTATGGCGTGACCCCCCAATGGGTTGCTAAGATTCGAATTCCGAATGTCTAAGTTTACAATTTTTCTCTGTTACCACTTGTATTATTCCCTCGAGTTGATTGGA